TATAAGTTTGAAATCACCAACCCGTCTTGAGCGAGGCAGACCCTGGCTAAAGCTGATAAATCACCAGGAAGAAGAAGATTATATAAAATTTATGTCATATGCTACAACAAATTACATATGTACTAGAAACATGGAACATATGTACAATGATTATCGCGTGACGGTACTTTACCATTTACATTGGCATATTTTCAGAAGTTTAACCAGAATTTTATCAAAGTTTTAACGACATGTCGTTAAAATGAATACGTTAAATCAATCTACAATTATTACTCAAGTTTCTATACGTTTGTATGTTATGACTTTGATAGTAAAGATAACGATTTATTACGAGTTTTAACTGAAATTTTATAATTCAGAACTATTAGCAAATAAGTTCTTAGCTTTACAATTATGTCATTATATTTATTAAGTTTAGAATCTTAGGAAAAATATATATATTTATATTCAAAATAGGTAATTTCATTTATTTAAGTAAAATTACTTATCAGGACAAGTCCTGCGATTTTAAATATACAAATTTATACGTAAATATTTATATTTTAGATGTATTTTATCTTATAATACTACAAAAATTAAACAATGCCTCCTGTTAACAGACACCATAGATTCAAAATAATTGTTAGCTTGTCCTCAGATAAGGTACCACAATAAACCTTACTTTACAAAGATCAATTAAACATAGTTTGAGACAAAACAAGTTCAAATTTATTATATTTCAATTACATTTCACATTTTGATATTGTTAAAGACAAACTATTGTATACAGAAAAAAAGCGTTTGACTTGCTAATTATATATTTGGCTGGAATACTAAAAGATTTTATTTTATTAATTAGGAAAGAAAAACGATTCAATGTTTCGTCGTATTTTATACGGCGACCATTGTTCATTGTTTTTTACAACTTGCCGACCTTCGAAATAGATAATATCTTGATTAATAAAGTATTGTAGGTTTGAGTTAATTTAAGGTACAACTATAAAGTAAAATTTACAATATATCTCCGAGATGACACTTTCTAGATAGGTCAAGATAAAAATAACTGAACTTAAAACTAAACAGAACTTCCTAAACTCCCGAAAATCAACGGAGTCTTTTTTCGAAACTTTCCCGCTTTATCCATAAGATCGAAAGATTCATGAGAGAATGAAGAGTCGACAGCAGAGTCCTCTGTCCCTAACGTATATATTTTCTCTTTCCCAACTAAATAATCACCCCAGACTTTTCATAAGATTTCCATAAAATTGTTATGACATCAATTAATGCTTTATAGTTTAGTGCTACATGTATTATTATTTACTACAAATAAGGACGTCAGTCTTTACGTAATAAATACTGAACATCAGTAAAATCACGAATTTCTCCATTATTTTGAACAAATTCTTAAAACGATAAATAAGACAATGATAACTCTAAAAAGGGTAAGAAAATCTAAAATGAAATAAAATGTGCACAAATTTTATTCACACGTTGTTATCTCTTTACTCTGAAATTAAAAATAATATCTATCTTTTCATTTTGTAGACAAACAATGTATTTGACTACCCAAACAATATCTTCTCATGCGTGGATAGTACTTGAGTGCATATAAACTACGACTGAAATTATCCCTGAAGGGGAAAAATGCTCATCTTTTAATATTCGTGGATACTTTTCAATAAAGAAATATATCAATTTACATTCAACGTTTTAGAAAGAAATAACTTACTTTCAGAAAACATCGCTATAGTGTAACCTATATTCACTGGTTTATACAAATAATATAATAAAGATATATACAAAAAAGGAGTCTTTTAAGAGGCTTGTATTTTACATAACATTGCGTGGACAGTGGTCACTACAAACCGACAAGCTCTGAATGACCCTTCAACGAAGTTTGAAAATGAGAACGAATTCCCTTAACCTAAACCTCTACTACTTGAAGTCTCTCAAAAGTCACTTGTTTTCCACATAATAAATATATCTGTAAATATTTCATTCAATTTGTATATATAGGAAAGTCAAATCATAATCCTTTGAATAGACGTTGTAATTCTAAACCTTTTGATAATAAGGCTATAGTAGATCTTTTCCATGACACTAATTATTATATAGGGTGGCAACCGGAGATTCCAGGAAAACTAGAAAACATACTTATATGTATATTATAATAAGAATAACATACTAAAACTTATAACCTATATCTAAGACTACATAATTGCTCCAATGTTAGGATAACAATGATGTTCTAAAGCTTGTATGGTATCAGGAATCTTCTGCTTCACACGTCTTGGTGTTCGTTCCGCGCAGTCAGCGGCGTCACTTGTTTATATATGATATTTTACCCATACAAAGATGTCAGCCCGGCAATGTTCATTTATTTCTTCATGTATAACGCGTACGTAAAGCACTCAAAAATATTATTTTGAATTTTACAGTACTAGTTAAAAAGAAAAATATCATAGTTGAAGCAAAATACATCTTGAGAGACATTTTAGTGAGTATTAAATACCTTATAGTGTAAAAATTTGTTAATATAATTTAACTTGGCATTAAAATAAGTAAGTACATACGTAGTAGGGGTAAGGCAATTCATCTTTTCTTAACTCGCATCTCGCATGACTTTTCGACTAAAGGACACTCAAAGTTCTAAAAAAAATTTTTGCAGCCTTTGGCTCCCTCCGAAGATTACGCAACTTTCTACCCATCCCTACCAAAGTTATGTTAGCACAGTCACTCCTACTACCAATTCTCGATTATGCTGACGCATGTTATCTTGATTTAAGAGAGGAGCAACTTAATAAACTTGAGCGTCTCCAAAATCTTTGCATCCGATTCATATTTGGTCTTCGTAAATATGATCACGTATCTGAGTTTCGTAAAAAGCTCAAGTGGCTCCCAATCCGGCTTCGCTGGAATACTCACATCCTTCAACTTCTGTACTGTATTCTGTTCAATCCGTCTTCTCCTTCATATCTAAAAGAACGTTTTCAATTTCTTGGTTCTTCACATAGTCATAATCTTCGTTCTGAAGAGAATTTGATGTTAAAAATACCACCTCATACAACTTCTTTTTACACTCACTCTTTTACTGTCCATTCTATTCGTCTTTGGAACTCTCTTCCACTCGAAGCAAGACGTGCACCAACCTTGACTTCTTTTAAAAAAATGATAAAAGAGCACTATCTTGCTTCGTGAAGAAATATGTACTGCAATTAAATTTTTTTTTTACATACTATGTAACTATCTATAGTATGTAAATGTATATATTTATAATGTGTATGTATATTATATTATTATATAAGTATATATTTATGGTATATTTATTTATGTATCGTATATATACATATATATGGATGTATATATATATATATATATATATATATATTGTATCTATATTTATAATTTGTACACCCCTACCATCCTATCTGTCTCCTCTACCAAAGGTTGCCTGGAAGAGATCGCTGTTTTAGCGATAAGGCCGCCTGTTGTACATTTTCTTTTCTTTATGTTATTCCTATTACTCCTATTATATATTGGTGCACAATAAAGTGTATATAATAATAATAATAAAAGTTCTGTTTACCCGTTTTGATCACAGTACGAGGGTGAATCATTATGTGATGTATACATGCAATGTTTGAGTCGAGGGTCTCGTGTGAAAAGCTCTTGAAACAAATATTGAGATATGATTCCTTAAGGGACGAAAGTATTTTTTCATATAGTACCGTTCAATTCGCTGTTATAATCGTAAATATATAAAATTTTGAGTTATTTTTGTATGAAAAATTGCTTCCAATTTAAATATTTTTATTTGATTTTTCTTTTTACTTAATTTGAATTATATTTTTGTTTCATTGCGGTTACAAAATAAATAGACGTCCCAATTTTTTGTCAATTTTTATACTTTAATGACAATCATGAAAGAGCAAAATTTGTCCTATAAAAATTTCGAGTTTTAACTGGATAGCAAGCTCTTAATCTACTACTGATCAATATTCTAAAGTAATGAAATAAATCTCAAAAATTTTAGGAACAAGTCTTTATAGCTTTTACACCGGGTCTCTACAAAAAAAATTTTTTTGCCAAAAATTTTTCTTTTTACAAAGAGATATTATTTAACAAATACTTTTCCATTTGAATTCTAGGCTTTCAATCCAAAATTATTGTTTATATTTTTTAGCTGATTAGAAGACTACAGCACTTTTGATTCTATTTGTTTTTATAATTATAAACAAAAAATGTGAAGTAAAAAAACTATATGTCTTAACCATTTATTTGTTGCTTAGTTTATCCGATTCATCAGTTTAAAAAAATAGACATTGTATTCTCTTTAGACTCTGGCTGAAAATCTTTTTTAATCATTACGTCAAATAATTTTATACAGTCAAAATTTTAATATATTAAATATATTTTTACACAATGAAATGTTTATAAACGATTTAAATTGTGCTAGTTTTCATTGAATCGGGAATAACAATATCTATCCTGTTATTTCTTATGTACGTATGCTTTTTTTTTACTCTCCCTAACATTACTACCAAAACTTACATAACAACAGTAAACTATGTATTCTTAGTTTTATAACTACATACATATTATATAAACAAAACATATACAACAATTTATACATTTAATAAATAAAATTCGCTGCCGTCAACGATCTAAGGTTACATGAATAGAATACTGGTCTTTTCATTCCAGAAGATTGCATCCTGATGTTGTAGAAGAATTTAAAACCATTCAAGATAATGAAACACAAAATAAATGTGAATTGTAAAGAAAATCGAACGCAATTATTATATAAACGTTCTTGTAAAAGTGTGAATACCTTTTCCAAGACATACTCTGGAGTATCACAGTTGTGCACAAAAAGTTTAGTGCAACAATTACAGAAGAAACTACCGAAGACAAAGTACTATGAAAATCATGGTAAAATAAAACGAGACTTAAGTATAGAAACCGATATTTGCATAATGAGACGGTATTATAAGAAGAAAAGAAATAAATTCTCAAACAGAATGGCAAATTCGGCGAGGTCAAAGTATTCAACAATTTACAATGAAACAGACACGAACGAATATACGAGAGACAGCAGTGCTTGTGGTGACAGTGAAGTAACTACCTATCAGAAAGATACATCGTATAAAGTTAACTTAACATCACTAGTGGTTGATAATCTTAAAAAACTATTGAATGATTGGATTACGAAGTACTTATGTGAGAACAATGAAACTAAACAAAAGATTGATTCAGTACTGGATTCGATATTACACAAAATGGATTTACAGTCGAATGACACATCTTCATATACATACACCATTGATGTGGAATTGGGACATCAAAAGAAAAAACCAGAATCACAATCAACATTTTCGAATGACTTGAAGTTTTATCCAGAACAAAAAGAAGACGCAATAGCAGGAGTTAAATCATCTTATCTAACAATACCATTGTGTAATAAGTATCTTGAAATAATTTCAACATTAAGCATCCCAAGAAAGTCACAGAGAAAGAAAAAACGGAAATCTTTAAACAGGGTTAAGAACTTTCGATACAAGAAGATAATGTTGTCTGTAAGCAAATCGAGCAAATATCTTCTAACGTCCTCGAGTCTAAATTTTCTAACTCTGAGAGCTAAATCAGTAACGAAACACTGTGCAACTTACCAAAGGAATGACCCAGAAGTTAAGAACCAAAACAATAACGTTTTACCAAAAACTTATACCAACACTATTTTAGTCGACGATGACAGACTAACTAAAAGTAGAAGTCAGAATAGCACACAGAGTGGAGGGAAACATAAAAATAGTTTTAAGAAAATACCTAGTATTTATGAAAACATATATGGCATTAATTCAGGTCACCTAAAAACCTATGGAAGTATACAAACGAGAATGAACAAAAGGGCAGTTAATTTATCTGAACATCAAAATACAAAACATTATAAATCTAAGCATCAAAAAGATAAAATAACGAGTGAAAACGATCACAGCGATCAACTTGTCACAATTGATTTCGGAAAGGAAAGTAATGAATCGAAATTAGACGTAAATACAGAAAGTAAAAACGTAGAAGGTGAAAATAATCTAAAAATTAACAATAAATCGCACAAAAATACAATATTCAGGGGTAAAGCTACTAATTATCAAACCATGAAATCTAAGCGAATCAGATATTTTGCCAAGAAATCCAACAATAGAATTAAAAGACAAAAAGAACTTATGCATAATTTTCGAACATTAATGAAATATTTTTCTAAATACAATGATGAAAAGGATATGCAATTGCAAATAAAAATTAAGGTCTGTCCTAAGATTAAAAACGAGGAAAATACAAAGACACTCTCACAAGCACATAACATGGAATCAAATATAAACAAAACAAATACTCCAGAAGAAAATATAAAAGGAAAATCGGCATTAAATAGTCAAAATATTATATCACTACTTGATGGAGCAACAAGTGAAACAAAATATTTATTAAGAGAATCAACTGGTGAAGCCATAGTATCAAATGTTAACTCAGGCTCAAATTCTCACTTAGAAAACTTGAAAATAATTCAAGAGATAAATGAACTCAGAGGAATTATAAACTCTTTAGCAAACACCGCAGATAAACTTATCAGTAACCACTTATATGAGACAAATAAAATTCAATATAATTCTATTCATTCAAAATCCAAAATAAAGGATCTATCACAAAGTATAATTGTTGAACACGCAACGAAAAACTCTCTGGTTAATAGCGGATCACCAAAAACATCGAAAGGAATTCAAGTGTCAAGTAGCATGCGTAAAAGCCAATTGAAATCAGGCCTCAAACTTAGGAAAGAGCCAAAAAAGAAGGAATGTAATTCTTCTACAATGAAAAAGAAATCCTCGTATAATATTATAGCTAGCGAATCACTAATTAAAGTTACAGATATGACATCAGCAGCGCAAAATAAAACTGATGATGATCAAAAGATGATAGACAACGCTTTAACTTGTTCGTTTCCAAAATCGAAATCGCTCTACGAAACCTCAATAGCTACGAATAAAGGAAAATTGTTAGCGTTATACTGCGATGATCTTACAAAATCCAAAAATTGTACCTATAGCATATCCGACAGTATTTGCCCGAGTCATTCTAATCGCGAACATGCGTGTAGTTACAATACATGTGGAAGACCATGCGACGCTGAGCCAAATGTAACTTGTAACGACAATGTATCTACAAACAGCAATTGTGAACTTTTGGGCGACGAAAATAATTCCTGCTCGTCTGTGTGCATTGAAATCGATCCGCATTGTTTTTATGGCAAAAAAGTTATTATAAGACACCGTGAGGGAATGTGTTTTTGGGAAGGATGTCTATATTGTATCCTTCTTTGGCTGCCAGTTCTACTTGTATCATGGTTATTTTACTTACATGTTATAAAAGAGTGGATTGCAATAAGCAATGGCAAGATAAGAGATATTAATAATCCACAAAACCAAGACTCAACAACAACATCACCAACAAAACCAGGAAATATTCGTGTTGGTGCCATGTATCATGGGCTGTCACTTTCTGATTTAGGCTTTTGATTTAATTTCTTTTATATTGACATCTGTAAATTTCACTGTAATTACTTTAAAGACTCGTGAAATTTAAAGTAAGCAGGGGCGTGGCATATATTAATAAATTGTTTTAAATTGATTTTAAAATAATATATTTTTTATTTACTGGTATAATACGAAATATAAATGAATCAATACAGGTAACCTAAGCTTTTAAACCGCACTTGATGAGACACGATTGATGGGCTCTTTGTTTTTTATTACATTTATAACGCATTTATCTCACTTTTAATATAACTATTCGTTGTGAAGATATTAAATAATTTTAAGTGGCTGTTACCTTATTAACATTAATTTAGTAAAGTCTGTCTTTTTGCAATTAATAGAGTATGTAACATGCACAACACTAAAATTTATTAGAAACATATAACATACTTTCATCTTATTCCAAATTTAGCATGACACCAAAAACATCACATAAAAAACACAAAAACCATAATTTCATATCATATCATTTTTATGATGAACATATTTTGTTACAGAAATTATAAATTAAAAAAATGAATATGGAACTTTTAGAGGATCTTAAAGTTATTGAAAGAGTTAAGGAGGACACGAAAATTAATAAACGTACCATTTCTCCCTTTGATCTTATTGTTGAAAAGGCTTACGAAAAATCTTCAATGGTTGGTGGGAATAATGCTACAAAATATTCTAAGGATTTTGTTCCGGCAACTTGTAAGACACTAGGAAATGAAGAATGTTTTGAAATTTGCAAATCTATTATTGATGATTTGTTACATATAAGAAATAGCCGTAACGTAGCAAGCGACGATGAAAAGAAGTTTACCGTATCTGAGCCAGTATCAAATGCACTCAAATATATTAAAGAACCAGAAAAAAATCATCAAAAAACACTTCCAACGATAAAATCTAAACCAAAGAAATGTACAAGACTGGTGAAAATGAAAAATATTCATTTCAAAAACAAAGAAGCTAAAATCAATATCAATAAAAAACTGGAGTCATATTATGATCGAGCTAAAAGTAAATGCTCAAATGCGGCAAATATTCAAAGAAACTTATATTCAGATTCTGTTTTGAACGCTGTTTCTCGTACTAGAATACTGAAGAAAGTATTAGCGAAGGAAAATCTTTTGGATGACATCGAAAAGATATCTTTGAATAGTAACTTCAACGAAGATAGACTTTCATACATCAGTCAGTCAAGTGATGTCACATTGATGGGAGATAAAAGTATATCTTCCAACAACAGCGAGCTAAGCAACACAAAAAGAATACCGTCAGTTATTCACATATCGAATTATTTACCGCAAACTATCCAAGAAACAAAAGAGTTCACAGCGTCAGATTCAAATGTGAATAACATTAATTCTGCGTCGAATAAAATATGCTCTGAAACTTATCAAAATGAAAATGTATATAGCGCAAACATTATAAGAGTTGCTGTTGCTCAAATAGAGAATTCCTCCGTATTAAAATATAAAAAAGAAATAGCTAGCACAAATAGCAGAGAAAAGTTTCTTGTCAAAGAAAGTTTGATCAGTGCTGGGAGTTACATGAGTCAATCAGACACTATTACTTCAACATCGTCCCTGGAAACTTTGAATACGCATGACAATGAACGCGTCGTAGCGACAATGGGTATAAGCGATAGTTTTCTTAGCAGCGAAACGCTTACAGACAACCAAAATATATATGATCTCAGAAATGAAAGTGATAAATATGTGATCGCTAAAACTAGTTCCTATTTCAGAAATGAAAATATCCTCTCGAATGATACTCTAGCGCCAATGCACGAAATTTATGCAAAAAATGATCAAAACCAACCACAAACATCGCCTAACATGCTGAATACTACTTTATTGGATACTATTATCAATGTAGGTATGTTTCCAAAGGTGACTAAAAGTATCCAAAATAATATGTTTACTTCTAAATTAAACGACGTCATAGTAACTGATGAGCTGCGTAATTCTTTCCCTTTAAATAGATTAGGCATTGAATCTACCGGCGAAAACGAATATCCTAAAAACGTTTTCAAAAAAGCTTTGAGTGCAGAAGATGATGAGAATCGTCAAAAAAATATTAATATACCGAATGAGGAAACGATAAATGAAATATTATTTAATAGAAATCAAGTACAGAAGAAATCGTGTTCAGAAGAATCTCGTAACTACACAGTGTTTCCGGAACTTTGGGAAAAATTAACGGTATTTATTGACGTAGCTTTCAGAAGACTGGAGGATACCCTAACGGATAAAATAACTCAAGAAATGAAAAAAACACTCGACAGGATAGGCCAAATTGCTAATAGCAATAAAAGAGAAATTAAAACATCCCAAAACGATATTAAGGAAAGAAGAGAATCACAAGAAGCTATTATGATAAGCAGAATGGAATTGGGTGAATCCAAATCTTTGCAGTGCGGTTCATTGGAAAATGATTTATTAGATGAATTGGTAAGAAAAATGAATTTGGAAGGATTAAAAATATTGAAGGGACCACGACCAAAACTCAAAGAGGGTTACAAAATTATGAGCAGTGATTTATTAGAGGTACTCAAAGCTCCGGTACAAGCGAGTGTTTCGACGGTGAAAGGGAAGGGAGATTCCTTGGCCGTGTCAATATCTGAAGGCACCACAATGAAATCCAGTACTCAAAGCTTGTCCCTCATGAAGAATACTATATCATTTTTGAAAGAGAACTCAGTTATTATCGTCAGTGTACCACTATTTTGTTTTTCTTTGTTTTTGGTTTATATTTTCCTTGCCGTAATTGTACAAGTTTGAAAAGAAGACTATTTATTGCGACATGTTGTCTTTTCCTATTATCAATCTATTAAGTATATTTAAAATTTGTGTATGTTGTTTGGGAAAAATCCTAAACCAGTTGCATCAATGATTGTTCTGTTTCTTGTTGTTATTGTATACATGGAGATAATAAATAAAACTACAATTTATAGCATAAATAAAACCTCAATATTTTTTTTTTCTAATGCGTATAAGTCAATAGGATTTCATTTTCTAAATAAACAAGTGATATGGCGTTTAAATATTTCCGATATTGCGAACTATAATGGTTATGTTCTAAGTAAATTTTAATAATTTAAAAATTTATTGTAAGCTTATAATAATAATTATTGTTGAGCCAAAACTAAATGCCCAGAACGATCCAACGTGAAAACGGGCCTTACTCTGCGACTTCTGAAAATGAAAAGGTATGAAATTATTTGTTAAATTAATTCTTATATCTTATTCAACAAAAGTAATGGGAGTATAAAAACAAATAGGTACTTTGTTAAATTACTTAGTTGCTTAAAAAAGTATCCAAACAAAATACAAATTTATAATCAGATGTGAAATCTTCTTGATTTATGGTTAACTAATCTCAAATGCAGATATAAGTTTTTTAATTCAATTATTAATTTGATAAACTAAAATAATTGAATTATATCTCGGCAAACGGCGATAATTTAATTAATTTAAATTATGTACTTATATACTAGATATTATTAGCAAAAGAAAGTAAGTTTGCTTTTGTTTGGATCAATATAACAAAAAATACTTTGAAGGTGTTGTTGAAATATTTTTTTATATCTGTATATACATATTGGGAACAATATATTTCATTCTAACGAATGTCCTTTGTTTAAAAGCAGCTAGGAATTTAATTCAACACTCCTATATTAATTAAATTATATTTATAAAATGTATAACAAATGTGTTTACCTTTGTTTAGCACTTTTCCTGCCGGTAGCTACAGCGGTAGCCTCCGCTATGGCTGGGCCGTCTTCTGACATTGACTGTAATAAATAATAATTATGATATATAAGTATAATCAATTTTCTAAATATAACATCAATAATGATATAGCCGTCTGTGTGTAGAATCGTAAAACATAATTTGGAAGTTTAATTTGCAGAGATTTAAGATTTTCGCGAGTACTCATTTAAATGAAACTAATATTTTCGGATTTTACTTCGCGTTTTTATCTTTGATTATAAATTTAATTTAAGTTTAATTTGAAATATGTGTTAATAAAACTAATGCCTGATCCTTGATGTAAAAACAATTATGAAAATGTCTATCATGTACTCGTATATGCAATATTGACAAACGGAAGAATATGCCATAACTTTTAATTAGCTTAATTAGTCCAATTGGACTAATAATTATTGATACTCATGAATTGCTTTACAAACTTCTATAAAAAATATGTAAAAATTATAAAGAACAAATAAAAACATATAAAAATATAAATTAAATATCTCAATACTATAGCTGCAACCACAAAGAATAGCATGATTTAATTTATATATGCATACATAGATAATATTATATAAACCTACTTAATATTATTCGGATTACTAAACGTATTTTATTATATTAAAAAACTACATACTCCCGACGTTTCCGTTACTATTCAGCAACCGTTATCACGGCCAGACGAGATGTTCACATAATAAAATACGCGTAGTATAATTCGAATAATATTAGTTTCATTTAAATGAAATTATATGTAATTTAGTATATGTAATTTTATTCGAAAAACTGATTTAAAAAAGGTCATTGAATTTCAATTAACTCACTTCTTCCTGAGCCACGGATTCCGTTGTAGTGGGATATGATTGAGTTGCTTGCACTTTAGGTATTGGAGCGCCATACGAAGCAAATACTCGAGGTTGGGTCCTAAACCGATATATGTATACTTAAGAAAGGTAACATACCAAAAAACATATGAAAATTTTGACAAAACACGTGATATACATATTTAAATTTATTTATTTAGTTATTTATTCGAGGATCCCCAACAAAAGATACACAGTATTACAATTTTAAACTAATCAATACTAAACATTACTGAAAGTGCTCTTTCAATTACAGACAACCACAGCTTGCTAATTAAATATGACTAAGCAAAACAATATGAATTTATAGTTAAATTTATATATTGGATTGCATTTAAATACAATGTTTTCCTCGACACGTCCAATGTAATTAGAATGCGCTCGACAGAGAAGATTCACTCATATGTATTACCAAACTGAGCTATTAAAATTCATCAAAAGTACTGACCTTGTGCCAAAAGCGGTAGCCACGGCTGTCGCTGTATTGCCTTCATCAACCTCTTCTCTGTCATCAAATTCTTTTTCTTCGTTCTGTTCAATTCCGTTCCCTTGCTGGTTCAAATCTAGACCACTTTGTAACCCTTGACCTTGAACTTGCGCTTGATAATTATTAGGGTCGAACTGTTGCACTGATTGTGGGTCATATTGTTGGTTTTGATAACTAAAGGCTGGTTGAGATACAAATAAGGGCTGTTGGAATTGGTTTGGCTGATACTGTGGCTGGTAGAATTGTGGTTGATAGCTCTGTAAGACAACCTGCTGATCGTTTTGCTCTATTTCCTCTACGTCTTTAGGTTTTTGTGGAGGTGACTGATTTGGTTGCTGAAACTGGAACTGGCCTGGTTGTTGAGGTTGGAACGCACTTGGTTGCAGAGGTTGGAATTGACTTGATTGCTGTGGTTGGAATTGATTTGGTTGCTGTGGTTGGAACTGATTTGGTTGCTGAAGTTGGAATTGATTTGGTTGCTCAGGTTGGAATTGACTCGGTTGAATTTGATTGCCTTGACTTTGTAAAATTATTTGTTGAGGAGGTATGTTAAACTGGGGGAAGGCTTGTACTTCTGGTTGCTGGGGTTGATACTGATTTAGAGGTTGGTATTGGTTTATGGGTGCATATTGATTTAAAGGCTCTGGAACCAAAGGTTGTTCCTGAACTATTATAGGGTTTTGAGCGAAAGTTTGAGCAGGCGCTAATACTTGTTGCGATAATAACTCTCTCTGCGCTAAAACAGAAGGCAACGCAGCTAGATGAGCTGGTCCATCGAAACCTTGGTTCTGTTCTGTAGCCTGAGGATAATATAGCGGTGCCCTAAGTTGCCCTAACTGGGATAGTGGAACAAATTGCTGTTGCAAATTTAGTTGTGTTAACGGACTTAGGAACAACTCAGCTGGGTACTCTTGTAAATTTTGTTTGGTAACTTCTACAGAGACCTTCTCTTTCTTTTCATTGTCTTTATCATCCAAAACTTCGCCCTCATTCAATGATTCAGTTGTCGTTTCTGGTTGTGATTTTAATTCGGGTTTTGCGGTGGTTGATGGTTGGGCAGCAAATTGCCTTGGTGACTGCTGTTGTGGTAATCCACTTGATGGACTCCTAGCAGCATCGAATTCACGCTGCCTTGCGAACTGTATCGCTTTTTCTAATTGCAATTGATACTAAAACAATTATTAATAATTTACATACATCATACATTTATTCCCAAAGAGGGTTGATGTCAGGCAGGCGGCCGGTCGTAAAAACAATTATCCAAAGCTATTCACAACATGTAAAGCAGACCCTGGCTAAAGCTGGGAAATTGCTAGGTAGAAGAAGAAGATACATCACACATTTTGCTAATATCATTTAAGGAAAAAAATATGTATTTTATGGACTTAGTCACAAACACCCTAATTTTTTATGATTACAAGAGTTTACAAATTATAACAGTCTTGAATAAGAATTAGAAGTAATACTACGAAGTAAAACTTACTTGCGCTTGTTGCAGGCTTGGATTCAGTTTAGCGACATCCGAATTAACTGCGGGTCCAGTTATTTGTTGTCCATTGATAGGTGACACCTGGAAAATTGGTTGTTGTTCGACCGTCGGCAAACCTTGTACTGATACATCAACATCAGCGTCGAAATTAGGATTTTGGGGAATTCTTGGCTCAACAGGCAGGTATTCTTGCTTCAATGGAGGCTAGAAGTATGTAAAGACAAATGTATTCATACCAGAAGTTTGTATTATCACTCTTAATACGATGCTTTTCATTCATTCATTTTTCACTCATAATTTTACCTATTCAGGTTAAGAGTAATATATGCTTAATATGCTTAGTCTGAGTGTACATCATCATCACAGAAGCGTTTCTAGTTTTTCATTTTATAAGCCTATCGTATGCAATACTATCGTAAGCGAATATTTATGAATGATAAACTGTTGACGCCCCGTGTGTAGCATAACGATGTCATACAACTCTGATTCAATTATGAAATTCGACTAAATAACATTCAAATTACTGCTCAACAGTCAATGTTATAAACTATACAAAGCGTTCTTTAAGTTTGTAGTTCTAAAATATCGTTTTGATGAGAGATGAGTAAACCATAGAGAATTATTATTTTAAAAAATCAGTATTCCAAACCCAATCTGAGGTTGAACTTTAAATTAAATGCTAATTAAGTCATAGTTATAAAAGCTATTTAGAAAGATTCAAATAAATGTTTACAACTTAAGTAAGCATTAATTAAGTATTGACATACTTAAATACTCGACTTACAAACAAATAACTGTATCAAAACTGTAAAATGTATCTCTGGAATAAGATTTTGGACATATTTTTTTATTATAAAACACATACAAAATTACAATAGCATTTTCCTATGACTTAACTCTTAATACATAATCTTTAATCTTCTGAAATAATAATAATAATAATAAACGTTTCTAAACTACATATTTCTTTTAAACACACCCTATTATTATTGATTTTCATCTCACTTATTTGTCATAGTAATAGTAGAGTGTAATACTAATTAAAATTAGCATATTTTTGTACTATTATTCTATAAAACATACCATTCTTGATGGTAGCTCGAAAGCTGGTCCCTGTGGTCGCCATCCACTTGCAGGGTAGGGCGCTGGAGCCTCTCCAGCCACCCCAATCATCAATAACGTAGCTACCACCAATAATTCCTGGAGACACCATGAAAAACATTAAAAATTCAGCCTATACATTACGTAAATATTATTAAAACTATCCCGGTAACATTTTAAAAGCCGATAGGCCTAACAAGAAAACAGTAAAAGAAAAGTAGAAACTAAAATATCGTTAAAATCTATGTTATAAGCTTTAATTTGATCTAGTTTTTTTGGATTTTCGCGATATTTTTTCTAATTTTTTTAACCACACACAAAAAAACTCTAAATGTATACACAATAAACGTGTAATCACCTTCATTTTCATCGACTTTCGCTTTGTCAGAGGCGCCCGTGCATTGCTTTTATAGACAATAGGTTTTCAAATTTGTCATTCTTAACGCGCGCATAACTGACCTTAGCAATTGTCCTTAATAATGCATATCAATAATAAATTTTCGTTCGATTATAAACCTTAGTGCACAGAAATAAAGACTTATTGTATTTTTTTCTTGTGATTAATAAATTTGTCAATCACTTTAAGGTTTTTGAACACAGTCCCTACTTTGCATGTGATGACGGGTGACTGAATTGTACATGGAAAATAGATTATTGTGTGTTAATAATAAATAAAAATAACATAAATATATGTAGAATTATTTAAATTCAGGGGTTTGCACCAAAATATGTGTACCTACTAAATGTTATGAGTAAAAGTAAAACTAGTAAAAACAAGATGGCGAAAGATAATTTTTCTTCCGTATATATTTAGTTATTTCGCTTTATTTATATATAGTACATTTATTTATAAATTTGTTACTTTATAAAGAAATTAAAGGCTTTTTCTGTATTTTTTTCTTAATAATTATACTTTCCTTAGAATATACAGGATGTTTCCATTATTTCTAATCATAGACGTAGTAAATGGCGGGTATTGTATAATTTGACATCAATCCATAGTTTCGGCATTCCCTTGCCAGTTACCCAATACGTTATTATGTTGAACACGTTCCGTTCGTCTGTTATGTCTGTATTAATGCATTCTTATTGACGATAATTTACTTTTATTCCCTTCTGCGTAACACGGAATCCTTACTTCTATAAACCTGACATATCTACGCCATTTTTCTTTTTTTTTTAAGTAAAATACTCGACATCACTCTCAATCTATTGGGAATTTATTTGTGAATTTAAAACACAGGTATATCTAGCATAATGTTACGAATATAGGTAATCGTAAGAAATAAGAATGTTGGTTGTTTAAAATTTTCAAAATGAAATATATTTCAGAATCAAAGAATTCAATATATGCAAGTTTATGTAGCTTTTGCCGATAAAATCAAACGATAAGAATATATCCAAAGTAAACTCTGATATCGTAATGATAACATTGAAATTATATCACAATTCTGACGCAGGATACATTAATATATAATATTTAAAATATGTATTTAACTATCTCTGTAAACGCTAACTACTTATACCTATTGTGTTTATTATATTAACACTGCGATATAATTTCCGAGTTATATTTGCATATAAAAAAGATAAAAGTCAAGAATATTAACTACTTAAATCGGAAAATATCATAAAATGTAGGTATACATAACACTAGCCTTCCAGGTAAAAATCTTTATATAAGTTATAAATATTACCATCCTGTCAAATAAATCATAGTTTACAAGTTTCTGTTACATTTGTTTTTTCGATATTTTCACATAGAAACTGATTACGGTTTGATTTATGACCAAACTTTTTCCATAGCTCGTACGTACTTTGGTAACTTCGCTTCAACTTCCTATCAACTGTTAAAAACTACGTATGTAACCAAAAACATGACTTCCCATTGTATAAAATTATTTTTATTCTGGCTGTATACAAATATTTACGCCAAAATATATTTGAAAGAAAAATAAATGCTCGTCTATGGTTACTTATGTGAAATTATTGACACTTTTTATTAAAACGTATTCGTAATTATGAAATACAAACAAATAATCTCTTTTCTTAACAAAAATACCAATATCTTTTCGATAAATTGAACGAATGCAAATAATATTTAAATCTTACCCAAAACTAAAAGAGATATATCTCCATTTTATATTCGCTAGTGATAAACGTTCTTTTATTTCGGAGTTCATTTCATTCATTCGTGAGATTTATACATCAATAAACCATTCGTTCTTTGTAAGGAATGATTGCACTGTAAACCGTTCTTTTGATATCCATTCCTTTGGGAGTTTTATTGAAACAAGCGGTTTTCACGTTTTAGCAGAGTTTTCAACGTTTGGAATTCAAAATTATTATGAAAACTATAGGTATTTGGATGAAGAGAATTACGTAATAAGTGGAGACAAAATATCTTATACCTAAATTATAATAAATAAGGAAAATTATGTATTAAAATAAAATTAAATAGGTACATTCAATTTCTTTAAAATACAGAATCTATAGTTTTATAAATATTTTAATAGTTTTCTCTCCGTCTCTCCTGATTTATTATGAAAGTTAAGTAAATATTACATGAAGACAAGTCTGGAAAATGTCCAAACGACAAATTCTTCTAGTCGTTTCCAAATCATGGAGATTTAAAAATGATTGAAAAACCTATTATTAATATCTTGTTCTACTACTTATACTATCTACTTTCAAGACGTAAATTTGGTAACTGCCTGTTTCTTAAGGGCTAAAGAAATTTGCATAGAACCCAGAAACATTTTATGAAAAATTTTGGTTGAATATAAGCTTTTTGTTCTAAAACAACGTATCTTTTTAAATCTTTTAATTTAATTATTATAAAATGTTAGTGAAGATTTTCATGTATGTGTAAATTATTTATTAATTCAATACGAAAAAGAATTTTATATGATTTTTAAAATAATGTTACGTCTTTACATATATTTTATATTATGAATATACTTTTACGTAAATAGATATCAAGATATCTATTTTAATATAAAATACGTAAAATATTTTTTTTTAAGACACGAAATTCAATATGCCGGCGATCTTTTTTTAGGAAACCAATTAATCGAAGAATATTAAAAAAAAACATAATTTATATCATTGGATGCCAGTTTTATATTTACTTTTATAATTACTTTTATAATTTTAATAATCTTTACCATACCATTATAAATATGTACTATCAAAAACAAAGTTTCGCCTATAAAACGATGCTTAGAATATTTTTTCAATATTGCACATATAAAGCATGATTCGAGGTCAAAAATTCGGATAATTCGTGTATTTCGAGTCTAGAATTTTTGAGTTAAATTTAAACGAATGCAATGAGTAACCAGTCACTTTTGCTATTGACCCAGACGAGATCGGAATCTTTAATCACAAGACCTCGAGAACGCCGCTATAGATTCATGGTGTCATTTCATGTTTAAACGAGGCACTAATTTGGCAATATACTTACATTCCAATTGAATATATTATTATTGTAATTGCAAACGTAATTTATTCTTTTAATACAGTAAGTAGTTTAAGTTTCATAGTAATTACCAAAAGTGCGAAGTTAAATTTATCGAGTCCATAAAGAAAATATTTAAAATTATTGAAGTAGATGTACATGTCGGCACTAGCGCGCCAACTAAAAATGACCTGGAAAATAACGGTGTTGAGTTTGTTTACTATTTATAAGAAAGCTATAATTACAGTTCATATTATCACAGTCGAAGCTTAAAATAGTATTTATTTTACTTTAAATACATAAGTAAGTCATTTCCTAAAGATTTTTAGTATTAAAATTTTTATTATTATTTTTATTATTTTAACTATTTAAATAAAGGTTTTGTCGTATAAATTAAATAAGCTTTATTTGATTACGTCAATAAATACGGCCTGTAAAAATAGATCGGGTGTTTTATGTTTTGTTGAAGCCAAGGATACATTAATTTACCTTTATTATATTGATCTCTAAGAAAATATGTAAAAACTTTTATATATATATATATATGAAAAAGTAGTTAACAGTTCGTTCATTTAATAATATCGTAAGAATATTTTTTCATTATATTTCTTAGTTATACTGCATTAAAATAAGCTTTTTTCATCATAAAATTACCAACAACATAAATAAAAACATTATAAGAAATAATAATTATGATTTCGACGGTCGGTGGATGTAATGAAACCAAAATTATTTGACTTAATTTAATTAAAAGTACCTAAGTTACAACTAGGGTGTGACTATGTTGCACAAAGGTAATAGTGACATTAATCTTATAAATTTCTTAAAAGAAATATTATAATCTAAAAACATAAAGGAAATATAAAACCAAAAACTGTCTTCACACGGAACTGCTGAGTCAGACCCGTGTAGAATAGACGAGTTTACCCACAAGCTAAGGCGTCCTACGATTACACCGTATAAAGATAATTATATTTTAATTAAACGACCACTTATTACACCGTCACATAACATAATTGTAAATAAGTGATTATATAATGAAATATTTGGTTTGGAGAAATAATGATGTAAGAGTCTATATATGAAATTGGGATATGTATAAAATATGCAATTGGGAAAGATAAAAAAACACTAAGAACGTTCTTGAAAAGCGACATGAACGTAATGTCTGTCTGATTATGTATCTCGTGACCCAGAAGATCCCTTAACACGCGTTTGCATCAAACTTAACAAATATAATTTGCAGTTTGTCACTCAAAAACTTAAACTAACTCGTAAACACACACATAGCAACTTTAGTTTATACCTAAATTAAAAAAACTATAAACTGACTGTATGTAGTATTAATAATCTCTTAGAAAGGCTATGTTGTAAAAATTAATATAACGTAAATATTAATAAACTTCTAAGTAAAGTTAACCAACAGTTATGTAATTAATTACGCATCGTGTGAACACCCTACAGATTAGGTATACACACACACACACTCACGCGTGCGGCGGCGTGCTGATACAACACCACGCCGCCGCACGCGTCCACACTTGGAACGTGTCCACACTTTATTTATTTATACGGAAATTTGGTCAAAAATTAAGTACCTGTTTTTTTACATAATTCGAATGAGAATCATGTACCGAGTATTCTCCTTAAATATTGATAATAATTCACCAGTCACCCTGTATAAAAAAAACAACCAAATTGCAACGTCATGTTGATGACGTCACAACGGTCAATTCCGAACAAGTCAACTAATGAAACGAAGTGTACAATGGGTTTTGTATTTGCCGAGATTTATAAATTAAGATAGCGGAAACAAATAACGTTTAGTTTATCGAGCAAACATGCTAACTCATACTAAAGAGAGGTAAAGTGCGCTAAACGTACTTTTCCTTTTGCTTTTAAAACTTCCTCTACATAAAATATTTGTAAAGACGAACAAACAAATTGATATTTTAATAATAACGCTCTATTTTATAGATTTAATGTAAAATAATTGAAAAAACATGTCCATTCTAGTGATAACTTCAATGTAAGGTCAAGACTCAAGCAGTTTTAGTAAACATGTGTTGACAATTTGTCAATCAGCTAACTTTATTTGTTCAATAATATTGTCTATAAAAAGTTGTTTTCTTGATTTCCTATTTTAATTGTATTCAAATTAGGAAATTGAATTAAAAGTGAAGTGAAATCACGCACGATATTTGGTATATCCGAAGTTTTTATAAATAATTGGTAATTATTTTGACTAATTTTACAATATTATGATGATAATCGACCAACCAGTATACTGTGAACTCATGTCAAGGAGTTTATTTTGTATGGCCTTGTACGTTCTAATTTTAAAAATACCGGAAATATTAGAAATAAAAACCCAAATTTTCCGTTCTGAAATTGGTTCACTAAATTATATAGATCCTATATTCGATAATTTCTTAACTGTCAATATTTGTCCTGATTATGATAAATAAGTTTGTTTAGTTTCGTTTATCTGTCCTAGATAAAGTTCATGAGTACAATATTTTTGTTAGCATGTATTTAAGACTGTTAATACGGGACTTCATCCTTGTGAATTTAATTCATTGCCTATTCAGGAATCATTATTTTTATTTTAGGTATAATTACTTGAACAATTAAAGAATTTCTTTAGGATTTTTTAAAAATAAAAAACCTATTTAGCAATTATTGTAGTTAGTAAGCATCAAATATTAAACTTACATAAAATATTCTTTCAACAGTAAACATGAAACGCCTTCTCGTTATATTCACGATAATAATCTCAGCATATGCAAGGCGGAAACCAACATGCCATGCATGCATAAACTCAGTGTGCTACAACCGGGAACTAATTATGAGGGGCTTCAAACTCTCCGGCCAGCTAGCTATCGACAGAACGTCAAATATTTTATACTTTCATTACCGGCACAAGCGTAAAGAAGTCACTGGAGCCTTCAGTTTAGATGAAGTGAAGCTGAGCATTTTGCCGTTAAATTTTACTTTTGGACGAGCTGTTGATCAACTAACTAGAAATTTATACACGTCCGGGGTACAAGGAATATATATATACAAACCAATCAATAACTCAACAGAACTTTACGCTTTGAAAGACAAAACCATTTGGCATATGCAGTATGAGGACAAATTATTTTACACGGAATTCAAAAGCAAAGGACTTTTTAAATACGAGAATAAAAAATCTATCAAAATTCCCGAACTTGCAGATTATCAAATCGATAACTTTATTATAGATGGACATAAAGATATATATTTTATGAGTAATTACTCAATTCACGTATTAAGAAATGGCAGTAAAGAGGTTGAACTTTTTGAAGACGAAATATATTATATGTCCACGGATAAAAATGGAATTGCATACTTTATACAGCCTTACACTAAAGGTTTATATAAAATAAATGATATTGGAAAATTAACAGAAGTTGGGGCTTTTCAGAAAGATTCGGTGTTTTTATTCGTTTTTGATAGTGAAAATAATATTATATACGAAGGAAATGATTCCAGTGTGTATTATTTGGCGCCAAAATTAACTAAATGCAGTGTTACGACAAAAGGCGTGGGTAAATTTAGGAAGAAAATAATATCCACTACTGACCAATGAGTAAAAGAATAATGTTGCCAGTATATTAATTAGCTTTAAATTACAGAAATAAAAACAATATATTTTTAATTATTTATTAAAATAAATGGTTTCTCTGTTTACAATTTTTTATTTTCCTATTTTAGATAACCAAAATAAGTATGTAAAAAAGCGGATTATGTATTAAGAATTTTTATTTTTTAGTCTTAATCTATGTAGTATATTTTTAAATACATTTATGTAATAACAAAAACCGGAAACCATAGACAACATTTAATAAAGATTAAAATATATAGGTCCCTTTTAATCTTAAATATAAACTTTTGCCCATCCCACCAATATAACTTGAGCGTATATATTAATTATTCAGTCTTACTTAACAAACAATAATAATTTTATTATAACCATACATATACAAACAAACAAAAAATATTTATTAATAATTTCAATAAACAGTTTTTTTATATATAAATCTCTATGGTACATATATTTTTTCTTTTAACAATTAATTTAACTTTTTTTTTCATCCACAATCAGAAATATAATGCTTCTTTCAAGAAGTTAAAACTTTTGATAAATGGAGAATGTTTTGACATACAAGAGTACTGACTTAAATAGTCTAAATGATATATAATATATGATTATTATATCTATATATATGTGCTTTTAATCTATATTCTGCTTTGCTTGCACAATCTCTCCGCCCAAATATGATGTATTGGATTAAGGGTAGTGCTTAATGCCTGTTTCCAAGGCTTAAGATGTTTGTTCTGTCTGAAAAATTTTATGTTAATAAAACTCATTAATTATCTAGCAGACTACTTATCTAATCTAATTACCAATTATTTTTGTCTAAAATTAATAATTAATCTCTATACTGATGTATATCTACATATAATTGTTTAAGCAAGTATTAAATAATATTATTACTTATAAAAAATCTACTTCTATATAAATATATCATATTACATACATTGCATTCAGTTTCATCACGTTTCTTATTTGCCATTGTATCTGCCTTATATTCGTTCTCCAGATCAAAGAGCTGTAAATTATAATTTAAAATTATTAATATGTATATTTTGTAAAATAAGTACATATAGAAACTTTTTTTATCGAAACTTCTTGAATGTATCAATAGAGTTATAAAATAAATTCATAATTGGAATTTCTCAAAAATATATTTAATTTTAAATATATGTATGTATATGATTATATCAAAGAAAGATGAGACATATTTTATATATATTTTTATGGGAATTTCAATCATATAAATTATCATATATTCATATTTTATTACTGAATTTTTGTTACATTTAATTACACACTACTTACAACATACAACTAAATACACAAATAATACTACATTAAAAATCTTACCTTCATTCCATAGCATTACAGTTTTCAGAAATGACCTGACATTATATATAGAAGTATTTTTTTAAACCTTGTTACCTTCAATATATCGGAGTTGGGTAGATGATCACTCGGGCCGGTTTGAGTGAAATATTTTATGAGTCTTCCACCAGGACCCACTAGCAAAGCCCCGCCTGTTTGGACCCAGTCACCTTTCAAATCACCTCCTAAACCTGTATTTGAATTACATACCTGATTTGGTAAGTTTTGGATTTTGTACATCCGTTGTAGAGTAATGGGAATTACATTATGAGAGCGTGGCTTTATTTTTGATCATAAATTTGTATACAAAAAGAACAAACTAAAATCATGAGATCTATAATAGGTAAGATCTAAAGCTTTCTCCATTTTTATTCATTTAAATGAAAGTAAAATTTTTCGGATATTTCGGACGCAGTTTCATTTAAACCAAATGAAATCCTTATTCAAAACAGATTCACCAAACAAAAAATAATTCATATTTATAAGCCTAACCAAATTAGAAATATATTTTAAACGTTTTATTTATATACTAGCTTTCCGCCCGCAGCTTCGCCCGCGTGGAGTTCGGTTATATCGCGTTTCAAAGAGAACCTTTCGAAAGTCTGGGATAAAAACTATCCTATGTTCTTTCTCAGGGTCAACTCTATCTCTGTACCAATTTTCATTAAAATCAGTTCAGTGGTTTAGGCGTGAAAGCGTAACAGACAGACAGATAGACAGACAGAGTTACTTTCGCATTTATAATATTAGAAGGGAAGAAGGGATTTAAAAATAAAAATTAAGAAAAGCCACATGCAAATTATTTACTTATTAATAACGTAAATTATTTCAATACATACTTTATTCCACGATAAAACTGTAGCCAATGTTTTCCATATATTAATTATATATTCAAGATCAAGGAAAACTTGTTTTTTATTCACCATTCAAGATAATACTTACATGGTTAGGTATTTATGCAAACACTTCTACATTTAAGTATACTTTTACACGCAAACACATAACATCCTAGTAAATTACCTAACAATTACTCTAACAAACATTACACTATACATTTGTTGTATCTAAAAGTTTAAAACCTTAGCTATTTCCATATTATTCAATCTATCGGCCGGCGCTAATTGTACGTAATGACATTCAACATTCCCGCCGCATATGAACAGGCCGCCGCCATTTTGTAAGCCGTCACCAATAAGATCGCTATGCAAACCTGTTGTTATTTTTATTTCATTTATTTTGAAAAATTTTAATAGATTTGTTACAAGAGTACTTAATATGTATAAGAAAATAAGATTTGGTCCTTAATCAGGTCATATCTAAATTCTAATACAATTATTTAAACTATCAATAGTGAAACAAATGTTATTAGCTTGCAATCTTTACTCTTTTTTTCATTTTGACTAGATAGCGCTTGAATATAATTTCACCTGTTGATAAGTAGTAAATAATAATCAAGCCATAGATTTTGAGCGCACCCAAAAATCACTAGTTCAATCAAGGCATGAAGACACTAAAATTATGATTTGAAATGAAACAGAACAAAAATAGCTGTTCCAATTCTTCCACGGAGAAGAAAGCGTGTAGTTTCGTCTCAATGCGAAGAAGGTCTACGAAGAATGGTAGGAGGAAGGCCGTGTTATGTTGGAACAGCGATAAAAAAGATACTCAGAAAATAAAGATGAAAAAATTTTGATAACCACCCGATTACCGTCCTTTCATATTCTTAGGCAACAAACTTCCGGTACTAGCAGATCGTAAGTGTGAATCAAAATTGACGCTACTGTAAGGAAAGATCCCAAAGGAACTAATGCGTTCACCACCATTGGCTTAGAGGAGTACCCATTAACATGTTTTAACGCACGTTGCGTTTAGGAAAAAATGTACCTACATCAGGCTATTAAGACAAGACCTCAAGTGAAACTGGGAGAGCATCACATTTGCTTTAAAAAAAAACCTTTCCCCATAAAACTGTGATAGAATGAAATGAATGAGCTTAAGGAATTTTCTATTTTTTTTTTACAAAATACCTGCACTGTAAACTGTTAGACGTAAATGTAAGACTTGTTTTAACTATGGAAAATGTATATCATACTACCTAAACCTTTTAATAGTAATAAAAATACAAGACGCGATAAATATTTGGTATAAAGTTATTAAAGAATTATAAAACAAGTCTTTGTATAAATAACATGTTCAGTGATGTGTGTTTTCTCACAGATATATACTTTTGCTAATACAATATGAAACAAAGTGGTCAAAGTCTCAGGTGCATCTAGTTTAAAAGATATTCTTGATAATTTAGGAATATTCAAAGACAAACATTCATATAATATTCATTGGACAAAATAATATAATAAAATCATGGCACACACACACGCACAAATACACACACTCACACACTAGCTTTTACTAAAGCATATATTTGCTTAAATGGTTCATTATTTAAGATTTCTAATGTATAACTAGCTAGTAATTCTAAATTATTATCTCTCTAAGTGTATAAAATAGAAAAAGGTTTTATACTTTTTGTTTAGTTATGATGTATATTCAACTATTTTAAATATTCATATAGAAGTATTATGAATAATTGAATATTTAACAAATACAATTATAAATTGCAATACTTCAGCCAACGCTCCATTAAAACCTTTTTGATTTTCATAAACTAATAAATAGAAAAATAACATTAAAAAAAATCTAAAACTCTACTGTATTTTATAGAAAAAAAAACTTAAAAAATATCACCTCCAGATACAAATAAATTAAATACATGTATGGACATCATATTTAATTAAAAAACTTACCAAGACTTTTCCCTTTGACAATTGCCTCTCGAGACTGCTTCCAAAACAGTGATGTTATAATGGAAACCAGATTAAATCTCTTGAATTCCAAAGTCTGATAAATAGACTTATCTTCAGCATAAAACAGATCTTAAAAAAGAACACAATAATATTTATGATTTACTGTCATTAAAAATATTTCAACTGTTCTAAATATAATTTTTTTTATTATTATAAAATTGTTGTTGATATCATTCAGCTTCATCATAAAAAAAGGTTGCATAGGTTGCAACCCTTTTGCAAATTATTTAAAATTTTACCTCCATTAAAATATTTGCCATCCACAAACTCCTTTGAACCGGCCTCCTCAATCCCTATCCCAACAAGTCTGATGTTATTCTTCTTTAAGATCGGGTAGATTTCACCAAGCTGAAGAGAAATATATAATAATTATAAGATATATATATATTTTTTTGTTCATTCTATATAATGATAACTCTCTATAACAATAAATATGCTCAATCCCTTGAGTTTCGTTATAAAGAGTTTAAAGTAAATATATATATTCACGTTCATCATTAAAGTACTACTTGCGACATATTTAATAAAATTCAATTTTTTTTAATAAGGATTATATATTAAGAAGAATTTAATAGTCATACATTACCTCCTTAGCCCACAATCTGCAAAACATACAACCCCAGCGGCGAAAGAATATTATTGCAACATTCTGATCCTTCCAGAAACTCTGCATTTCCACAGCCTATAAATATAAAGTAGGAGAAATTATATTAATATACTATGAGTTAGAATATTTTTATCAGTATCATATTAAAAAAAAGCAAATTTTTTATGAATATGCATCAAAAAATATTATTTTTCATCTGATAAGTCTTATCATTTACATAACATATTTAGCTCTGATAAAATTTGTAGTCAGGTTGTCTAGAATGGTCTATTTTAATGTAAAATAATAATTAGATAGTATAAATAAAAAAATAGATCTCGTAAGTACTTTTCCTTAAAGAGGCCGCATGCCCATTTAATTGGGGCCACAACAAATAGATGTAACTTGTACTTTATGTGGCAACAGATTATATGTCAGTTGAATAAGGAATAATTGATTCACTTTCTAATAATATGAATATATTTAATAGGTAAATCTATTGATGCGTTACAATAAAATTCATTACCTCTCCGCCAGGAATTGCTTTTACTTTCTGAGAACTTATTTTAGATAAATCGAAAGACATTTTTGACAAATTTATTTAACTCGTTTTATTTAAATTTATTGTTAAATCTCCCGACTAATTAATTTTCGAACTTTACACCAAAATAAATTTGAAAGTTGCTACACCGTTCAAAAGTGAATTTCCTTTAGAAAACACAAATAAATATGAAAATATGTCAACTGTGACAATGAAACATTTAATATTGCCATTAAGCGGTTGAAAGAATTATTTATAAACTAGGTAACATATTTTTTTAATTGTGTCTTCTCCCGATATATAAATGTGTTTAATATTAAAATACTATATTTATTATTATTTTAATAATTGATATTTATTTTTAAACAGTATATATAACTTGTAAATTTATTGGTTTGTTCCATATACACTAAAATTGATATAAATGAAGTAATCATCAAATGGGTTACTCTCATTGGTTGAAATATATTCCTTGAATAGATTTTATTTGTCAATTCGAGATTGTTTTACTTGACATAGAAATCACACTACTGAAGCCTCAAAGTAAGTAAACCATAGACAAACTATTTTCTACCGCAAAATTTTGATTGTTCATTGCGCTTCATTATAGTGGCTAAGTGTTCAGGGTTGAATAAAACGCCGCGTGCTCTGCCGGTTTCTTATATTTGTCAGAAACACTGATTTAAAGGTATGTAATTACTATTTTATATTCTAAAGTAAAAAAAATACAACATCTTAACAAACAAAACTCCTTGACATTACGAAAACGTGCACAAGATTACATTTCTTTGAGTGACCTTGTTTTTTTTAACTATACCTTGAATTTAATAGGTAGGGTAGAAATTTTGTTGTCTAATAAGTTACTGATTTTAATGTTATTATTTACGTGGTGCATATTTAAAATACACTACTATAGTTGTAGATACACTATAGTTGTACCTTGAGATGAGTCACGCCAATTGTATGCACAATTAACTACTTCACCATGAATCCGTATCCTTACCTAGTAATTTTAAAATTCTTATCAGAACAATTATAATACAAGCGTGTAATATAATTATTCAGTAAATGAACCGCTCAACTTACGTGATAACGACTATTGTGAATGAATTTAATATAATAGATACTTTTATGTTTAAGATATTAAAATTATTACTCAAGTCACCTAATGAGAATTGTACTATTATCTTATAAGATAATAACTTAAGCTATTGTTGATGCGGCAGTAGATATTTAAAAAAAAGTACTTCAACAAATATTGTAGTATCATTGTTTTTCTAGTAGCAACTTTAATGTTAAAATAATGTTTCAATGTTTTTTTTTTGTTTCCCCTCATATTTTAGAATTTGGTGTAAAAACCAGTCGCTGATATAATTTTTATTGTTTAAACAGCTATCTCGTTTAATTGGTGTATAAATCTTGTTTTGGATTCATAAATTTGTAGTCAAAATGTCAATATATTGGCACAAATCTAATATCTTTTTTTGTTATGCCTTGAAAAAATGTTTTTTGCAATATTTTGTCTGCAAATAGCACAAAGTTATGTTGCAATAATGAATAATTTTTGATAAAGTTAGTACTCGTTACTACAGTTATAATTATTACAGTTATAATACTCTTTATTAGTACAACATTATTTTTTTAATTTAAGCAACCAACATCACCAAGATATCTTCTCAACAGGACAACTAACATATTTTATACTTAATCTTTTTTAATTTTAATTCACACATATGGTACAAAATAAATTTTATATTGTAATTTTTCTTATATGAATCAATTTAAACACAAACTATTTGCTTCCGTTAATAATTGCTAACTATACTTTGCTCATGACTTTGTCTAACTTTTGTACAATATTTCTTTTAGCTTTATATTTTGATGAATATATGTACATCTAATTTAAATTCATTTTTATTAAAATACCTCTGGTTAATAAGCTTCAGATAGATATGGTACTAGAAAAGTACACCTTATATGACAAACATATTGTGAAATTATGATTGTGCAATTATCAAATAATATATTGATAATATACTTCTACTTAATTATTATTTCATTATCTTTAAAATTATATATTTCTTTGTCATATGGTATTACTTTGCATAACAGCATTCCCAAAGAGGGTTGATGTTCAGGCAGGCAGCCAGTCGTAAAACAATTAGCCAAAACTATTTACAACATGTTCTGTGGAAATGTTGTGCCGACCCTACATAAAGTGGGACCACGGCAGAAAAAAAAATACAATGCATAAATATAAATATTTAATTGTTTCTAGATAGTTCTTTATTGATTTTAGTCATTGGATTTAAGGAAAACATTGCATCACTACTTACTAGCTAAATAGATTAATCATTGTATCTTTTGATATCTAAGAATAATAAGATTACATCAGAATATACCTCCATTAATCAATAAAATTATGCGTATTTGTTATGACTCAAGATTTTTTTTTACGTGAAGACGAAATTAGTGCCAGATTCATCTCATTCAGATGAAAAATAAGTCGAAATACGATCGCCGGTCTTAGTCTTAAAATATAGTTTAATTTAAAAACAAACTTATGTCATTTTCTTCTTTCTTATAAATATTCTATCTGGGTGGGTTTTTTTTATCGTGAGAATTTTAAATTAAATAAATCATAGATTGTTATCAGGAACGGAAATTCGTTAATGATATTAAAGTATATTTTGTTTTAAAAAATCGCGGCTTTTGTCTGCGTGTAAATTAAATGTTTGGCGTGTATCCGTCTAATAATTTAATTTTCTATAATTAGCATAATATTATTATTATTACAATAAAAAATTATCCTTCCTAGCAAATTTTTCACACTTTTAAAAGTCACAAAGGTAAAATATAGATTATATATAGGTTTTTGCGATAGCTTAAAAATATGCAACGATTTTACGTATGCTTCCTCATTCCAATTTTTAATTACTAACATTTAGTCATATACTAATTTATTTACTAAAAACCGTAATAAATTATGCACTAACAAATACTCTCGTATCTATAAACCACAATGCGATGATGATATAAAAATAGCTTTAACATTTTTTTATCACCCAGACACTTAATATAAAAAGGGTAAACATAATATTGATCTACTAAATATTTATTTATTAATGTATGATGTAACTTAAATTAAACCAGTAATTTGAATAACTTGATCAAATGAATTTATAGGAAAGAACTATAGGAAAAAGCGTTACAAAATACCTACTGTATGAACTGAAAATATGTATAAAGAGCAAAACTTTTATTTCTATTTTAGTGTGTAATTAATTTGTAGGCATAATAATTGTAAGTACTTTGACGTAAATCTTCTATATATGTATATAAAAATGGATTGCTGTTCCTTAGTCTCGCTAAAACTCGAGAACAGCTGAACGGATTTCTCTTATCTTAGTCTTGAAATGTTTGTGGAGGTTCAGGGAAGGTTTAAAAGGTGAGAAAAATTGATTCATTTCCGGGAAAACCCTAAAAACAGCCCTTTTCTATTTCCCATACAAATGTTTTCTTTGACATTAGATTTGACCACTAACTAATATGTCAATCATTCTGTTCGATTGAAACAGGAAAAACCTGATTATTTACGGCCTCTAGGACGGAATAGAGTTCGCCCGGTCAGCTATACATATATCACTAATGACGAAATTAACGCGGACGAAGTCGCGGGCAAAAACTAGTTATAGTATAAAAGTTGTATTAAATATACATAGCTAAAGGTTTGTAAGGTTTTGGCTGAAAAATTATAGGTAGGTTTGTAGAGCAATGAGACGGATATAGAATGCTTTTAATAACGTTTAACCGAAAAATAAATATTTAAAAGCCAAAATCTGCTTTTTTAATGATTCTAAGACGAAACCAAATTCTGAAATTGGCATGGATGAGGTCGCGAACCAAAACTAGTTTTATACATTAAGAAAAAAACATTATTCATAAAGTTGCTACTATGTTTTTAGTTTTGAAACAAAAAAAAACTAAGTTTTATTTGTATATATTTTACCCACGTATTTTTTATCTATGAAACCAGCTATAGGTTATCGTTATAAAAACTACACGGCTGGATAACGCTCTGTAATCGATCGTATCTGAACACCTTATCAAACTAAATGATACGAGAAAATAAAACATTTATATTCAACCTGCTTTGCTCAAGCTGAATGAAAATGGCTGCATGTTGTGTGCCTTTGCCTATTACGTCATTAGGGCGACGAAATCGATTTTTATGTACTAGAATAAACTCTACATATTAACTTTGTTGGAATTTTTTTATTAATAAAATAAATTGTAATTACTCATGTTTTTTCTATATAAGAAGTTTTTTCATTTAAAACAACGATCAAGGTTAAAATAAGTATCAAAGTAAGAATGAATGTGGAATTTAAAATAACGATTGCCTGCTCGTATCGTGTCGGTCATTCGCAAGTCATGATTATTAAGAACGATTGCGTCATAAATGAGTCAACGCCATTTTAATTTTGTCCAATAACAATTTCCCGCCATTACGTCGCTGTTCGAATGGTCAATACATTACTTATTGCTTTTTCGCTCAGTTTATTGTGAATTGTGAGACTCGGTGGTTTGAAGATTGGTGTGGTGTTTGATAAGACTGAATTTTTCAATATAAGTACCTGAGTAAGTTTTAATATAAAATAACTTATTCACAATGTATATTCAACAGTATATTTTTTTCAAAATTGTTTTTCTTAGTGCTTATTGACAAAAAAAGGAATTTGTTTTGTAAACCGAGCATCAGATCTGTTTGACGCCCTTATCTGAATGTAGTTTTTGATATCCTTTATCGTATTTAAAAAGCTAAATAAAATAATACGTACAATTTAAATTAGAAGTTCTATCTATATAAATTCAATAAGTTTTATCGATTTTAAAGAAGTAACATCGTATTAAGTTCAAAATTTTTAAAACATGCGAGATCTTATAACTGGTTTAACAAGTTTTTCAAAGGAATTATTATATTCATGTTATTACAAGTTGGAATAACATTGCGTATACTAAGTTCATATTAAAAGTTAGCTCAAAACAAATGGAAAAAACTTCAATTCTTAGATAAAGCACGTTTACGTATATTTTTGTGACGATTTCCATAGAGAATACTACGAGTGTATCGTCACACTAATAACTTACACTTAAGTATTTCATAAACAATTACAAGTAATATTACTATATGCAACGATATATGGTTAAAAAAACCTTGAAACACTATTTACTATGACGTTGTAAAACTCGTATTAAACATGCTATGAGGAAAATGGTAAACAATATGTCGTATCTGATTTCGCGTTTATATAAATAAGATTCCTATCAGAAAATTTTAAATATGTTTTTCGGATACTATTACTTTTGTATAAATTAATTTTTATACATTTTCTCGAAGTATCTGTTACTTTGCAGCATGATCACGGACAGACGAGATGAAAATGTCTGTCAATTAGTCACATTATTGGTCATATGTTGATGAAATAAATATATAAATTGCGTAATTATAGAAAAATTGTTTAAATTTAAATTTGTATTCACGGTAATCTGAGATATTATTTTTATCAGAACATTATACTCATATATTTTTTAATAAATTGTTATTAACATTTAGCTATGACAATAATTATAATTTACGCCCTTAAGTAACATTCACTTAAATAGAATATACTAAATATTTTAATATAAGATCTTTTTTACTGACCGACTAATAAGATCTTGTTAGTCAGTGGTGGCCTAGTGGTTAGAGGGCCCGCCTCTCGTTGCCGAGGGTGCGGGTTCGATCCTGGCAAGTACCAATATGATTTTTCCGAGTCACATGTAATTTCTAAGAATATTAAGACATCACTGATTAATGCATTCCCAAAGAGGGTTGATGTCAGGCAGGCGGCCGTTCGTAAAAAACAATTAGCCAAAACTATTCACAACATGTTAAGGCAGACCCTGGCTGTAGCCGGGAAATTGTCAGTTAGAAGATAATATAAGAGCTTCTTATTGGACAAATAATAGCACAATCAAAGAAACTAAACAGTAATTTATATAATTTCAGTTCCATAAAATGGCCATCCACATCAAAGATGCCGATGACTTGAAGAACAGGCTTGGTGAAGCGGGCGAGAAGCTTGTGGTCATAGACTTCATGGCTACCTGGTGTGGACCCTGCAAGATGATTGGACCCAAACTAGAAGAACTTGCCGGGGAAATGGCTGACTCTATTGTAGTACTTAAGGTATGTATCATATATATATACTAGCTGCGATTTCCGGGATGTAAAGTAGCCTATGTGTTATTCCTGGATGTCAGCACTATATACAAAATTTTATCAAAATCGGTTCAGCCGTTTGAGCGTGAAGAAGTAACAAACATACACTCACAAACTTTCACAATTATATTATTAGTAGGATAAAACTATATTAATATTGTTATCTACAGCATCCCACTAGAAATGGTGAAGCAATGATTATTTTAAGCAGAATCAAGTCTACCACATATCAAATTTAAGTATTATATATGTACCTATTTATTATATATGTCTTATAAATATTTTACATGTTACCAGGCAAGTTTAAATAGTACTTAATGTATGTACCAACTCATTCTTACAGTGTATGAGGCAAGTTTGAAAGATTAAGATACCATTTAAATAAATAACCAGTCATTGGTTTAGGTTCTTGGGTTAAAAACTGTTTGTAATATATATTTTACTTATATATGGAACTTAAAGATAACTTGTTGTAGGTTTGGTTAAGAAAATAGGATCAAAAGCAATTTGGTTAGAATTTTTTCCTAAGACTGATAAAAAGTAATGTGTCTCAAGGCTAGTAGAAAGTCATAGACTTAGAGGTCGCAGGTTGAAATCTTTTGAGTCAATTTCTGTTATATACAAATATATTAGTTAGTAATCAGTAAGAAGAAATAAATTTTTTACTTATATTAAAATTATACTAGTGAATTTTCATTAAAAGTACTCAATAAAAATAAAGTTACATGAATGAAGAATTTTGAAGTACATATACTCAAAAGTTTGGCAGGAATAATTACTAATATAATATAGAATGATATACGATTTATAAGGTAATTCCTAAATGATTCACAACCAATTTATAATTGTTTCACAGAAATGATCTAAACATACACATTATAAACACATATATTTATTTTAATTCATTCAATAACATTGATTTTAACACTACCCAAGGTTATAACATGTTGATGTGAAATTTGTTGTAGAAAAAATTACTTAAACAAACTCAAATTATTGTATATGTATTGTTGTTACTCACACATTCAACATTAATTTTCTATATACATATATGGAAATATAAATATACGCCATATAATTATGTATTACACCATACATGCTTAAATAATCCCAGTACATACGACCCGTTCGTACTTGAGGTTCGCATATATTTAAAGACAAGCTTTCCGCCCGCGTGGAGTTCGGTTATATCGCGTTTCCAAGAAAACCTTTCAATACTCTAGTATAAAAACTATCCTATGTTCTTTCTCAATGTCAACTCTATCTGAACCAAATTTCATTAAAATCAGTTCAGTGGTTTAGGCGTGAAAGCGTAACAGACAGACAGAGTTACTTTCGCATTTATAATATTGGTATTTATTTTTATTCACAAGTATTTAATAATGAATGACCTTTTATATGTATGGCAACTGACTACTCTATTAAATCTGACTATAAAACTTTACTAAGGTTATTAACGTGTGTATACGCGTATCACACTGTAATTGATATCAAAACAACACAATACAACACCACAGTCAATGTCATTATACGTACATGAGAAATAATATTAATTTACAAAATAATACAATATATAACATAATTACAATTTTTCGTTCGATTTAATAAAAAATATAATGTTTGATAAGTGTGGGACTTTCTTAGGTCAATGAACTTTAGATTTTAAAGAAAATCTTTAGAAAGACTTGAAAGAAATTGTTAACAGACGGGGTTACAAATAGTTGAATAGAGAAATTGCTCCTTCTTTGATCTTCTAAATTACTTTTATATTATGTACTTGGAAGTGAAACTACCTTCAAAATCGATCGAACAGTTTTTATCAGATTATCTGTAATAAATAAACAGACATACGTGAATTAACAAGCGCATTTGTATATGTATATACAGGGTGACTGGTGAATTACTATCGATATTTGAGGACGTGATTTGTGACGATGATATATGACGAAATAAAAATTAATATAACATAAATATTAATAAACTTCTAAGTAAAGTTAACCAAAAGTTATGTAATTAATTACGCATCGTGTGAACACCCTACAGATTAGGTATACACTCACACATACGCGAGCGGGGCGTGGTGTTGTATCAGCACGCCGCCGCACGCGTCCACACTAGGAACACTTGGAACGTGTCAACACTTTATTTATTTATACGGAAATTTTGTCAAAAATTAAGTACCTATTTTTTTACATAATTCGAATGAGAATCATGTACTGAGTATCCTCCTTAAATATTGATAGTAATTCACCAGTCACCCTGTATTTGCGAAAAAAAGTTTAATATTAAATGACAAAGAGACAGTTAAACTTTATTTACTACTAGCAGTTATTGAGATTTATACCTTCATATAAACAAAACTCTTCAGTTCTAAAATACTAATGAGACTTTCGCGAGTATTCATTTAGATGAAACTAATACTTTAGTATTACTACGCGTTAATTTATTATTTTCTGCTAATAAATTAATCGTAGTAATCCAAAAGTACTAGTAGTAGTAGTTTGGTTTATAATATTTATATATAAAATAATGTCGTGTTAGTTACACTGTTTATAACTCAAGAACGGCTGTACGGGTTTGGATGAAAATTGGTGGAGAGATAGATTAGAACATAGGATACTTTTTTCGGATTGAAAGAGAAAATTCTAAATCTTATTATTTACTGCCGCTAAAGGAGGAACAGAGTTCGCCCGGTCTTATTTTAATTCTGAAACTAACTCAGATTAAGTTACAGACAAAAACTAGTATTAGTATATAATAGTTTGTTTTAGTATATATTATATATTAACATATATTTGCAGGTGGACGTGGACGAGTGTGAAGACATCGCCACCGAGTACAACGTGAACGCCATGCCGACCTTCGTGTTCATCAAGAACTCACAGAAACTTGAGGAGTTCTCCGGAGCTAATGTGGACAAGCTCAAGAACACCATCCTTAAACTCAAGTAGACACACACACACACACACATAAACCCTTACTACGAGCTCGCGACACATACATACCGACAGTTTGACGTTTGACGCGTACATACATACACACGTACATCTATAATAGTTGTATCAACGTCAATACGTACCGTTTGATGTGACACGAACTCGTAGTAACATTCAAAGCTTAAATTCACAAAAAACAAGTTTAAAGTTATTTATATAATATTATTTCGTGGAACAGAGTGTCTTAATAAATGTTTTTTCACTGAACGCGTCGAGCCCGCTGTATCACTCATGTATGTATGTTAAATATTGTTACTTGAATAAAATGTATTAAAATTATATTTTATTGTTTTCTGATACCTTTATCTACTTGTTTGTTTATTGAGATATATGTAATGTTTATAAAAATGTCGATAAAATGGTAGAAATGTCTAGTTTTAATAAGAATCTGTTTTGAACATCACAAATATCCACTCCCCTCCTCCCTCCATACAGAAAAATTACTCTCATGAAAGATAAGATCTAAAACATATAAACCACTATTGCTCTAAACAAAATTATTTAATAATACGTATTGTTTGTGAGTTATTTTGAGTGTGTGATAGCTGAGACTATCTCTTAATGCATAAAATACTTTTATTATTAATGTGGTCACTATAAAATTATTAGTTTTTCAAAGCATCTAACTTGTTTTTGTTGTAAGAGCTCATTAAATTTCCAGTTAATTTATATACATCATATGAGATTAAATATATTTTATGCAATTAGTCTTTCTAGAAAATTGGACTGAAAATAAAATATTCTTGTTTTCCTTTCAATTATACAAAATTTAAAGCTTCTACATCTCTTAGAATTGAAAAGTAAATTGTAACGATCAGTAAGTGATAAAATTAATAAATTTCAGATATAATCCTTAAGTTACTGATTCTAATTCGAGAACTATATCATGTTTATACAGCTTGCTTGGTTACCAGAGATATGGACTTCTTGTTTATTCCACAACAAAATATTGGAACGTAAAACGTTTGCAAAGATGGTATTCTAAAGTTTTGTTTTCACGAAAATGACAAGTTCAGTAATGTTGGCTTTCTGATACCTTAGAAAATATAGAAGATGAAAACATGCAGATTAATTCATGTGTTATTATCTATTTCTATTAAATACAAGGAACTGTGATAGGTGTTTTGATAAATAATACACTTGATCGGTAATTTATATTCGTTTAATCAGATATTTACATGAAATAATGACGTACTGATATACATTCCACGTAGTTATTGTAGTTCAATAATTTGTTACACGGCTGAGGACAGTCACGTCACTAGTATATAATACTTGACAACTTTATACATTTATTTAAGCGTATGAACAATTCAACATTACGTGTTCAATGAAAACAGCGGAAACGGAAGCGACCTTTAGAACCTTATTGTCAGGGAATAGGGTCCAATATGATATTAAGTACTAATGAGTGCTACAAGTAATATATCCATATATATAGGAGGTCAAAGTATTAGTAAGATCATAAGAAACTTCGCGTGTCGCTCACGATAAAAAAAGCGGTATACAATGTATATAAAATTGAAAGATTATAAAAAACTTCTTACAATATATATGAAGTGATTGGATTCAAATGAAAACTATCGGGATGCGCTCCTAGAGATACATATATAATATATATATATATATTAAAAAACAATATACACTATGAAATAGAAATATTTGATTTTGGAGAAATAATAATTACCTAATAGAAAAGTACTATAAAAAAACAAATTATTTTCAAGATAAATAAAAGTATATTATAGAAAAATCATTTTTTTTTGGAGATTCTTATATAGTTTAAAATTGTTAAATATAAATACCTAATTTAATTTAATAAAATCTCCTGAACGCATCCCAAACACCACTAACGTGAAACAAATCTAATTACATTCGCATACATTCAGCCCGAGTTACATATAATACATTTAAACATAATACATTTAATTTAGAAAAACATTTCGTCAATACAAAACTGTTATATTTTCATTCTTATAAATGATCTTTGGACGCGCCTCCACGCATGTATACAACACACAACTAACATTATCCGTACACTTTAACTTAAACTAAACTAAAAGAATAAATTGTCGTGTTCACAAAAATAATAATAAAAAAAATAAACAAAAGACTAGATTGTTAAAAAAAACTACAAACTAGGTACCTACATTAATGTCACAATCATGAGATTTTCAATGAAATTAATAATATACTTATAATAAAAACATGGTTATCTTAGAAACGTGTGTAAAATACAAATAATGTACATTACGTACGTTTGTAATCTCATACAGTTATAATTTAAATAAATGGGAAGATTTCTTTACAAAAATTGGTCGTAACGGCTTCGCTTACACTGGTTACTAAGTAAACAACACTAAGTCCAGTATAAACAGAACTGTGAATTTCCTTTAATGGCAGTGGTTGTGTATTAATTATAATAGGGTTGCCGTATTTGGGTCGAGTTCATATCTAAAACAGCCTTTTTCGTTGAATAAATTACAAACATCCGGCAACCCTAAACTCACAACTATTTGTACCTAGGAAATAAACTTCGTTTCGAGCTAATAATACACTAAATTTTAAATAATCACATATTAATAAATAAAAATTAATCGGCGGTGCAAAAACGGTCGAATTAAAAATGGCGGTCACGGTTAAAGCGAAGCTAAATAAATAATTTAAAAATCCTTAATCTACATACATTTTAATATAATTAAAAATCTATTTACTGAGATTTAAACACGAGATTATTCAACAGAATATATGAAAAGAAAATTTGTTAAAATAATTTTGCAATAAATTACGTCGACAAGCGACTTATAATAAAAGTGTAATACATATTCGAGAGTTCATTATAAAATGGTTATTCCTATGTACAGGATAAACAAACCTACTTATATATATATTAATATATAATACTAATTGACCGTAAAGCCACTGGGGTCACTACGTAATATTATTATCATATGGAAGTTATGTGTACGAGCGGTTACATACTTTATATATAGGAACCAAATTTTTCAAAGATCTCGGCATTTCGAGTTATTAAAGGAAGATCCGCTGTGTAAATTATAAAAGAAATTTAAACTGTGGAAGAATTTACATTGATAGATTCATTTCAGCCTCAATTATATACTTGTCATGGTTATAATATCTATATAAATGTTAGTGTGAGAGTTCATCTTGTAGAACGTCAGGGCTCGCGTCGGGGGGGCGAAGCGCCGCCGCTGTCTTCCGAATGGGGCTCCGGTTCCGTCCCCACCTGTCAAATACACACACATATAAACTCACATACATACATTAATACCACACTTTACGCGAAAAAAATCTCGTTAACTGAAATTCGCGTATATCGATTCATGACTAAACACAGTCAAAATTTAATACAAAAAATTATAAATAATTTTAATTCAAAGAACACTTTATGCAATACTCTTATTTTTACAGAAAAATACATGTATTGTTTTTCGGTAGCGTTTTGTTTACGTACTAGTAAAATACGTTCATAACACTCAACACTGTTTTTAATTGTTTGATACACGTCATTATGGTGTCTAGAATAGAATAGAATATACTTTATTGTACACCACAAACAGTAAATATTACACGAAAAAAGATTATAAATTGAAATGTACAAAATGTAGGTGTCAATACTCAGCAGTAGGTCTAAACCTGAATAAATTTTCAAAATTCGCGTTATATTAAACCCGAGCACACTGTATATACATACAGATGGTTAGTAGATATTTGTGAACATACAAAAGACCATTTACCTTAAGCACGTCGTGTAGCGAGCTCATACTGCCCAGACTGAGAGGCGTGAGACACCGCTCTAAGGCAGAGCCGCTACCACACGACCCGCCGCCCACCGACCTGACACACAGGGGGTTCAACGTGTATATACTGTGTTCACGAGGTATTATCCCTACTAATATTATAAATGCGAAAGTAACTCTGTCTGTCTGTTACGCTTTCACGCCTAAACCACTGAACTGATTTTAATGAAATTTGGAACAGACATAGTTGACCTTGAGAAAGAACATAGGATAGTTTTTATCCCAGACTTTTGAAAGGTTCTCTTGGAAACGCGATATAACCGAAAACCACGCGGGCGAAGCTGCGGGCGGAAAGCTAGTATAACATAAACGGAAATGAATGAATATTATCAAACTACATAACATATCAATATAGATCAAAGCGTCATTGTAAGGTGTTACCTGTCCATTCTGTGAGGCGGAGATGGCGGAGCCTCTGTGGGAGCTCGGGTGCGCCACGAACCTGGTACATACATACATATATTAATGTAGATTCGTTCAGAAATAAAATAATTATTAATAACATTATATATGTATACTAACATTATTAGGATGATATCCTAATTTCTAATATACATAAAGACATTCAAAAGAATTATAGTGTTAGAGTAAAATATGATAAAATTGAAATTAAATTTATGTACTCTAAACTCAATTTCAAAGTTTACTTTATAAATATAAATTAAAAAGGCAGTTTTAAACTGTTTTTTTTTATATAAAATACTGTAGCGCTGGCTTAAAGAGTGGCATCTAGTGATTGTTGGACGAAAACATTAGTTATACGTTTATTAAATTCTTCCTATTTTTTTAAGTTTTCATAGAAGCAGGAAAATAAACGAGAATGTTTTGGAATATTCTAGTCACCGAATTATTGTATAAAAAATATTATATGTTTACAGACAGTGTTTTGTAAACCGAGTTACAAGTGATATAATAATAAAATGAATACAGTAGAAACTCGATTATCCGTCCCTCAGTTATACGGATTCGCGATTATCCGGACTAAGGACAAGAAAGAATGTAAAGCGTAAGAGAGTGGTGTTGTTGAGAGTGGCGTACGTCAAATGACAATTACCAAATATATATAAAACCCGCATTTCTTCATACATTCGATTATCCGAATGCTTATCGACAACGATTAGTTCGCTTAATCGAGTTTCTTCTGTATTTGTGTTCTTTTTAATTCTGCATTAATAAAACACTGCACTAAACAAACCCTTACTCGTAACAATACAGGGAATTTATAGATATATGTATTATTTACCGTTGTATGAACCCGTCGGATGTGATATAGTGAGTGGGGACGTCCGCTTACTGCTCTCACGACTACCGAACATCTGCTACAGAATCATAACACAATAACATTACGTTAATTTATATCAAATATAACAAGGAAGAACTATATAGTATAAAATCATTATATTGATACATTGAAAAAAAATATTAGATCAAACATACTATGGTACAAGTTTAAAAAGCAATATTTTTGTTATATACAAAATATATCACAGATACATTACACACTAAAATTCCTCAATATGTGTAACGACACTAAACGTTAAACAATGATGTTTATATTCTCATTTGAAACTTTTCCTAACCAATCAGTTATGTACAATATACATTAAAATATAAGGCATATTTTCATTAGATCTCGAAATAATCAATCAATTATGTACTCTACCTCCTAAAATACAAGGCATGTTTTTCCTTGTATCGCGCGGGTCTCTGTGTGTCTGTCTGTGTATATGTGTGTATATGTGTCAGTGTGTGTGTGTGTGCGTGTACCTGGTGCGTGTCGGCCGTCTCGAGCGTAGTGGGCAGGTCGAGTAGTCTCTGCGAGCGGATGCCGTCCCCTGGACCCATATGAGATACGTGCGCGAAGTTACTGGGGGCTGAGATGAGGCGCGAGCGACGCTCGGAACTGAAACATGTATATAACATATATAACAACACTAGCTTTCCGCCTGCAGCTTCGCCCGCGTGGAGTTCGGTTATATCGCGTTTGTAAGAGAACCTTTCAAAAGTCTGGGATAAAAACTATCCTATGTTCTTTCAGAAGGTCAACTCTGCCTGTAGCAAATTTCATTAAAATCAGTTCAGTGGTTTAGGCGTGAAAGCGTAACAGACAGAGATAGAGTAACTTTCGCATTTATAATATTAGTAGGGATATATATTGACATATTAATTTTTTTAAAACAATCAGTGCGCACATCTGGCGCAATACTGACAGTTACAGTAATAACTAAAGAAACTTGATGAAAAAGTTAATCATCCAAGGAGGTTTTACAGTCAATAAAACAAATGACTATAAGTTGCTATCACTAACATATATACAGTATAGTATATTTAGTTTTAGTATTCATTTAGTTTTGAGATGTTTTAAATACAATTCCATTGCAATCTTCTTCTGCCTGGCAATTTCCCAGCTATAGCCAGGGTCTGCCTTACAAGTTGTGAATAGTTTTGGCTAATTGTTTTTACGACCGGCCGCCTGACATCACCCCTATTTGGGAAACAATTCCATTGCAATAAATTTTATATATATAATTCTTCTGTGAGTGTGTATGTCACTGAACTTCTCTCAAACGACTGGACCGATTTTGATGAAATTTTTTGTATGTGTTCAAGGGGATCTGCGAATGGTTTAGATTCACAATTTTGTCCGCTGGACGATGTTTTTTAACTAATATGTCAATCATTCTGTCGCACTTCGAAACACGGAGATTTATGGCTTTGATAGGTAAACTCCAAAAATTAAATAAAAAAACGTAACAGATATTTCTTGATTATTATAGGGCGATACGAAGTTCGCCGGGTCTTCTAGTATGTATATATATATATTTATGTATGTATATGTACTCACAGTCTATTATGTGCCTCAATAGCCTGATGTGATTGTTCCCTCACTGAGAACCGTCTCTTGTTGGTTCCGTACCACGAATGGTCCAAGTTGAGAGGACCGCCTGTAATGATACATACATACTTAATATACATTAGTTTGTAATATAACTTAAATATAATGTGATAATTATTTTTGTTATATATTGTTATAATTTCACTTTAAGTAAGTGTTACACAACATATACAGGGTGACTGGTGAATTACTATCAATATTTGAGGAGAGTACTCGATACATGATTCTCATTCGAATTATGTAAAAAAAATAGGTACTTAATTTTTGACCAAATTTCCGTATAAATAAATAAAGTGTGGACACGGTCCAAGTATTACAACAGTAGTAATACAACACGACGCCGCCGCGCGCGAGTGTGTGTGCGTGTGTATACCTAATCTGTAGGGTGTTCACACGATGCGTAATTAATTACATAACTTTTGGTTAACTTTACTTAGAAGTTTATTAATATTTATGTTATATTAATTTTTATTTTGTCATATATGATCGTCAAATATCACGTCCTCAAGTATCGATAATAATTCACCAGTCACCCTGTATATTTATTACAAAATCCATGTGGTCTAAATCGCAAACAAAAAGAAATACAGGATACAAATTAACAAAAGCTAGGCCGTTTCTCCGAAATTTAAAAGCAATTAATTCTGCATGAGCCAGTCTGCTATTTGAGTTAAAATTGTTATCTAAATAACAACACCCTATTACTATCAGAAAAATATTGACCAGCAGGCACTTTATGATAATAACTATTTAATATAACAAAAATTTATACAAATCTTTGAAATATATCATATAATTGTTTCAAATATATCAATCTTATTATCTGAACACCCTGTATATATAAAGACATGTTTACCTCCAATTAGTGGTCTGAGGTACACGAGGTATGGCGCGGAGTCAGTGTTGAAAGGGAATGCGCCCGACGGCCCGCCACCACATACTAACACGATCCATCCACATTCATCGAGAGGACGAGCGTTAGCTAAAGAAATATAAGAAGAATATATATACTAATATTATTAAAAAATAATTTTATTTGACTAGCTACGCCCCGCGGTGTTACGTTGATTTCCGGGATGTAAAGTAGCCTATGTGTTATTCCTGGACGTTAGCTTCCTGTATACAAAATTTAATCAAAATCTGTTCAACCCTTTGAGCGTGAAGAAGTGACAAACATACACACACACTCACAAACTTTTCCAATTATAATATTAGTAGGATAATACTATTAAAAACAATTTTATTTGATATTAAAATTACTATAATCTGGTGTTCAACGCAATATATAAATAAAAGTAAATAGTTCACATAAGTTAGAACGAGATGGCGTTGCATCCGAAATAGTCAGTAGTAGTTAGGGTCATTCATATTTATATTATAGTTAGTTGATCACATATACTTTCGCTAGATCAGTATACGGTGTGGTTTTATTTATATAAACCCATCAGTATACACAAAACCTGTGCAAGTGGTTAGTGTGTGTGAAATTAGCTCATACATCAAACAAGTGGCCAATAATCTGAGAGGTAATTAGAGACCCTTTAAACCTACACCTGGGTCACAAGTCCCAGTCACTGTTGAAGCTCCTCTCACTACAACGATGGACCCGACACACGCACCGTGAATACATGGAATGATGAGAGGTTTCGTCTGTGTATTATAAGAGTGATTCATCTGTATCATAATCGATGTAACTCACGTAAATTGATAGTCTGCACCCAGTCACCGGACTCGATCTCATACACGTCGATGTGAGAGGTCGTGAAGATCAACAGATGAGTGTCGTTGATAGCTGGAATCAATATATAAAGTGTTTAATATACTATATAAATTGTGGAATATTTTTTTATTATTTGTCAATGATAATAGAGGTAACGTTAATCAACATTCTCGTTATTTTAATAAAAAAAATAACATCAGATAAACGGCTATCCATAAAGTACACCACACGATTTTTAAGATTTTTAACCCCTCCACCACTTCTTGTCATATATTGTTTCATTTTTATAATCCCTTCCTAATGTGATGTCAAATATTTTTAAATTTACGTATGTATTTAAAAATTCGTATTTATTTTAATTTTTCATTTCACACCCCAATCACGTTTTAGTATTCCAAATTATAATACGTGACGTTACAAAACTATCGCTCTCTTTGGCCCTAGTCACTCTTCGTTGATCCTCTCCCTCTCAATTAAATTGCGAAATGTTTTCTGGATGACCTCTAATATGACTTAATTATATAACAAGACAAAACATAATAATTCTATATCTACATATGTATTATACATCATCATCCTATCAGAGCCCACTGCTGAGCACTTCTCACAATCAGATTAGAGCATTAACCACCACGCTTGCTCAATATATATTACCGTAGTGTTGCGGATGAGCAGTATACATGAGTTCTGTGTCCCTCGCTCTAAGGCCTGCTCGATCCACGTACAGCGCTAAGGCAGTGAACACTAGCAGCCAATCGCTGCCTGCAGGCCTCGCGCATAGAGGACGCGCGCCTGAATTGGAGAGGAATACGCCTACTTGGTTCTCTGGATGAACTAAGGCTGAAAAAAGAACATTATAATATATAAAGGTGTTAAATAATAGCTGTGGTCAAGTTACTATAGCTCTAACATGGTCTGGCCCGACTATGGAAGTACCACCCTCTCACAGATAAACGTGAAGCAGTTTTAATGGCTATGTTTCGTTCGACGAGTAAGAGTAAAACTATTAAGTAAGAAGAGTTAAATTATTCCATAAAAAATCAATGTTCGCAACGCATCCGCAACGTCTCCTATGTTGCGGATGTATTTTGAGCACAGTAACTACCTCTATCAAGTAGGTCGTCTTCTGCTTTGCCATCTTTCACATAAACAATATATCTTTATATTTATATAATTCTTCTGTGAGTGTGTATGCCACTGAACTTCTCTCAAACGACTGGACCGATTTTGATTGAAATTTTTTGTTCAAGGGGATCTGGGAATGGTTTAGATTCACAATTTTGTCCGCTGGACAATGTTTTTTTTATTAATTTTTAATTTATTAGTAGTTGTTGATACAAACTTTTTTTTTGACATTAGATCTGACAACTAATTAATATGTCAATAATTCTGTCGCACTTCAGAACACGGAGATTTATGGTTTTAATAGGTAAACCCCAAAAATAAAAATAAAAAAACGTTACAGATATTTCTTGATTATAGGGCGATACAAAGTTCGCCGGGTCTTGTAGTATATATATAATGATAGAGACTCTGTATGTGTATGAGTGTGTGTGTGTGTGTACTCACAAACAGCGGGGTGCGGATGCGGATGTAAGGTATGAGCCACGATCGCCCCTCGGTACCCCAACACAAGTCGACCCCTCACGAGCTGCACACTCAGTACAGGCGCGGGCGCTCTTAGCTCAGACACGCGACAGCGACGGGCAGCCGTGCGGGTGATCTCGTACACTATCACCACCCATGAATTCTGAACACATACATAATAATATACACTAAAAATTTACTTAAATATAGCGATATAGTTGTCTAAATATTAATTAATTAATGGGAGCTCATATTACACTGGATATACTATAGTCAGATATGAAATTAGCAAACGAACTAATGTACTATACAAGATGTATGTACAGCGCCATTTCTCGTCAGTACCCACCCTCCTATATATCGATACCTCCCACGTAAGTTGTTGTATCTCCAAAACTGTAATTTTACAGTAGAGCGTTTAAAAGATTCAAATTAAACCAAAATCTGCATTTATTGATGAATCTTTTTAAAATTTCTTAATTAAATTTAACATAATAGTCTTCTCAACTACGTTAAAAGATATTTTAATTAATATGCTTATTTGTGGAGATATTGTTGTTATATTGTTCCGGAGTAGAAGCTAAAAAAGGTGTTGTATCTGATACTAACAACATTATACCGCGGCGCCCAGGTAGCATCACTTGTGATATATGATAGTTACAACTGTATATGTTGAAAAACATAAGTCTTACTCTGTTGTATGTAACTCAAACGCGGCGCGAGCGCGTGATTTTACCCACTTCGCGCTCCGCGTATACAGTTGCATAGACATATACATCAGTTTAATCCGTTCGCGTTTGAAAATTACAACATTATGCGTCTGGAAAATCCTTTAAAAATAGTGTTTTTGTTGTTTTTTTAATTTGAATGGATGTAATGATCCATAATAGGACGTTTTTCGAAAAAAAGCAAAATAGCATTTTTGTGGCTTACAACAACTTACGTGGGAGGTATCGATAAATATATTTAATAATAATGTTTATTTATCCCAAACACATTACAATTGTATAGACATTAACATAATCTGATCACAATGGATAAAGGTAAAAGGAATTTATGTAAATAAAATCTACTGTCCCTGAGCTAGGTATAAACCTGTATTTCAGGCGACAGTTCTCTCCTGTTGCAAAGGATTCATTTTACTGAATTTACTAAAGTGGAATAGCGAAAAAAGTCAACACAATGTATTTAGTGTATGCTACATATCCATATGTGTGTGTGTGTGTGTGTGTGTCTGTGTATGTGTGTGTGTGTGTGTGTATACCTGTCTCTTGCACACAACAGCGAATCCGTAAACCCCTGTATGTAATTCCCCCACAGCCAAATCCACGGCTCCTTTTGCCTCAGCTAGCTTCACGCTTTCCGCTTCCGGACATTCGAGAGCTCTTAATGGCACTAGGCGGACGTTACGACCACGACCGGATATAACCACTGGGAATAAAACGATTATAATATATAGTATGATATATCATATATACCACTGAGAATATATAACGATTATAAGATATAGTATGACATGTATAGCTAGAGATATTGAAGGGAAAAAGTATTTACTTATATTTATCTATTACGATACTTTTAGGTTGATATATACATTATAAATTTTAGAATTTGTATATAATATAGTATTCCATGTTCGAGATACGATGTGTTTTTAATGATTTTGGATAAAGTTACTAAACATAATGCGACTTTTCGATCCACTTTAAAATCTAAACCTAATAGAATACCTATCTTTAAAGAAAACGATTATTATAATGTAATCTTTCATCAACAAAACGACAAAAAAAATCTTTCTACAAGCAAGACCTGATTATTTCCTACAGTATATGCTACTAATATTATAATTGCGAAAGTTTGTGTGTATGTTTGTTACTTTTTCACGCTCAAACGGCTGAACCGATTTTGATGAAATTTTCTATACATTAAGCTGACGTCCAGGAATAAGACATAGGCTACTTTCGGAGGTAACACCGCGTGGCGCAGCTAGTATATATATTTTAAATAACTATAATAAAATAAAATATATACAGGGTGACTGGTGAATTACTATCAATATTTAAGGAGGATACTCGGTACATGATTCTCATTCGAATTATGTAAAAAAAATAGGTACTTAATTTTTGACAAAATTTCCGTATAAATAAATAAAGTGTTGACACGTTCCAAGTGTTCCAAGTGTGGACGCGTGCTGATACAACACAAAGCCGCCGCACTCGTATGTGTGAGTGTGGGTGTACACCTAATCTGTAGGGTGTTTACACGATGCGTAATTAATTACATAACTTTTGGTTAACTTTACTTAGAAGTTTATTAATATTTATGTTATATTAATTTTTATTTTGTCATATATGATCGTCACAAATCACGTCCTCAAATATCAATAGTAATTCACCAGTCACCCTGTATAAATTTAATTCTGTGACATTTTAAAACTTTGAATTATATTGAAATGTTAAATTGTATTTTTGTTATTATTGTATCGAAATGTTATTTATTATTGTATTGAAATGTTAAATTGTAATAATATTATTAGTTATGTCAATTTCAGTGATTATTATGTAATGTTTTATTAATTTATTATTATTGTCTTTTAATTTAAATTTTGATTTACTGCAATTATTATAAGTATTTTGCATGATGTGATAGCCTATAATTAAAAGGAAATTTAAGTTGTTATTGATAGTTTGTTAATGTATTTTTTTTTGTTGGCTATCCAAATAAAATAAAAATAAATATCTAACCCAGTAGTTGTTCCTCCGCCACATATCTGAGTGTATGTACAGGCGCGTGTTGTCTCCGCGGCACTAACTCAGCTCGTTCCAAGTCTAGTAGCGCTAGACCGAAGTCCCCGCCTAATACGAGGCGCGCGCCCTCTAGCGGAGCCGCGCAAGACGCGCCACGAACCGCACCTAGAGAACACGACCCGCCGCCCGCTGCCAGGGGGGCTGCGGCATACACCTGGAAACGGAAACTCATTACTATACATACTATGTTACATCAGTGGCCTGGTGGATAAAGGCCCGCCTCTCATGCACGAGGGCGCGGGTTCGATCCTGGCAAGTACCAATGTGATTTGAAAACTGGACTTATAATTTCACAATTATAAGTTTGAAATCACCAACCCTTCTCCATGTCAGAAGAGGCCTTTGCTCAGCAGTGGGCTTTGATAGACTGATGATGATGATGGTATTTGTATACTTTATTCCATACCAGGACCTCTCAGTATAGATAACTTAGCATCCTTATATACAGTAGTAAAACGTTGCGATGGCCTCTATGTATAAGGACCAAGCAGGATCAAGCAGGAGTCGAGCAACCACAGCACAGGAAGACCGCTACATACGGTTAACTGCGCGCAGAGAGCGAGTCGTCACCGCTCGTTCCTTACAAAACCGCTTGCGACAAGCGACGGGCACCCGCGTAAGTGACCAAACGATTAGGAATCGGTTGCATGAAGACCAACAGTTCTCTAGACGACGAGTAGTGCGAAATCCACTGACATCCGTACATCGTGCAAGGCGATTAACGTTCACTAGGCAGCACCAGGCCTAGAACATTGATGACTAGAGCAAGGTATTGTTCACAGATGAATCCAAAGTGAAATTTTTTAGTGATGATCGTCGCATTAGAGTTTGGAGAAGAGAAGGAGAGCGATTTTCGGATGCTTGCATCCACGAAAGTGAAAGATTCAGGGGTCCCAACGTAATGGTGTAGGGCGGAATCTCATTATCAGGTCGAACCGAGCTCGTAATTCTCAACGAAGGCACGGTAACGGCTCAACGGTACATTGAGCAGGTCATAAGACTCCACGTGGTCTCATTCTCATAGAGAATTGGTGCAGGATTCCAATTAATGCATGACAATGCCCGCGCTCATACAGCTAGAGCTACTGCCGAAGCACTAGAAGAAGCTAGTTTACAGGTGTTTCCGTGGCCCGCCAATAGCCCGGACCTTAACCCTATTAAGCATATGTGGGATTTATTTAAAAAAAGCGTTCGTGACACAAATCAACCGGTAACTAACGAACGACACCTCCTCAACGTGCTAAAGACAAGCTGGGAACAAATCCCTCAGGAGACAATACGACACCTGGTGGAGAGTATGCCTTCGAGGCTTGAAGAATGTGTTCGAAAAAGGGGAGGACACACACGTTACTGAAAAAAATCTAAATTTCAACAAATGTTCAGTTTTTTTTTAAATAAGACACTTTTTTCATATTGTGCATTTTAGGTTAAAAAGTCGATTTTTCCAAAAAAAAGAAAGGATGTTAATTTTGGAGTAATAAAACAATATTTGCTGCTCTTTACATTAAAAATTGATTAAATAATTTAATCTAATCATTTTCATATCAATAAATCCCATATTTCTTTTAATACACTAAAAAAACATGGTGGCCCTTATTTTATTTTGACTAGTATATATATGTATGTGTGTGTGTGTGTGTGTGTATATACATACACATTTGTTAGGCAGATTATTTTTCTTGAGTATCCGGTGTAGTTCACTCAAAGCCACCACCCACTTGGCCTTTTCCGACTCTGATTCAGCCAACATGAGTGTGTGGTAGCGACGGTCACCCTCTAACTGAGATGTTGATATCTGTACAAACACAATATTTATGAACACATTAATATATGTATGTATGTTATACCCTGATATAACTCCTAAAGACGATTATATAATTTAACTAGAAGACCCGGCGAACTTCGTTTCGCCCTATAATCAAGAAATATCTGTTACGTTTTTTTATTTATATTTTTGGAGTTTACCTATTAAAGCCATAAATCTCCGTGTTTTGAAGTGATTAGGAATGATTAATAGTTAATATGAGAGTTACACTGAGCTAGCAAAATAATAATTGTCAACGTTACTACTACACTTGATGCACAAACAATAACGATGGCCGACAACTGTGTAGGGAGTGAGAGAAGTCTAATTGTGTGAGAGAAACAGAAGACCGGCTTCGTTCTCATCCCTACTCCGTGCTGTTTACTGGGTCAGAAGTGACACCTGTAGATATCTGGCGGGGATAACTTATTAAATGACGATTGATCAGTTATCGACCGGAGATGAAAAATGATTAAATTACTAAAATAGCTATTAAAAAATAAGGGTTGATCGTAGAAGGGTGAAAATTTAGGATTGTATGTATTTTTGTACGTTGTATCATAAAAAAATAGTAATTAAAAATTTTGTCTAAAAAATAAAAAAAAAAAATTTAGGGGTGGACTACCCCTAACATTTAGGGGGATGAAAAATAGATGTTGGCCGATTCTCATAGCTACCGAATAAGCACAAAAAATTTCATCAAAATCGGTCAGGTTGTTTCGGAGGAGTATGGACACGAAAACTGTGACACGAGAATTTTATATATTAGATATAAAAAAAATATGTTACAACTTAACTCTTCAATTTCAATGTCCAATCTTATGTATTTTTTAAATTTTTTTTTGATTGTATAGTTAATATACATTTTTTGAAGAGATTACAGAAGAAGAAAAGAGTAAGATTGCCCACCCTCCCATTTTACGGAGGTGTCACCTATAGGTAACATTAAGCACTAAAGAGTTAAACAAAATTTAAACATTGATATAGTAACATAATATCATTGATAAATTCTTAATCATCATATTGTGTTCAGTAGATGAATTTACTAATAGACCAGTGCAAATAGCTTTTAAAACATATTTATAGTAGAATGAAACTCATTAGAAAAAATAAAGGAAAAATAATTTACGGGCGAACTGAAGTCGGGAAGGGTATGGGGATGGGTATTTAAGGGTAAAAAATGGGTTTTCTCGATTTCCGGCAAAACTAAAAGGCCTATGGAAAAATGTTATATGGCAAAGTTGTAGGTAATAAAAAGACCTAAAACTTTTGTACTAACATTTTTTTCACATAACCTCAAAATTTATGTGAAAAATTCCGAAAACCAAGTTTTTGGTTTTTTGTTTTTATCTCTTACATAAAACAATATTTTGCCACGAAATTTGGTGAAAACTTTCCTTTTGATGTTACAAATGCACTGTAATTTATTTGATTAGAAATATTTATGTTTTTCAGCTTATTTTGAATAAATATCCAAAAATCAGCCTCATTTTCAATCGAAAAATCACCCGTCAAAATATCAGCGTTTTTCAAACATTTGATATGTTTTCTGTTCGTTGAAATCTCTATTTTTCGATGGTGAAGAAAAAAATATAAGTTTCTTACTTGCAGTACCATTTTTGGATAAAACAATCATGTCCCTTTTAATGAAATGACACTCGATATCGTTTGGAAAATGCTCTTTCAATTTATTTTTAATAGTTGTGTACTCTGGAAGTTCTCCAGATAGTCCCTTTTTAAGGTAATTTACAGAAAATTTACGTTAAGTTGCTAAAATTAACTCTGCACTGGCCTATAAGTAGAATATATAACAGTAGTCTCAGTTGTTACATACGCGAGCACACACGTTGTTAAATTGGTCCGTCTTATAATTGCATAAATAGTGTTAATATAATAATACCTAACGTACAGTTTTGTTTGAACTGCATCTTAACAAGTATTCCTATATGTGAGTGTTTTATTTCACAGTTTTAGTGGTGATTTCATTTAGTTAATACGCAGTGACCTATAGTGTGACCTACGCCCTTGCAGTGACCTTTAGTGTGACCGTTGAAGAACAAAAGAACTTAATGTGCTACCTGGCTTTATGCTTCGCCTTAATTATTATAAGTAGCCTAGTTTCGAGACAATAACTTAAAGTTTGTTTGGTCCAACGTATAGTAAGCTTGCTTTTTGATTTCCTCACTTACCGCGACGATTCCGAGTTCAAACCCCACCGGAACCGATATGCGTTTTTAAATAATTATAATAATTTTCTGAGCGCCTTATTACAAAGACAAGTTAAAATGAAGTTTGCTTGCTGCAATTTGACGACAGGTGTCGCTAGTGACTGCTTGTTGTGTACAAAGTGTGGTCACAATTATCACTTTAGATGCTTACACCCAACCGATAAACGTAAAGAATTATCACTGGAATTAAAAAAACACTGGATTTGTCCTGAATGCACAATAAATCAACCCAGAACTGCGAGAAACGACAGTACACCAGTGCGAGTGCAGACCAATGAAAGTAATGTAAACTCGCGTAGAGGTGCTGCTTCTGGTATATATGAGGATTTTGTTTTGGATTCTGCTGATAAAACATCTTTTATTGTATTGATTAGATCTATAATCTCAGAAGAATTAGCCAGTTTAAAAGGTGATTTTAAAACTTCTATGTATCCCATTCAAGAAGAGTTAAAAACATTTAAAAAAGAATTTGAAATAATAAAAGTAAGTTTGGATTTTATAAATTCAAAATTTGATGAAATTAATAAACGAATTGAATGCTGTGAAGGTGAAATGAATGTTTTAACTCAAAAATGTATGGAAATCGGTAAGCTGTGCAGTTCTGTGGAAGAAATTGAATTTAATAATAATAACCGAGAACAGTGGGCCCGAAAATCTAATGTTGAGGTTTATGGGATTCCAGAATGAAAAAATGAGAACCTGATCTCGTTGTTACAAACAGTTTTTGATAAAACACACTTACAATTTAATATAAACACGGATATTGACTTCATCACCAGAGTCGCTTCTAAAAAAAACGATGTGAAGAAATCTAAACCGATTATCGTGCGTTTTATATGTAGATGGAAAAAGGATGAATTTTTGTCTGCGGTTAGGAAACTAAAACTGAAATGTTGTGATATAGGCTTCAATGGTAACAATAATTCAATATTTTTTAATGACCACCTCACTAGTCAAAATAAAGCCTTATTGCAATCTGTTAAGAAAGCGGCAAAAGATAAAGGTTATGAGTTCGTGTGGGTCAAAAACTGCAGCATTATGGCCCGGCGTTCTAACACGAGTCCGGTTTTGCATTTCGTGAAGTCTAGTGATTTAAAAAAAATTGTATAAGTAGCTTTGTATGTCTTTCTCAAATATTTTATATTGTTTTATTTATGTTAATAATTATGTTATTGGAATCAAGTATTTTGAGCACAGCTATGGGACGTCAGGTTATTTTATGTTACTATTTTGGACACGATTTTGGACATAAAAAATTATTAGTATTAATATCTAACACATACCTAAATATGCTCTCTCCTGCGAATGTATTTATAAGGACTAGTAACATGATACTTATTCCTTGTGTTTACAATGATTAAAGACTTTGCAATTTTATATCAAAATGTACGCGGCTTACGTACTAAGACTAATTCCTTTTTCAGGAAAATAATTAATGTTGATTATGATATTGTTTGTTTAAGCGAAACATGGCTTTGTGAGGGTATTTTTAGTGAAGAACTTTTTGATTCCAGATATTCGGTGTATCGACATGATCGTAACTATGATAAGCGCAGTGATAGTATGGGTGGTGGCGTTTTAGTTGCAGTGAAGTCTGACATATCGGTTCGTTCATCATTATCAATTGTGGTTAAAAATCATGCAGCCGAGATAATTAAGGTCTCTATCGTACTTGACTTGGAACCCATATCAAGACGATTTCATGTTTATTGTTGTTATTTCCCTCATGGCAGTTACCATAGTGAATGTCTGTGTGATTTTTTTGAACTTATTTCAAATGAAGTACTATTGTATCCTGATGATATTTATTTAGTGGTTGGAGATTTTAACATATCTAATGCTGTTTGGGATAGAGTTGGAGAATTTATGAATCTACGTAATTTTAATGATAACGACCCAGGTATTGATTCCATATTTAATTTTTTAAACTTTACTGATTTTAAGCAGTTTAACTGTGTTCCTAACGTTAACGGACGTTACTTAGATCTAGTAATTGGTAACACTCATTGCACAGTAAGCCCTAGTGACTTTTATCTTGTTAATGAAGACGCTCACCATCCGACACTTAATGTTAAATTAAATCTTTCTAACACTACCCAGAACTTTTCAGTACCGCGTAAAATTCGCTTATTTCAAAAAGCCAACTATGATGAAATTAATAACATTATAGCCGGAACTGATTGGTGTGACTTATTGAGTTCTTGTAGTGTTTCCGATGCCGTTGATATGTTTTATGATACTATTAACTCTATAATATCTCAACATGTTCCAACAAAAGTTATGAAAGGTGATAAACATTTCCCCTTTTGGTATTCTCGCGGATTAATCAAAATTATTCGTAATAAATTGCACTTTCATAGGCGATGGAAGATCTATGGACGTTCATCCGACTACGACACTTTCAGTCTTTTACGGGCTCGTCAAAAACAAGTGCAAATTGATTGTTACGACACATACATATATCAATCTGAGATAAAAATTAATAAAAACAGCAAGTTTTTTTGGACTTTTGTTAAGTCTAAAAAGGCTGCTGCTGGTATACCTGATAATATGTTCTTTGGGAATGAGGTGGGTAGTGATGGTAACAAAATATGTCAGCTATTTAATGACTATTTTAAGTCGGTGTATGCAGAGCCTGTTGCTAGCTTTAGCTCCCCAGGAATAACATCGAGTAATCATGCCTCTTGCTGCAGTAATTTATCGATCGGTTTTGTTACACTTAGTACTAGCCTCATTAAGAAATATTTGAAAACGTTACAAATAGACAAGGGTTCGGGGCCGGATGGGTTGCCGCCTATTTTTTTTTTTGAATCTTGTTGCGAATCTTTGTCGTATCCGCTTTTAATATTATTTTCTAAGTCGTTAAGTTCTGGAATTATTCCCGACACTTGGAAGCGCTCTTATGTTGTACCAATATATAAATCCGGTGACAAGCATAATATTGAAAATTATAGGCCAATTTCAAAATTGTCTACTATAGCGAAGCTTTTCGAAAAAATTGTTTATGACCAAATCTACTCTTGTCTTAGACCAATGTTAATTAATCAGCAACATGGGTTTATAAACAGAAAATCCACGGAAAGTAACCTATGTGAATTTGTCCATCATATATCTACTGGAATGGATCAAGGATACCAGGTGGACGTCGTGTATACCGATTATTCCAAGGCATTTGATAAGATACCACATGCATTATTAGTACATAAACTTGAGAAAACCGGTATACATGGTGATCTACTTCGATGGCTGTCTTCTTACTTGGAGAATCGTAGTCAAGCTGTAACAATTAAGGGACATACTTCTTCTTTCGTGCCTATATCTTCCGGTGTGCCCCAGGGCTCGCACCTCGGTCCTCTACTGTTTAATATATTTATTAATGATATACAATTAGTTTTCGAGAATTCAAATATTCTTCTATATGCTGATGACATGAAGATCTTCAGACGAGTAACTCAAACTTCTGATTGCATACTACTACAAAATGACCTAGACAAATTATGTAAGTACTGCTCAGATAATTATCTGTATTTAAATGTAAGGAAATGTAACGTTATCTCGTTCACTCGGAAAACTAAAGATATTATTAATTTCAATTACTATCTAGACAACAGTATTATTACACGAGTAACCGAGGTGCGAGATTTGGGTATTCTCATTGATAGTAAGCTAACCTTTAAGTCCCACATTGATTACATTACAGCTAAAGCTTTCCGAATGCTTGGTTTTGTCTTAAGAACTGGTAGGGATTTTAAAAATCTAAATACATTAATTCTATTATATAATTCGTTAGTTAGATCAACCCTTGAATATTGCTCAACTGTTTGGAATCCCTTATACAAATGCCACGTTTTGCAATTAGAGAACATTCAGCGCAAATTTTTTAAACATTGTAGTTATAGGTTTTTGCCGTCACACTTTCCGTCTTTAGAATACCGTCGCATGGAGAGAGATCAGTTGTTCTTATTTAAGATCCTTCAAAACTATATAGATTCACCCTTTTTGTTAGAAAATATTTGCTTTAGATGTCCCAAAATTAATACACGTCGTCAGTCCCTGTTTCATCTACCTTTAACAAATACTAAATATGCTCAAAATGCTTTTATTTTCCGTGCCTGTCAGAAATATAACAAATGTTTCTCAAATATAGATTTATCAATGTGCACAAAAAATAATATAAGGAAAGAAATTAGTAAAGCTTGTAATTCATAATTAATTTATCTTAAAATTGTTATTATTATTGTTATTGTTATTATTATTATTATTATTATTATTATTATTATTTTCGGGAATTTTGTTTTTCTCAGCCCGTAAGCTGGTGTAAACTACATTCACGGATATAAATCAAGTGAATGCAGTATGTGGTGTGTATTATTTATGTAAATAGTATTTATGTGTAGTATTTATGTTGTTGTGTCATTCTCTTCTAATTGCATGAACTTTCTTACTATTCTGCATGTGTTATTATTATTATTATTATTATTATTATTATTGTTATTATTATTATTGTTTTGTGCTCCTAATGAAATTGTAATTGGTGGAAGCTTTTTGGTTTGTGTACTTTTATATGTTTTATTTGATTGATTTTTTTTATAACTGTTTGTTTCCCAAATAAAATAAAAATAAAATAAAATAAAAATAAATAAGTAATTAATGGGTCCTCACCCTAAATATACAGGGTATGTCTCGTTTGCTGGCGTGTATAACGTCCGATTCTTTGACAGAGGTTACGCTGAAATCAGGATCACGCATGTCGAGAACTTGGCTCACACATACAGACGGGACGGCGTTCCTGGAAATATAACATACATACAATCCAACTAATCTTATAATTGAGAAAGTTTGTGAGTGTGTGTGTGTGTTTGTTACTTCTTCACGCTCAAACGGGTGGACCGATTTTGATAAAATTTTGTATACAGGAAGCTGACGTCCAGGAATAACACATAGGCTACTTTACGTCCCGGAAATCGGAGGTAACACCGCGGGAAACAGCTAGTATCATTTATATGATGCTCTATACAAGAGATCATGCTTCTTCTACCTGGCAATTTCCCAGCTATAGCCAGGGTCTGCCTTACATTTTGTGAGTAGTTTTGGCTAATTGTTTTTATTTGGCCGCCTGCCTGACATCAACACTCTTTTGGGAATCCATTAATCAGTGATGGCTATATACTCTTAGAAAGTACATAGAATATCATATACAGGGTGACTGGTGAATTACTATCAATATTTAAGGAGAATACTCGGTACATGATTCTCATTCGAATTTTGTAAAAAAATAGGTACTTAATTTTTGACCAAATTTCCGTATAAATAAATAAAGTGTGGACACGTTCCAAGTGTTCCAAGTGTGGACGCGTGCGGCGGCGTGCTGATACAAAACCACGACGCCGCACGCGTGTGTGTGTGTGTGTGTGTGTATACCTAATCTGTAGGGTGTTCACACGATGCGTAATTAATTACATAACTTTTGGTTAACTTTACTTAGAAGTTTATTAATATTTATGTTATATTAATTTTTATTTTGTCATATATGATCGTCAAATATCACGTCCTCAAGTATCGATAGTAATTCACCAGTATCCCAGAATATGTAATCTATACAAATACTATCACAGGGTTGCGTTAAACGTTCAACGCTCCTGGAGAGAGGGAATAGAAAGAGACGGATCGTGATTAAATGAGTGGGTCTATTGTAAATTTGAGTAATGTTAATAAATTAGTCTCAAAGAAACGATATGAGTTTACTTAAAATCAATTTCAACCCTTTCTTATTTTCATTTCCACATTCCACAAGTCCATACACTATTTTTTTCTATATGTATGTATGTTATAACGATGACATACAATTAAGTAATATATGTATATATTTAATTTTAGTACATATAGTAATAAACTCACCTGTCCTGTGATATATCGTAGAGGAAGAGTTTGAAGTCGCACACCACCACGAATTGACGCATCCAACCTTTCTTGACCCCGCCGGGTTTAGGGACCTGTAATGTATATAACATGTTAATATAATGTACATATATAATATAGGGTACTACTTATTACATTTTTAATTTTTGTAAGTATAATTTTATATTATATATATGACTAGCTTTCCGCCCGCAGCTTCGCCCGCGTGGAGTTCGGTTATATCGCGTTTCCAAGAGAATCATTCAAAAGTCTGGGATAAAAACTATCCTATGTTCTTTCTGAAGGTCAACTCTATCTCTGTATCAAATTTCATTAAAATCAGTTCAGTGGTTTAGACGTGAAAGCGTAACAGACAGACAGAGTTACTTTTGCATTTATAATATTAGTAGGGATTAAAATTTTGATGGGAGTGATTTGTAGCGAAAAAACACAATAGAATATTATTATGACAGAATTATGTTGATATTTGTTCACATATACAGGGTGACTGGTGAATTACTATCGATACTTGAGGACGTGATATTTGACGATCATATATGACAAAATAAAAAATTAATATAACATAAATATTAATAAACTTCTAAGTAAAGTTAACCAAAAGTTATGTTATTTATTACGCATCGTGTGAACACCCTACAGATTAGGTATACACACACACACACATACGCGTTTGGCGGCGTGGTGTTGTATCAGCACGCCGCCGCACGCGTCCACACTTGGAACACTTGGAACGTGTCCTCACTTTATTTATTTATACGGAAATTTGGTCAAAAATTAAGTACCTATTTTTTTTACATAATTCGAATGAGAATCATGTACCGAGTATTCTCCTTAAATATTGATAGTAATTCACCAGTCACCCTGTATATAATATGCGTGTGTGATAGAGCGTCTTTGTGTGTGTGCTCGTGTCCGTGTGTGTGTGTATCTGTGTGTGTGACCTTGACGTATCCCTCGTAAGCCGTCCCCTGTCCCCGCGCGGGGTCAATGCCCAGCGGTCGTCGTGACCTCTCCGGCGGTAGAGGACATCTCGCCGCTACACGGCCACAGCATCTCGTATGTACTGCAAGCCCGCACGTCTCACACACAACGCCTTGACGGGTCAACCCAATCTGGATATAGATAGTTAACATATAATATACGTTTGACAGACCCTGGCTAAAGCTGGGAAATTGCCAGGAAGAAGATACATACTATCATATATTGAGAATTGATGATAGAGAATAGATAAATCTCAGGATATAATTTTGTTTCCACAGATACTGAATTACACTGATCGTTGTATAATAATATGTATGAGATTAATTAAAGAATAATTACCGATCGGATATATAGAGGAATGGTAAAAAAAATCTCTTTTTGCTATGATTTTAAGATGATCACACACATACAATTTTTTTGCGACTTCTACCGAGTTATTATTGGAATGAAATCAATAATATAAACTTAATTACTCAACTGACAGCGAAATCTGTCGACACTGTTTAACAACAATGACACTATCCAACTACGATTATATGTTCATTGACTTTAGGAATTACCTCACAAGCTATACTCTCTATATCACTCTAATGTCTCGACTACATTATTGGAGAGTTCCATCAAAATCCGTTCAGTGTATCATACTGTTAGTGTGACGTCATCAATATATTCTACGTGATCATATTGTTATTGTGACGTCATACCATGAGTGAGGTGCAGTGGTTACACTTGGTGGGGCTGCTGAAGCTCCTCATGAGGAACTGGTGCACCTTCTGCTTGCCGCCCGGCGGTTCTTGCACCGAGTACTGAAATATATCACACAAACATACGTTAAGAGATATTAATATGCATTTTTCACACAAACATACATTTAGAGATAGTACTATGCTTTTTATTTATATTAAACTACGTACTAGCGAAATTTGCTGCAAACCAAAACGTTGAGTATGTGGTTTTAAAGTTGGTTAGCAGCTACATGCAGAAATGTTAGTTTACGAAAGCCATAGATATCATGAGTACATAAAAGAATATGATCATATAATATTTAAGTGCAACATTTAATTACCAAAGATAATACAGAAGTGCTGTTGTTTTTTTAATATGCTATAAAATATTATTATTGTAAATTATCATAATTTTTTGTTAATCTCAATTGCACTGTAAATAAATGAATAAAAACTTTAAAAAAATGCTATTTTATAATAAAAATAAATATTATATTTTTAGTATATGATTCATAATTGAGAGCTGGTAACATATTTAAGGCAAAGATTATTACTAGATAACAAGAATACACTACTTTTATTTTAGACCATCTTGAAGAAACTTTCTTACATTTTTAAAAATTATATTATTTACACAGACATCAATAAAAACATGTAACTTCACAGTGAAACTGAAATGTAATCAAATCTTTTAATAATAATTTTAGTAAATGAGTTTGTCAATATGAAACATTATTAGTGCATCACCCACCATGCCAATATTATACTCACAGTGGACATATCGCTGGGGGAGCTCTTGCAGGAGGCCGGCGAGGCGGGGCGAGGCCCTAACTCATCTGGGGACTCCGCTGATCCGGATAAAACTGTGGATTGCTGGGACCCGTACAATAGCTAAGACGATGAAAATCATTGTTTTGTTATTAAAATATACATATATAATCTCTGTATTAACTCAAATATGTATACATTCATATACATGATGTAAATACTGAGATTGAACCTGTAACCACTGGGATATTTCCAGTCAATTAACAAACTAAGCTATCGTGACATATATATATATATATATATATATATATATATATATATATATATATATATATATATATATACATATATATACAGGACTTTTTATTCTGTTTTATTATTAGTTTACGCAAACTTCCATACTTTGCTTGAGATAGTTTAGTTATTTTATTTGTTAGGACAGTATATTTAAACATATTACGGTCACAGCCTTCCTAGTGTCATAATATTCATTTATCAACTCCTCTTACATTATTAGCTAAATATTAATAATTAATTAATTTACTGTGATAAATAATAAAAAATATATACATATATATATAATTATTAATAAAAAACAAATGTTAATAACGTTAACACATAGAAAGCGAAACTATATGACAATATGAAAATGAATAGAAACAAAACAAAATGTATACCTTAGCGTTACAACAATGCTGTACATTCCTATAACGGTAGGGCGGCGACATCTGTGAGATAAGCAGTGAACCATGAAGCAAACAAAACAAAAACAAAAACAAAATGGCCGACGTTCAATATATTAATAGATGAATGGTACGAGTTATTTACAATACCTATAGCCAGTTAGAACATAAATATTAGAAGCAAAAATGTTTGTTAATTATTATCACTAGATGGCATTTTATTCTATTTTTTGATTTGAATCGTACGTAATGAAAAAGTTTTTAGTCAGCATGTTTTAATAGCCTTTTGGTTGGTTTAATAAAAGATACAAGGGATAATATACCTTCTGCTCGTTGTTCATAGAAGCCACATTGTCGTAATGTCGTTCTTGAGGCGCGTCTTTAAGGAACTGCTCCAAATAACTCATCTGTGATGGCGGGCGATCCAAAACTAGAATATTACACAAAAATCAATTAATTTATATAAAACAATCAAAATATTACGATTTAGTTACATTATAAGGATAAAGGACATTAACCAATCCCAACCGAAACCAAAAAAAAAAGTAGGAAAAATCACAAACTCTTTACTGACTATATGTATAGTCGGGTGTACAAAATTTAATATTCGATAGACAGACCCTTTGTATAGACAAATGCTTCCTATATATATTGTGGTCACCCGACTTTACGTACATTAGTTTTTAGGGGACATGCACAGGATGCCTACATATCTGTACAAGCTAAAGCCCTTCAGACCTTTAAACGCTCACACAGACAATATTTATCACGTATGCATATATATATTTTTCGGACGAGTAGAAAAAAATAGCACGTGTAAGCGTCAAAAGGGCGTTTACAATATAGGGCTAACAATAACGAGATTAGTCAGAAACTAATAGCGTACAAACAAGTGTTAAAGAAAAACCAATATCGCTCAGCGTTATGTGGTATGTGAATGGATATTATGAAGGAAAAAAAAAACAACGAAATAAAGAAACTTCACATCACCGCAGAAAGCAAAGCAAAAGCGAAGCGATTGTAATCAAAAACGTAAATCATCACTGTTCCGGAGTCAAAGATAGAAACGACATATTAGGAAAAAAAATCCATAACCTAATAAAGAAATTATACAAAACAAATACATAAGTTTGACCCGAAGAACAGTGACGTCAGATTAATGTTTTGTATTCTTTACACTTGCTCGTACTTACAATGGAGATAATATAACTAGTTATGAACTAAAACGATGCACAAACATGGGAAATCCATGGAAAAAAACCTCTTTGATACATTTGCGAGAGTGTTGGTGCTTTTTGGCAGAAAAAACTTCTAGATTGAAACATTTCTCTTTAATTTTTAGTCCAAATCTAACCTTTTTTGGTATTTTCATGTAATTTTGTCATTTTTTATGGACCATTTGGTCTAATAATCATATTTTTGGGTGTGAAACCAACACTCACGCTATCAGACAAGACATACACGAGTAACATACACTACTTAGGACTTTAACAAATTATTAAACGAACCATTGTCTTCTTTACCGCTCCAGTAGCTTGAAGATTTGGCTGAACCTTGCCTGGCTGCTTGCACATAACTTTATACTTTAATACAATAGCACTATAGCTTTTATTGCTATGTACTTTCCAATATAAATCCATACAAAACATTTTATTAACAATTTTTTTATATTTTTGAGTATTCAATTTAAAATTATATAAAAATATGGTAATACTTTTACCAAATCGAATTTAATTAAGTTGAAAAGGGGGTTATAAAATAATAAAAAATACATTTAAAACAAATGGGATACAACAAAAAACCTTTAATACAATAAATATGTACATAAACGTTCTGTACACTGTCATATACAATATGAAGAACATAAAAATATATATAACTTTTAAGAAAAATGCAGAAAAAAATGTTTCCAGTAATTTTAAATAACACAAAAATAAGGTATCGATAAAGAATTAAACACGCCGCTTAGAGACTCGAATAGAATAACAAATTAAAAATATATATTTATAATAAAAGGTAAAAAATACTTTGATCAAGTTGATAATTTTAAAATAAGTTTTATATAAAATTTCTAAAAATATTTTTATGAAAAAATATGCATGAAATATACACTTAAAAAAACTTTGATCAAGTTGTTAATTTACAAATATAATTATTCAAACATAAAATGTCTAATAGATACATTTCGAGTTACCATTATGTATTATACACCGAATTCTTTCAATTAATTATGATTCGTCGACCCAATCTCATTATCGACATCGATAAAAAAAACTATCGAGCAGGGCGTGGAAAATGCTTTATCGATAGAAAAAAAAACGAAATAAATAAACAGACGAAATGCACTGAGATTCTAAAGATCATCTAAAAACTTAATACTAAATTCTTATTATGCTGTCACATGTATAATAATGGCAGTTTGAAATAATTTGTAATCAATAAATAATATAAGACAAAAAAAAAAACAAATGACTAGTTCGCGTGCTAGATAAAAAAAAGTAAAAACAAAATAAAAATCTTTGGCAAAATATTTTCGACTAGACGGTAAGTGGACTAGAATTATATACTGAATTATTACAACCAATGCTTTTATATGAAAAAAAACATATACATATATATGTATACAATATGTCAGCCATAAAACTCATGATATACCAAAATTGCGACGCCACATAAACATGAAGTGAATCCCACAAACAGTGGTATATATCGTTTCAACCACACGCGAACTATGTAACAGCATAACAGAAATAACAAAACAAACATAACAGATTATATAACAACAATATAATGCCAGATAAATGCAGATAAAAAATAGAATGGCCCCCAATATAAGACGAATTTAAATTTCGAACACATAATCGAATCACAGTTCCAATTTCAAATATATATATTCCACACAACACAGCGTTCGTATCACGTGATTATTTTCGTTTTTTTCGTCGCGGACGACGTTGGACTTTGTGGATGGATCCAACATTTTTCATTTTGATATTGGTTTTATTTGGATGGGATTGTGCGGTAACATGTAACGGAAACAAAAAGAAAATGGTGCACTAAATAAACGCATTATATATACGTTACTGCATTATAATAATGGATAGTAAGAACAGTATTTCTCAACCCGCGAGATAGCTGTACGAAATAAACCAAAAAAAATAATATAAACTAAAACATAAGTTTTTTTTTATAAAATTACAATAGGTTAAGAAACCCTGCCCTTTTGATTTTTTTATTCCATTAAAATATTTTTTGCCACTCCTAGCAACCATGAAATGGTAGATTATAATTTCAGTACACCTCTACAAAAGTAGTGTTCATAAATAAAACAAGTAAAAAAAACATTTTGTATTGACAATAAACCACTTGGTAAGTCTGATCGACTTGTGTTCTGATTTGTGACGAGTGGTGTATATTAGTAGGTGAGGGGCCATTCAAGTATTACGTAAGCACTATGGAGGAGCGGGGGGGTCTTTGCTTTGCTTATTTTGGATGACATGCGGGGTAGGGAAGTCTAGGTATCGATTACGTCATCGGTAGTTATTTACTTTTTTATCATCACATCGAGAAGATCCATAAAAAAATTATAATTATGCATTTATATTAAAAAAAAAAACAATACAATAATTGAAAATGTTTACGTAAGCATGGTAAGAGTAAGAGTAAGAGGGTAAGGTAAGAGGGTAAGAGCTTTGCTTACTTTTGCAGACAAGGGGGATGGGGGCGTAAATAATTGTAATAAATCTGCTTACGTAATACTTGAACGGCCCCTGATAAGTGGTAGGTGATGAGTGATGAGTGGTAGGTATACTCACAGGAGTTCCCCTGGTGCGGCGTGTCCAACTTGGCCTGCATGTCCCTAATGTGTTGTTCTTTACGCTTCATGTCATGAGCCAGCGAGTCCAGGCGTTGTCTGGTCTCCAACAGCTCTCTGAACAAACATTGTGTATTATAGATCAATAATACTAATTATTATGTAGATACTTCATCATATATTATGTTAGAGTATTCGTGGAAAAATCTCAAATAAGTTCTTATTTTGTACTATGTACTATGCACTGTGTAGTATATCTTTATAATAGGTAATATGTTGTGACAGGTAACTCAAGATAGAGCCTATCTATGATTAAGTAACAACTAGACCGTGGAAGTACCACCTTCCCACAGAAGTTAGCCGTAAAGTAGTATTTAATGGCTGCGTTTCTTCCGATGAGTGAGAGAGATGGTTGCCCTTTCCATTTCCCCCCTCCACTCTCTCTTTCACAATCTATCTTATTTTAAGTTCTCTATACACATGTCCATGGACGATAATAACTATTTCCCCTTGGCTAATCTAACAAAAGCTACTAGTATATGAGCTCAGCTTTTAATGTATTTTTAATATGGATGTAATTGGTCTGAAATAAATTATTATTGTAATCTACCTCTGACTAGCCAGTAGTTCCGCCCTGGTCCTACTAAGTTCTTCCCCAACCGCTTGCTTCGCCTGTATTTCAGAGTGTAGCGATGACTGTAGCGTGAGTATCTCCATTTTATCAAGTTTCTGTGATCGTCTGTTTCTCCAGCCACTTCCGGGGGGCGGCGGCGCGGCGGGGGGGGATGCGGTTGGTCTTGGAGCACTCGCTAGATAAACAATAACCATTAAAAAATGAACCATCACATATATTGTTATATAGAGAATTGATGGACTTATTGATTATTGACTGGATTAAACTTTACAATCATGTAGACTATAAGCATAAAAGGTAGATATTCATTTCGATATATCGTTTTTCATAATAATAAGTGTATTTGAAGTCACTTGATTGATATTAGATGGCGCTACCGGTGGAATATCATTAGATATACCATAGAATATTAATATAATGTAGTATTCTATGTAGTTCAAGTATATATTGGTTGTAAGTACCGTGTTTGAGGTAGTCTAACTCATCTGTCATCTTGGTAGCGAGAGCCTGCAAGTAGCCTCGAGCCTCTTTCTCATCAGATACCCATCGTATTATATCAGCAATCTGTACAAAAGAAATATAATTTACCAATTGTTGTGTATTATAATTTTATTTTATTTTATTTTATTTGGGAAACAAACAATTTAGAAACACTGTAATATAAAAATAACAAAAAACATAAATCAATCAAGTTTCCACTTAAAGGGACATAATGGATTGGTATTCTTAAACAGTAGTATGATGTCACTTATAATGTATGTCACGTTATATATAAACTTTTAACATTCAGTCTAGCTATTTAACACAAAACATATTAAACGAATTTGAAAATCTAGCCTTCATGTAGATATTTGATATTATTATATACCATTATCGATAATACATGACACGAATCTTCTCATTCAATTTATTTACTTAGCGGGTGTCAGGTCCATCGTTGTAGTGAGAGGAGCTTCAACAGTGACTGTGACTTGCGACCCAGGTGTAGGTTTAAGGGACCCCTATCTAACGCGCGTTAAACGCTCACCTCAACTGTCCAAGCTCTCTGCCTAACCTAGTTTGAAATGTACCTTCTAGTTATACTAGAAGGTTACTTACTATACTAGTAACGTTACGTACGAAGGTCACGAAGGTAACGTACTATACTTTTTTCCTACTAGTTACTTTTTCTTCCTACCTGAGTTTCCCAGTGTTGCATCGAGTCTCTCTTTGATCTAAGTTCTTCCAACTCATGCTCCATAGCTCGCCTCTCAGCCTGCCACCGACGACCATTCTCAGCCATCTACAAACAGACATACAAACACATATTATAAATAATATATTTTACTTAGAACACTTGATGAAGATACCAAACAAAATATACGTGTATGATCAATGATTCTCTAAAGTAATTATTTGCCTTTTAAAGACCCAAGTAGTAAATTATATTCAACTAGTTTTGCCCGTTTCGAATTCAGTTATATCGCGTTTCCAAGAGAACCTTTCAAGTCTGGGATAAATACTATCCTATGTTCTTTCTCAAGGTCAACTCTATGTCTGTACCAAATTTCATTAAAATCAGTTCAGTAGTTTAGGCGTGAAAGAGTAACAGACAGACAGACAGAGTTACTTTCGCATTTATTATATTAGTAGGGATTCTAATAAATACTTCTTTGTATTTAGAATATATTGCTACTGTATTAGTATAAGCATATGCAGGACAAGAGATGCTAACAAATCACATAATTGTATTTATTCAGAATGTTTTGTGGCTATATTAATATCGTTTAGCATATCCAGAACAAGAGTTATATATAATACTAGCTGCGCCCCGCGGTGTTACTTTGATTTCCGGGATGTAAAGAAGCCTATGTGTTATTCGTAGACGTCAGCTTTGTATACAAAACTTTATCAAAATCGGTTCAGCCGTTTGAGCGTGAAGAAGTAACAAACATACACACACTCACAAACTTTCGCAATTATAATATTAGTAGGATAGTCCACTCACAGCGTCCAAGTCTTTGGCTAGTTTTCTGTTCTCATTGATCAACATCTGTTTGTCCTCACTATCGTTCAACTGTTCCATTCTGCGACTCTCCAATTTATCTTTGGATGTTTGAAGCTGGAATATAATATATTTTTTTAATTAATGTTAGAAATTCTTCTTCTACCTGCCAATTTCCGAGCTATAGCCAGGGTCTGCCCAATTAAAGTTTGACTATTGGGTTATTATGAAAACTTTATGATAACTGATTATTATTAGATGAAAATGAAAGAATTTTTGGTTGAGCAAATTTTTTTGGACAATGGTATTTTTAAAACAATTTATTTGTCCCATATATTTTATAGAATACTAGTTTTTGCCCGCGACTTCGTCCGCGTTAGTTTCGTCATTAGTAATATATGTATAGCTGACCGGGCGAACTCTATTCCGTTTTAGAGGCCATTAATAATCAGGTTTCTCCTGTTTCAATCGAACAGAATGATTGACATATTAGTTAGTTGTCAAATCTAATGTCAAAGAAAACGTTTGTATGGGAAATAGAAAAGGGCTGTTTTTATGGTTTTCCCGGAAATTAATCTATTTTTTTCAGCTTTTATATCTTCCCTGAACCTCCACGAACATTTCAAGACTAAGATAAGATAAATCCGTTTAGCTGTTCTCGAGTTTTAGCGAGACTAAGGAACAGCAATCCATTTTTATATATATAGAAGATAGAAGATTATAATATTCTTGTTTTTTCTGACTAATTACAATCAAGCATATTTTTGTAATAACAAATTTGTTAATACAAATTTTCATCTATTTTAGTTATGAATAGCTCAAATCTAGTAATTAGATAAAAAATTGTATTGACAAATATTATTATTTTCATCTAATTATGAGATTTAATATATCCATATGTTATTTTATCCCTTCCACCTCTCTACAGTGTATGTATGTATATACGTATATATGTATGTATGGCTGTTCTCACCTCCCTATTAAGTCTGTTCCTAAGTGCATCTCCCTCATGTAGTTGTTCCCTGAGTGCCGCTAGTTCTGCTGCATACCTTGCCTGCTGTTGGGACAGGGACTCCGAATATTGAGCCTAAAAATAATTAATCATGTTAGTTTTTTATATAAATTGATAGATTCTGATAATTATAATATATTTAATGAGAAAATGCGATTGTTGCGTATTCCCTGGACAGCGATTCGGACCAACGTCTCAATCCTGGAGGAATTAAAAATCAAACAGAGATTATCGTCGACTGTGCAAAACACGGATTGTCAAATATTTTGGGCATGTGTTCCTTAACGATCACTCCATGGAACGACTCGTTGTGCTGGGGCAAGTCGAGGGCAAAAGATCACGTGGTCGGGCACCTACGCTTTGGGTGAACCTTATCAAAAATACGACATAAATCTCCGTAGTTCAGAGTTTCCGAGACGCTGAAGACCGGAATAAGTGGAGGAGCATCACAGGAGCTTTAGCCAAAGAAAGTGCAAGTCATCAACCACGACCACTCTGTCAAGAGAGAACGACTAAGAAGAAGAAAATGAGAAAATCGTAGAGTTTATAGAACTGTAGTGGATAAGATGTTTTAATGATCCCATTGACCCAGATTAAGCTGAAATCAACCATGCACATATATAGTCTCTATCTTTTACTCTGCTAGTATAAATCTCCTACACTACTCATGACCTGTACCCCCCCCCCCCACACAGTATATATCCCCATTCCTACCTCTAGCGCCTCTATATCCGCTTGTAGTCTTGCCACATCTTGCGCTGGTGATACTCCTGTTTCTTCGACCCTCGCAAGGCGAACACTCTCCTCACGTACTTTCCTCTCCTGGAATATTAACAATAATATTATATATATATATATGTATATGTATGTATGTCGAAGAAATATTGAGACAGTCGCCAGTTCAAATATATTAAAAACTCATTAACTACCATTTTCTATACGGACAATGCTTATTACTTTTTATATTTAACTTATAAACGTAAGGGCAACAATTTTTGAAAAAAAAATGCAATAACTTTTGGGAACAAATTCACTTACGTACTATGTATATAAAAAAAAATAATGTACCGATAGCTTTCTCTGGATAAATTAATAAACTATACAAGTTATATTTATCTTTATGCATATTTGCTTTGAATAACAAATTAAAAGTGTGTAATAATACTAATATTATTACAAATTACCTATTGTTTTGTTTAATACAGTCTGTTTTTATGTCAAACAATATTGTTTTATATATATAACTAGCTTTCCGCCCGCAGCTTCTTTCGCGTGTAGTTCGGTTATATCGCGTTTCCAAGAGAACCTTTAAAAAGTCTGGGATAAAAACTATCCTATGTTCTTTCTCAAGGTCAACTCTATGTCTGTACCAAATGTCATTAAAATCAGTTCAGTGGTTTAGGCGTGAAAGCGTATTTTAAATTGTTTACCCCCCGCAACCTCCTTGTGGGTGGAATTTCCTAAAATCCGTTCTTAGCTGACCTCTACTCGGCGAAAGGAATAATCCTACCAAATTTCAAGTCGCTACCGCCTTATGGTTCCAGAGACATTGTGATGACTCAATATACAGGGTGACTGGTGAATTACTATCAATACTTTAGGACGTGATATTTGACGATCATATATGACAAAATAAAAAATAATATAACATAAATATTAATAAACTTCTAATTAAGTTAACCAAAAGTTATGTAATTAATTACGCATCGTGTGAACACCCTACAGATTAGGTATACACACACACTCACACATACGCGTGTAGCGGCGTAGTGTTGTATCAGCACGCCGCCGCACGCGTCAACACTTGGAACACTTGGAACGTGCCCACGCTTTATTTATTTATACGGAAATTTGGTCAAAAATTAAGTACCTATTTTTTTTACATAATTCGAATGAGAATCATGTACCGAGTATTCTCCTTAAATATTGATAGTAATTCACCAGTCACCCTGTATAGGTGGGAATCTCTTATATACCATACCTTAGCAGCTTCATTCAAGGCCGTATCCAGTCTCGCCTCTAAATCTCTCCTTGATTTCTCAGCTCTCCGTATGTCCTGTCTCAAGGCGTCTATTTTGGACATCGCTACCTCCAATTCCTCCTCTTTATCACGGACCTAATGGAGAGGATTCAATATATTTATATGTACTCCTAAACTATAGAAAACCTACATGTCTCAGGAAATAAATTAAATTGTATATAATTTACATTATAGAACATTAACAATAATATAAAAGCAAGAAGAAATCAAGTTAAAGAAGATTTAATATGAATTCCATTTTATACACACTAGTTTTGGAGATCAACCCTACTTATAATATTGAACATGAAAGGGCATCCAAGGTCACTGTATAAGCTTACTATTTTTGGAGACCAACAGAACTCATAATATGGCGACTAATTCGAGGTCATTTAAGGTCATCTATGGTCACTATATTTCCTAACTATTTTTGGAGACCATCAAAATTCATAATATTGAAACTATTTTGAGGTCATTCCAGGTCACTATATATACTAACCTGTCTTGATAGTTTTTGTTTTTGTTGCCTCAACTCAGACAGCTTGTCAGTAACTTCGTTGTACTCCGCCATGGCTAGCTTGCGTTGACTAACGGCGTCTTTCAATTCCTTATCCTAAACCAACAAAACACATATTTACAATTATGTCAAGCAATATTTATATAATTCTTCTGTGAGTGTGTATGTCACTGAACTTCTCTCAAACGATTGGACGGATTTTGATAAAAAATTTTGCGTGTGTTCAAGGGGATCTGGGAATGGTTTAGAATTTAGATTCACAATTTTGTCCGCTGGACAATGTTTTTTTTTAATTAATTTTTTATTTATTAGTAGTTGATACAAACATTTTTTTTGACATTAGATTTAACAACTAACTAATATGTCAATCATTCTGTCGCACTTCAAAACACGGAGATTTATGGCTTTAATAGGTAAACTCCAAAAATATAAATCAAAAAACGTAACAGATATTTCTTGATTATAGGGCTATACGAAGTTCGCCGGGTCTTCTAGTATTTATATATATATATATATATATATATATATATATATATATATATATATATATATATATATATATATACAGGGTGACTGGTGAATTACTATCAATATTTAAGGAGCATACTCGGTACATGATTCTCATTCGAATTATGTAAAAAAAATAGGCACTTAATTTTTGACCAAATTTCCGTATAAATAAATAAAGTGTTGACACGTTCCAAGTGTTCCAAGTGTGGACGCGCGCGGCGGCGTGCTGATACAACAACACGCCGCCGCGCGCGAGTGTGTGTGTGTCTGTATACCTAATCTGTAGGGTGTTCATACGATGCGTAATTAATTACATAACTTTTGGTTAACTTTACTTAGAAGTTTATTAATATTTATGTTATATTTATTTTTACTTTGTCATATATGATCGTCAAATATCACGTCCTCAAATATCGATAGTAATTCACCAGTCACCCTGTATATATATTAATGTTATTATTCTTCATTCGCATTGGAATCATGGAATATTTTGTCAAAGTCAACTTTTTGTATAGGCATATATTGAATATACATTTCTTTTTGTCATATAATTTAACATAAAAATCCTATATAGGTTAAATTTATAATCGGATGAATGTCTACTATATTTAAATGTATTTTTATGTAATAAGGTAAAAACAAATTAATTCTGTCACACAATAATTAATATATAAATATTAAATACATATGCACATATATTAAAATATGTATGAACACAAAGTTAGTGAGATTCAAACAGTGAAGTCGAACCAATATAATCTATCATGTCACAGTGTATAAAAATTTAACACCTATAGTTGCCTAATTATTATTACACATATATGTTAACCTGTAACATGAGTTTCTCTATGGTATCATTCTTATCTTTGATTAATTCTTCCTTCTCTATGTTCAAAGCATTCACCAGAACCTCCAAATCCTTGACCCTGGCTGTCAATTCTTGAGGTGATGATGAGATCTCCTGCAAACAGACATACATACATATTGTTAGATACAACATAAAATTAAAAATAATTAATTAATAATATATATTAATGTTCATGAATATAAAGTATATAATTAGGAGACAATATCTGTATATGATAATTGAAATTCGTTTTAATTATTATTTTCTTATAAATATTACTTTTTAATGCTTACAAAGTTGTATATAAGATATTTGTATTATATTTTCATTACCTGTGTTCCTATAGAAGCGTTAACTTGTTCGAATCTCTTCAACTGTGATTCCAATTCACCATTCCTCTTTTTCAGAGCTTCAATTTCTTCTTTCAATACTGATGATTCTTCTGTAAATAAAAATTAGCAAATGGCTTTGAGAATATGTATGTAAATGTTTTTTTAATAGGTATTTACTACCATTAGGTATATAATTAGATTGCATAGATCATTTTATTTTAATTATTTGTGTAAATACATTTTTTTTTTAATAATTGCAAGGTAACCAGGTAAATATTTTTTTTTGCTATTGATGATATAGTGAAATATGATAATTCAATTTTGCTTTTAGACACATACTAACTGACCCGGAAAACTGTTTTTATTATTATTTATGGTTGTATGTATTTTCTAATGCCACATTATAAAAAAGATAGAATAAAATTTTGGGGGTCAACGACCCTTATCAGTTAGGGGCATGAAAAATAGATAGTAGAAAATTCTTACACCTACTGAATACGAATATAGAATTTGGTAAAAATCGGTAAAGCCGTTTCAGAGGAGTATGGCAACTAACACTGTGACTTGGAAATTTTATATATTATGGCTAAAGTGCATTTCCCTTTAATATCAAGCTATACATACCTTGCTCCGCGGCTGCCCGTAGGTCGGCTAGCGTGTGTGCTAACAGAGCGTTCTCACGTTCAAGGGCTGCTAACGCTGCACGGTCACTGGCGTTTGATGGTGCCTGGGAGTAGATCAAACAATTATATATATTGACTAGCTTTCCACCCGCAGCTTCGCCCGCGTGGAGTTCGGTTATATCGCGTTTCCAAGAGAACCTTTCAAAAGTCTGGGATAAAAACTATCCTATGTTCTTTCTCAAGGTCAACTCTATGTCTGTACCAAATTTCATTAAAATCAGTTCAGTGGTTTAGTCGTGAAAGCGTAACAGACAGACAGACAGAGTTACTTTCGCATTTATAATATTAGTGGGGATAATATATTATCAAGTAATGTTTGATATAATCATTAGTATACATATAATGTAGTTATTTAGTTTGTTATTCGATTGTATATATTTTAGTTTAAGTCATGTATTAATTTTTATGATAGTGTTTATTTCTTATTAATCCTGAAACCTATTCTTTACAAATAAATGACAAGACTTCTCTTGTCATTTATTTGTAAGGAATAACCATACATGTAACTTCTGACATGTATGGTTATTTCTTACATTTGCATATAGAAATTACAATGACTCAAAAATGAATTAACATACATACAGGGTGGCCCAGAAAGACCGAAGTGGTGTGAATTCCTTATAACTTTTTTCTTTTCTTTTCAGTATTTTGTAAAGAAGACTTGGATAATTTATAATGGAGCAATACACAATTGAACAACGTGCCCAAATTGTTGAAATTTACTTTTCAAATCAACGGTCCATTGTGTTGACTCAGCGTGCATACCGTCGTCAATTTAATGTGCGGGTTGCACCCTCTCAGTCAACAATAAACCGTCTGGTTGCAAATTTTCGAGAACAAGGAGCAGTAAGGAACCTTCCTGGTTCCGGCAGACACCGAACTGTCCACACGGCTGACAATATTCAAGTGGTACAGGAGAGTATTCGGGAGGATCCAGAAACATCAACCAGGAGACGTTCGTCACAACTGGGCCTCTCAAGAACGTCGCTGCAGCGAATTTTGCACACCATAGGATTGTTTCCATACAAAATTCAACTTGTCCAAGAATTGAAACCAACAGATTACCAGCAACGACTTGACTATGCAATTTATTTCCAGCAAAAAGCACAAGAGAATCCAAATTTTATTCATAACTTAATAATGAGTGACCAAGCCCATTTTCAATTAAATGGGTTCGTTAACAAGCAAAACTGTAGGATATGGGCTACGGAAAACCCGAGAGTACTTCATCAACGACAATTGCACCCAGTTAAGTGTACCGTTTGGTGCGGTGTTTCTTCAGAAAGGATCATTGGCCCATTTTTTTTTGAAAATGAACAAGGTGTCGCCATTTCCGTCAATGGTGATCGATATCGGGCCATGTTGCAAAATTTTGTAAGGCCAGCCGTGGAAAACCATCCGCAAATATGGTTCCAACAGGATGGAGCCACAGCGCACACTGCGAGGGCCACAATGACTCTTTTACGCGACATCTTTGGTGAAAGAATAATTTCTCGTAACAGCAATTTTAATTGGCCTCCGCGGTCCCCGGATTTAACCGCTCCAGACTGTTTTCTTTGGGGCTATTTAAAAGGAAAAGTTTATGTTAATAAGCCTAGGACTATTGAGGAGTTAAAAACCAATATTCGAGAAGAAATTAACAACATACCACCGGAAGTTTTGCGAAAGGTCATGGAAAATGTGTTGGAAAGAGCACATTTGTGCGAAGCAGAATATGGCCACCACTTGCGGGATATCATTTTTAATAACTAATCCAAAAATATTCCCCATAAATTTAATGTATTTAAAAAAAAATTAAAAAAATATCTCTTAAATAAAAAGTTATAAGCAATTCACACCACTTCGGTCTTTCTGGGCCACCCTGTATATGAATAACAGAGTGAAATATGATAAAATATTATTTGATAAATTTAGATTGTCAATGAAGAAAGTAGATACAGACAGAAAAATATACTGACTGATAATAATATTCAAAAGAATGATTTTATAACTTCCAATAACTATTAATAATTCTGAAAAAGTATATATATAGGGAATTCACACACAAGTATAGTGCGTTTGATTAAAGGTGAGCTTTGCATTTGTGTAAGAGCACACGGATAGTTTAGGTGTGATGTCAAAGGTTTTGCTAGTTTTAAACCGGTTTATTCTGGTTTTACTCCGCCCCTTTTTTTTTTTGGTGTCGGGTTGGAAAATCCTCATGGAGCCCCACCGCCCTCGGGGAAGGACGGAGGGGACTGTCAGACTCCTACTGACTAAAAACCAACCCGTGTGCCTCATCTACCCGTGTGCCGGAGAGGTGGGTATCGCCGAAGCATTCATCGCTACCTCCCCGACAGGCATTGACCCGCCAGATGGTCAGGCGGGCCACGTCACCCGGTCGTAAACCTTAACTATGAGCCGCGCGCGGATTACACGCCTCCCCCTCGAAGCCTGTAGCTGTTATCGGACGACAGGTGCCCCGAATCTGTCGTCCACAGGCCGCGCTCTACGGTGGCCGGAAATCGGTCACCCTACGGCGCGCAGTGCGTCTAGTGCTAGAGGGGAGAAAGGAGGCAACCTCTCTTTCCCTTTCCGCTACCTCCTTTGCGCGCATCACTGCCTCGCAGAAGGTGGCGACGGCACACCACCCTGACTCGCTCCCCACCATAACTGACACAACTGCCGGGAGTGACACGTTTCCTGCCACCCCTACCGCCGCAACCAAGTCACGGCGCTGCTCGGCCCAAGCTGAGCATTCCGCCAATGTATGCAGCGCCGTGTCATTGGGGCAGTCACCGCAATGTCGGCACTGGGACGTCTGTTCAAGACCTATGCGGCACAGGTACTTCCCGAAACATCCATGTCCGATAAGTACCTGCGTTAGCCGGAAGCTGAGGGCGCCGTGACTCCTGTTCAGCCACTCCTGTAGAACAGGTCTTACCGCCGCTATAACGGCGTGCCCCAGAACCTAGGTTCTAGTTTTAAACCGGTTTATTCTGGTTTTACTCCGCCCCGCACCTTCCTCACTTCACCCTTTGTACTGGTAGCAATATCAAATATTGAAAATGCAATGTCAAGTGAATAAGTATTTGTATAGTTTTTTCAAATTCTTATTAATTAATAATTTTTTTCCCACAATATTCATAATATTTTCATCTGGACTTTTACAAGTTTTGCTTATTTTATAGCACTTATATTATGTATCTATTTAAAATACAGGGTGACTGGTGAATTACTATCGATATTTGAGGACGTGATATTTGACGATCATATATGACAAAATAAAAATTAATATAACGTAAATATTAATAAACTTCTGAGTAAAGTTAACCAAAAGTTATGTAATTAATTACGCATCGTATGAACACCCTACAGATTAGGTATTAGGTACACACACACACATACGCGCGCGGCGGCATGTTGTTGTATCAGCACGCCGCCGCACGCGTTCACACTTGGAACACTTGGAACGTGTACACACTTTATTTATTTATACGGAAATTTGGTCAAAAATTAAGTACCTATTTTTTTTACATAATTCGAATGAGAATCATGTACCGAGTATGCTCCTTAAATATTGGTAGTAATTCACCAGTCACCCTGTATAATAAAAATTAATTCTAAAAGTTTTTTGTCTAACTCTACTTTTACTTTCACTCACACAGATACAAAGCTCAGCTTAAGTCTAACGGACTATAGTATAAAACATTATATATTAATCTATCTCTCTATACATATTATTGACCTGTTTAGTAGCGTTTTTCGCTGGACTGAGAGGTGTGGGCGGGCCGAGGTCGCACAATCTGGATCCTCCAGTGAATGTGAAGCCTACAAACGGCAAATGTAGGCCGGAGAAGGCGCCTGACGCACGGGGAGGGGGGACTGCTTCCGATAACCTGAGAATTAAACGTTATATGTATAATAAAATAGATTTTAATACATGTTTAAAGAGTGTAATATGACTTAATATTATAGTATAAGTTTTTGTACATATATATGTTATACTGTTAGTTGTTTATTTATCTTGAAATCAATCCAATTATAATTATATAACCGCTGTTTGCATGAGTGTTAATTTCTAATGTGTATACTTTTTTATTTTTGATATAAACTACATACTCCCGACGCGACGTTTCGGTTACTTTATAGTAACCGTGATCACGGACAGACGAAAAGTAACCGAAACGTATGGTTATGCAGTTTATAGATCAAAAATAAAAAATCGCGTAGTAAATCCGAAAAATATTAGTTTCATTTAAATGAGTACTCGCGATAATTTTTGATCTCATTAATGATTTTCGGTGTCATGTTATACTGTCCTATACTGTATTGTACTATACTGTACTGTATTATTCTATACTGTATTGTACTGTGATATGGAAACTCTTTAGGAGTTACTACATATCACATGGCGGCGTTGGCGGGCGACAAAAAAGAAAATAAATACAAATAAAAACGAATTAAAAAGAATTAGAGAGAATGACGTTCAGTTTGGATTGAATAGGGCTTGCCATCGCATTAGACAGTATGGATCGGATATAATATAGAGGAATGTTAATGATTTAAAATAAAAATAAAATAATAAATTATGAAGCAGTTTAAATTATACATCGTACATTCGTAAAACGATCCCGAAAGTAACGCGAAGCGTTACTGTATTGTAGTGTATTATACTGTATTGTAGTGTATATATTCACCGTATATCCGTATCGTCCACATCAAAATTGGATGTATCAGTTGGACTCGACACATCCGGTACGAACGGTGCTGCCATCTCTCTCACGTTCTCCCACTCCAAGCCCGCGAACCATGGATGACTCTGAAATATATACAAATATATTATATATATAATTCTTCTGTGAGTGTGTATGTCACTGAACTTCTCTCAAACGATTGGACCGATTTTGATGAAAAATTTTGTGTGTGTTCAAGGGGATCTGGGAATGGTTTAGATTTACAATTTTGTTCGCTGGTCAATTTTTTTTAAATTAATTTTTAATTTATTAGTAGTTGTTGATAAAAAACGTTTTTTTGATATTAGATTTATGATATTATTAATAACTTTTTATAATAAAGAGTAGTATTTACTATTATATATTAAAGTGTATATGAATTATGTAACCTTGAAATCTTGTAAGCCATTTCTTCCCAAACGAGTCTCTGAAGAACATATCAATCGACGGATGAGATCTTTCGCTTCCTCTGAAACCTTTATTGAAAGAAAAGGAATATTATTGATTCTTATTAAAAACAGAAATAAGAATAGCATTTGTAGTGAATTAGCGCTTATAAATTCACACATAACAATAATAATTATAAAGTTTTCTATACAAAAATATGATAGTTATAAAATCGTTTACCAACCCAAATAAAGGAGATCCATACAAAATTCATCCATACTGATGTACAAAACCTCTACAACAGTCATAAATATATATACATAAAACACACACAAGCACAACTTCTGACAAAAGCGAATACCAACAATGAGACACACACTCTGTCTCTCAAAGACTCACACACACACACATAAACAATCAAGAAATTCAAAGAAATTCAAAGAAAATCAAGAAGTTCAAAGACTCACACTTACACACACACACACACACACATACACACACACTGACACTCAGAAGTACATACTCACTCTAGGTATATATACCCATAGAAAAGCTCGAGGCCTCACACATAGATACTCAGAGACACACACAATGACACCCAGAGGCGCACACACATATATATACTCTCTCTCTCACACACACACACACACGTGTATACTCTCTCTCTCACACACACACACACATGTATACTCTCTCTCTCTCTCTCTCTCTCTCTCTCTCTCTCTCTCTCTCTCTCTCTCTCACACACAGATACCTGCGGCGCCAGTTCGTCGGGCGGCGGGCAGTGGAAACAGCGCGCGTGGTTCATGATCTTGCCGTAAGTCTCCACCAACGACTCAGCGTAGAATGGAGTCTCGCCGAACAACATCTCGTACATACACACACCTGAAACATGAATAATACATTATGTGAATAAAAATCTCTAGTAATATTATAAATGCGAAAGTAATAATACATACATTATGATCATACATCCCTACCAATATTATAAATGCGAGAGTAACTCTGTCTGTCTGTCTGTTACGCTGTCACGGATAAACCACTAAACTGATTTTAATGAAATTTGGTACAGACATAAAGTTGACCTTGAGAAAAGAACATAGGATAGTTTTTATCCCAGACTTTTGAAAGGTTCTCTTGGAAACGCGATATAACTGAATTCGAAACGGGCAAAGATGCCAGCGGAAAGCTAGTATTATATAAATATGGTGATGTAGTTAGGCTGACGTTACTTTTTTTAAAAATTACGTTATTTCTTCTTTATGAGTAATGTCAGGAATATTTTAATGTAATTCAATCGATTAGTTGATTAATACCATAAAAGGGTAGTTAGTGTGACTTATAGTCAGAAACCCCAAAACATTCTATTGACAGCCGTCAAACGAAGTGCACAAGTCTAACCTATTGGGCCATAATCTTTTTCCATCTTATTATTTGAATGTGATTTTAGATACAATTGTAAAGAAATCGAGTAATATTGGACAGTACAAGTGTGCTTTTATTTATGAATTCCAATCGTTACTAACGCTCTTATAGTTAATAAGTAATTTTTCGTAAAGTTCCATTCATATTTTTAGCACTATTTCTGGTTGTTTAGCAACAGTTTGTTATCAAACATTATCGTGTTAGTTTGTCCGAGTATACATATAGAAATTAGCATAAGTAAATTCGATATCCTACTAATATTATAATTACGAAAGTTTGTGAGCGTGTGTGTATGTTTGTTACTTCTTCACGCTCAAACGGCTGAACCGATCTTGATAGAATTTTGTATACAGGAAGCTGATGTTCAGGAATAACACATAGGCTACTTTACATCCCGGAAATCCGCGTAACACCGCGGGGCGAAGCTAGTTTAAGATATAAACGATGAAATAACTCACCCAAAGACCACCAATCACACTCGGGGCCGTATCGACCTTGACCATCTTCCATAGCCTGAAAATACATCAATTAATATGTATATACTGTATATAAAATAAATGTAAGAAATATAGGCAAGTTTAATACAAAAATTATGCTTGGCTTATACTTCAAAAAGAATGGTAATCTAAATAAATGCCAAGATATTATATACAAAATTTTAAATATGTACTTATAAACACTATGAACAATTATTAAACTCTTATTTGTTTTATTAGCCACCCTTAGTAGTTATTGTTATCTTAAATTGAGCCATCTTAATATAGGTTATATTTGATTTAACCAAATTTAATCTTCTATATATATAAAAATGGATTGCTGTTCCTTAGTCTCGCTAAAACTCGAGAACAGCTGAACGGATTTATCTTATCTTAGTCTTGAAATGTTCGTGGAGGTTCAGGGAAGGTATAAAAGCTAAAAAAAAAATGATTCATTACTGGGAAAACCATAAAAACAGCCCTTTTCTATTTCCTATACAAACGTTTTTTTTTGACATTAGATTTGACAACTAACTAATATGTCAATCATTTTGTCGCACTTCAGAACACGGAGATTTATGGCTTAAAGGTAAATACCAAAAAAATAAATAAGACATAATTTATTTCTTGATTGAGCCAGTACGAAGTCTGCCGGGTCAGCTAGTTATATAATACATTATATAAAGTTATTGGACATTTTAATTCTGATAAAGTAATCACATATCTTTTGTTAATCAGTGTATATAACTCACTCTCAGTATCTCTGGTGATATATAATCCGGTGTGCCCACAGCTACGTTACTTTGAACCTGGAAATATATGAAACATACATATATACATATATGGTTTTATGTCATATAATATATTTTATTTGGTATATATAACTATTTTACTATGGTAATAATTCTCTATAATATATGAAATATTACATTAGGAGATCACTGAAAATCAGTGTAGAAGCAACATTGCTTCCATTTTTTACTGAGTGGTTCTCCTTTTGGTTAAAATACACTGCTGCACACTTATTATTATTGTTATTGATTTTTAACTTAATATTTGTCCTGTTGTAGTTGTTATGTTATTTTATTTTCCGTTTTTGTATATACAGGGTGACTGGTGAATTACTATCAATATTTAAGGAGCATACTCGGTACATGATTCTCATTCGAATTATGTAAAAAAAATAGGTACTTAATTTTTGACCAAATTTCCGTATAAATAAATAAAGTGTTGACACGTTCGAAGTGTTCCAAGTGTGGAGGCGTGCGGCGGCGTGCTGATACAACAACACGCCGCCGCGCGCCAGTGTGTGTGTGTATACCTAATCTGTAGGGTGTTCATACGATGTGTAATTAATTACATAACTTTTGGTTAACTTTACTTAGAAGTTTATTAATATTTATGTTATATTAATTTTTATTTTGTCATATATGATCGTCAAATATCACGTCCTCAAATATCGATAGTAATTCACCAGTCACCCTGTATAGGATAAGTGTTACTCTGTTTATTATTAAATATTTTATGACATCTCCATGTGTACTGTATGCTATATAAAACTATTTTTACTATGGTAATAATTATATATATGTGTATTTTATTATAATCATACAAAAATGCTAGTTTTCTTTATGATTAACTGATTTAATATTATATTATAGTATATTATTTATATATCTAACCTTTCCATCATCTCCTAGTCTCAAACAGGATCCAAAATCCGCAAGTCGTATGTGACCACTCGCGTCCAACAGAACATTGTCCGGTTTGATGTCACTGAAATATTACAATTACATAATCATTATATATAATTTAAAGAAATCAAAAACGAAAAATTAATGTCAGTAAATAGATAAACAGAGATGTGTAAATGAAACGAAATTTAATCCTTCTAAAGATTCATATCAGTGTAACATATTGTTGAAATAATGCTCGTAGTAAATAATCTGTATTTCTTCATATATAAAAAATATAAGAATTGTTAAGACTTCAATTATATATCTAGAAAATATTTAACAACTCCAACAAAATATACTGAAAGTAACGGATTCGAATTTCAAATTGATATGGAAGGTATTCATTAAATATCCATGCATGCAAATTTCAATATGCATATGCTAACCGATGCACGTATTTCAGCTCATGCACACTATGCACGGCTAGCACCATTTCAGCCAAGTAGAACCTCGCCATGTCTTCGGGGAGACGATCCTCGAATTTGGACAGCAGCGTCAATAGATCACCTCCACAGTAGTAATCCATCACCAGGTACTGAGATATATAAATAACATTAACAATATGTTAACGATGGATAAACGATATGTATATCGTGGTACGGGGTTATATTGTAAGTGACAAATTCAAGAATGTAAATCCTACTAATATTATAATTGCGAAAGTTTGTGTATGTTTGTTACTTCTTCACACTCAAACGGCTGAACCGATTTTGATAAAATTTTGTATACAAGAAGCTGACGTCCGGGAATAACATATAGGCTACTTTACATCCCGGAAATCCGCAGCTAGTATATACATATGTATGAATAACACACCGTGTGTATGAATATTGAACTATGATAAGTTTGTGTGACTAAATTAAAATTTTGATATTTTATTACCCCCAATCTAAATAAAAGAATCATAAAAAATATAAAGCTAATACATGATATACGTCACCTATATATAAGAATACAGGCTGTTCTCTTATGGCATGTCAGTATGGCTAAAATAAAACGAATACGTATGTTACACACCCTGTATATATAATACAGGGTGTGTTATATTTTCGTAGTCTACTCACCAGGTTGTGTTCGTCCTGGAAGGCGTAGTGCAGGTTAGTGATCCACCGTCTGTCGCCGAACACCAACACGTCTCGCTCCTCTTGGAAACACGCTGTATCAGCTCGCTGAGGAGAAAGTTATATGAAACTAATATTATTGGATAACTCCGAGTATTGCGACCAGTGGCGGCTGTATCTTTGACTGCTAATACATTTTGTATGAGATCCGCATTAATACGCCTGACGCGTGAAACAAAAGATAGTTCATAGAAATGTACCGAGTAATGAGTCATTTCTCGAGCGCCACACGAGCGACCGAAGATTACCGAGAGCACTCGATGTATGACGAATTGAGCCATGATTGACATCTCGTTATGTTTTGTTGCATTTTCTAATTTTAATATTTTTGTAAAGTGCACCACCGGTTCGATTACCCACCGGCCGCCACTGATTGTGACGTCACTACACTTCCCTTCCTTTCCCACCCGTGTGACGTCACTACTCCCCCCCCACCCGCCACCCGTGTGACGTCACCAGACCTCCCCCCCGTACCTTTAGCATCTCCCACTTGTTGAGTATCTTCATAGCGTAGACGCGGTCGCCGCTGGTCGAGGCTGCCGCGCTGTTAGCACCCGGCTCGCTGCCCTGAAAACAATTATTATATATATTATAAATAAAACTATTATATTAAATGGGACTTCTCCATGTGAGAAGAGGCTTTTGTTCAGCTGTGGGCTCTCATAGGATATAATGATGATATCAAACTCTTTATTTAGAAGGTACCAAGTATGAACCATGATAGCATCGATTTGGCTGAATTTGTGACTACTTATTTATTTATACACCACAAATAGAAATATTTACATTATCATAAAAGTTAGCCTATCTGTTAAATGAGATCTCTACCTATTATATTGTTAGTATATTGTTAGTATGTATATTGTTAGTATGTATGTATGTATGTTTCACCTGCATGAAGCTAGCCCTGACCACGCAAACCTCCCCGAAGGCGCCTCTACCGATGACCTTTACCAGCTCGAAGTCATCTCGAGACAGACGAAGACGCTTCAAAGCTGTAGCGACTGGCTTCACTGTGGATACATGCGGAAGAGTCTTGTTTAATATATATGAATACTTAGAAGACCCGGCGAATTTCGTATCGCCCTATAATTAAGAAATATCTGTAATGTTTTTTTTTAATAATTAAATTTAGGTTATACCTTATCCTCAGAAACACGTGGTGGTTATGCTATTATTAAATAGTCGCTCATATATGATTTTTGTATTTTTAACATAGCGTCATCTATTGAATACTTAACTCAGTCAACAGATAATTGTAATAATGACAAATAATTTTCTTTAATAGAAAAATAATTTGCAATAAAATAATATGGTGACTATAAATTGAGATGAAAGCTATCCTATGCTATCTTTCAAGTTGAATCAAAATGCACACGGAATGCAAATCAAATTTAAAATCGGTTTAGTAGTTTAGAACTCCATCGCGGACAAACACGTGACACGAAATTTTTATATACAGGGTGACTGGTGAATTACTATCGATATTTGAGGATGTGATATTTGACGATCATATATGACAAAATAAAAATTAATATAACATAAATATTAATAAACTTCTAAGTAAAGTTAACCAAGAGTTATGTAATTAATTACGCATCGTGTGAACACCCTACAGATTAGGTATACACACACACTCACACATACGCGCGCGGCGGCGTGGTGTTGTATCAGCACGCCGCCGCGCGCGTTCACACTTGGAACACTTGGAACGTGTCTACACTTTATTTATTTATACGGAAATTTGGTCAAAAATTAAGTACCTATTTTTTTTACATAATTCGAATGAGAATCATGTACTGAGTATGCTCCTTAAATATTGATAGTAATTCACCAGTCACCCTGTATAAAGATATGTGAACATATCATCGGGGACAGAGCAAAATAAGAATTCAATAATTCCGCCTATCTGAAACCGAAGCAGCTTTTATTTGGTCCCTGAATGAAGTGTCGCTATTACTAAATACGTAATAATTTACAATCAATCTACCTTAAAACATCTAAAATAATAACTTGAGAAATAAAACGCAAAAATTATACATTAATTAATGTATTTGAATAATTTCAATGATTATAACGGATAACCAGTAGATGATAAATCCGCTGATCTTATCAACAAATCTATATTAGGATATCCGGATATACATTTTGAGCAATCCATGCTGGGCGCATTGAATATGCTATAGGCAAAAAATATCCGCGGAACTTACCAACAAGTTTTGATTATGATCCGCAAATATTTTAGGCGTCCCTTAACAGAACACATTTAATATCGATTGATACGTAATATCCGCGGATCTTGTCAACAAATTTTTATTATCATCCGCAGATATTTTACTGTCCCTTAACAACACGTCTTGATATCAATTACTACGTAACATCCGCGGATCTTGTCATCAAATTATTATTATAATCCGCAGATATTTTACTCTCCCTTAACAACACTTGATATCAACTATAACGAAATATCCGCGGATTTATTCAACAAATTAATATCCGCTGCACGAATAATATCAACTTGACCGTTAACTCACCGTATTGTATGAAGTCCGCGATTGCCTTTTCCCTTCTAAGGCTGCTGTTACAGCACTCATCGTATAATACTAGCAGCATATCCAAGAGTGTCTCCACGCTTAAACCCTGGGGCCGAGGGCCCTGCAGACGCCGGGATATAAACATAGTCTCGATCTGCTTCAGACGCTTTATACCTAGGACTGAAATGGAAATTGAATATCAAATATTATACATTATCATTTGGATGGATTCCAATATAGCGATTTCTCACGAGGGAATACATTTATTCAAAATTATTTTATTATAATGAATTGAGATTTAAATTTAAAAAAATATATATAAATTACAATAGTATGAACTAAGTTGAATGTAATTATTTTTGAATTTAACATAATAATAATTAAAATAAAATATCCGTCGTATTTTTTTGAGTTAAGTAAAATAAATATATATCTTAATTATTCTTGTTTGTTTACCAGTTCTTTAAATGCCCATTTAATTTAATTTACATACATATTACCAAGCATCATTGGCATTAGTGGAGATGCGTCTTAATAAAACATTATTAAAGATCTCAATGTGCATACATAATTTATGATTAAAATTATATTAACTTATATAAATACTAATATTAATTTAAAAATATCATGTATAGAATTATAACATTATTTTTAACATAATATAATCAGGGACATTTTGTTTATGTGTAATTTTTCCGCAATGTTAACACTTAAACACTTGAAAATAAACTATGTAATAAGTGTTATACATATTATATGTGTGTGTCTTATCATTAATTTACTATATTTAAAAAAGAAATATATTAAAATGGATATGTAATATATATCTTCTATATATATAAAAATGGATTGCTGTTCCTTAGTCTCGCTAAAACTCGAGAACAGCTGAACGGATTTATCTTATCTTAGTCTTGAAATGTTCGTGGAGGTTCAGGGAAGGTATAAAAGCTGAAAAAAATTGATTCATTACTGGGAAAACCATAAACAGCCCTTTTCTATTTCCCATACAAAGGTTTTTTTGACATTAGATTTGACAACTAACTAATATGTCAATCATTCTGTCGCACTTCAAAACACGGAGATTTATGGCTTTAATAGGTAAACTCCAAAAATATAAATAAAAAAACGTAATAGATATTTCTTGATTATAGGGCGATACGAAGTTCGCCAGGTCTTCTAGTAATACATAAATATTTTCAAGAAAGTTATACAAGTTGAGTGAAGTATCGTTTAAATCTCAACAGATTACGAAATTTATCACACATCTAACAATATTTAGGTCATACGATTTTTTTTTAAATGCTCATAAAACTTGTGAATTCTTATATGTTTATATGGAAATTTGTTAGTCATCTTAAAAGAATAGCATACAATGGTTAAAGAAAAAAAAACATAAAAGCCTGTATTAAATATACATAGATGAGAAATTTGTTCTAACCAACTTCGAAAAAGATAAATAAAGCGTTTTGCTTTTGATTTAACACTTACGCTTTGAGCAATATAATACAATTTAAAATGTCCTATGTTGCATAACAACTTAATAGATGAAAATATTAAACAACAACCTAGAAGAAATTATTATCATTTCGTTTACTACTAGTTGCCTACATTACACTTCTTACTGATAGTTTTTAGTATTTCATTCATTAATACTATAATATTAACGAAGTTTTAGAACGAGAAACGGGTAACGATTCGTAACTAGTATGACGTCATACTTGTGTTAAGCATAAAAGTAATGATCACTGCATATTTATATACTAGTCTTTAACCACAACTTCGTCCGCGTTAATTTCGGAGTTGGTAGTATATGTATTGATAATATATGTAAAAGGAAGAATTCCATTCCGACCTAGAGGGCGTGAATAACCAGATATTGAAATTTAGTGTACTATGTCCGTCTCCTAGTTCTAATCGAGCCACCAATTTTCAATGATACCCCTACAGCCATTCTTAAGCTATAGAAAGTGTACCTAACAAGACTCTCTTTTATATATAAAGATATATTAATGCCTAACCAAAGACGGTCGATATAAAAAGAGAAAAACCTTTTTCCATTACCCCGTCATAACGGTATTTAAACTTTCATTTTATATGAAAAATAAATTTAATCAAAACAGCATTAAAACAAACGTACAGGAAACACGAAAACAATACAACAGAGAGGATATCCCATGGCCATAAACAATATAATAGGTACCTAACTATAACCAAAACAATGACACCTCAATAGTATGAAGCGACTAGCCATTTGTGTGCCAGTTTATTTTGGTCGATGTGATTCAGTAATTTTAATTAATATACTAATTGGACGGCGTCAAATTTATCCTTCGAATATTTCAACGCTAGAATTATATTCAAATTTTTCTACGCAAAGTTAGTTCTTTGATTAGACTTAAAAATAACTTCATTTGAAATATTTCTTATCATATGATTTTCGTTGTATAAGCTACATAATCCCTACTAATATTATAAATGCGAAAGTAACTCTGTCTGTTTGTTAAGCTTTCACACCTATACCACTGAACTGATTTTAATGAAATTTGGTACAGGGATGGAGTTGACCTTGAGAAAGAAGATAGGATAGTTTTTATCCCAGACTTTTGAAAGGTTCTCTTGGAAACACGATATAACCGAACTCCAAGCGGGCGAAGCTGCGGGCAGAAGGTTGTTGTAATATATGCCGTGTTTAGTAGCTTAGGTATAAGACATTAACAAACATACATACATAGATTTATATATATTGTAATTAATTAAGTATGGCCTTTGTATGACCAGTAGTTCACCACACCCATATTTGAGTAACCACTTACATAGTTCATAATTTTATCGTGAATACGATAGATATTTCCGTATGTACGCCTATTGAAACCTGAACTGATTCTAATGAAACTTGTTAGTTAAATAGATATTTTATTGGAAAGGGTCACAGGTTGATTTTTCGATACATTTAACGTTCTGACAGACGAAGTAACGGTCAAAATATATATTAAAAGAGTCTTGGTTGTATTTTGTTGTACTTAAAAGGTTTGAGCTCTTGTTAATTAGTTATCAATCTAAGTAATATAATAATATTTATTATCTTATGTAATTCCTATACATTAACAACGATTATTTTAATTACTTGTACATGCTTTAAATCACCTCATTACAATTGCTTAGTGGTTTTATAGAATACATTTTATCTACAGTGCACCAACATACAAGCATAGTAAGGGTTAGCAACTAGTTATATAAGCTTTACTTATTATGCCAAAAAATACTGGCTCAAGGACATCAGCTACTAATATGCGAGTAGAATTTATGGATGCCTAATATGATGGTTTTATACAAATTATTAACTACTGTTTCATCATACTTGGAGAAATTCCAATTTTTTGTGCATGTATTAAGAACTTTTGTGACACATTTTCTACTTAGTAGGTCAGATCAATATTGAAATAAGAGTTTAAATATTCACCCTATTATATCTCAAGAAAAAAAATTCAAAATTTTGTGATATACCATTAAAAAAAACAAAAATGACATGTTTTAATGACATTGGATAATATAAGAAAAATCTTTATGAATTTATATAAAAATAACAACACAATAAATTATCATACAAATAATTCTAGTTATAATATTTGAAAATGATTTCAAACATAATTAAAAGCAGAATTTACAGAACTTTATACAATTTCATTAAATCTTAACCTAAATATCCCCCCCAACATAGATTAAGATCAAAAAAGTTTTAAAAATTTTTAGGTACATATTTCAAAGACTGTGTAGCGTTTGTATAGATGTAGCAGAACAATACATATTGTTCTGGAATGTCTTAGAAAAGCAGCAGAAAGAGTTCATAGCAAAGCTAAAAATTTTTCATTTTTATAATGTACTATTCAATAATGAGACAAAACCTCTCATCATTCAATATATTCACGGTGCGTGTGTCGGGTCCATCGTTGTAGTGAGAGGAGCTTCAACAGTGACTGGGACTTGTGACCCAGGTGTAGGTTTATATATTCGTCATTTATGTATTGTGCCAACTAACAAGACAGAATGAAGGAAACTAATATAATAATATACCTATATTACACTTGACATATTATTTAACAATACTGAACCAGTATAACTAATACATAACAAATTATTGAAAACCAGCATTTCCATATAAAACCTAATGTGCCTCACCATAGTATTTTGTATAGCAGTTGATACTAATATTTTTCAGTTATATATGACTTTTCTAATAGAAGTTATATTGCAATAAACCAATGAGAAAAATTACTTTAAATGCCATATAATGTCACCGACAAACATGTGTTACCATAATATAATAAATTGGTCTTTGAGAAAAACATATTTGTAATTGTACTATTAAATCTATATGAGCTTTGGGGCTTCTGTACATTGTTCATTATGAATAGTAACTTTTTTTGTATTGAATTATATAAAAAGACAACCTTTTTATGATGGAACATATTTAAGAAACAAAAAATATGATTCAAATTACAATTGGTACCCCCATCTGACTTTACAGTAGAGTTACATAAAATATTATGTATATAAATATATATAAACAAATTTATTGAATTGGAACCAATGAAATGTATAGTTTGTAATCAGATAATAGAAAGCTATGATGAGGTTACATGTAAATTTCTTCTATATATTATGTGTAATATAATAATTATATAAAGAGATATAGTATTAAGTTCGTAAATCATAAATAAATAGCATTTTCATATAATTATTAATTATAATAAAATATACATAAGTATATCCAATTACTATCCTAGTAAATTTAATTCTCCTTACAGATAATATATTCAATTACATATTAAATTGTAATAAAACTATACCTTCTTATATTTTTTTTATATTTTGTTTCATAAAACCATGGAGAAGAAGTAATATTTTAAATTAATAGACATTGTTATGTTGGAATTTATTAGATAATAGATATTATCCTCAACATTTTCCTTCAGTAATTTCAGCATTAATTATGTATTTATAATATATTTATCTATTACATACATACATTTATACTATTTACTATTAGGAATTTAAATATGATATACAAAAATTATGAGTATACAATTTTCAACCCAATATTATAGCTGGGAAGTTATTAATAGAATACTCGTTTTTTTTTCTTAATAAATTTTTATATTTAGGACTTCATATGATCAAAAAATCAAAAATAGATTTTCACTCACTAAAATATAATAATTAATATATATTTGGTTTCATTTATAATACAATCTTCTCCATATAAATGATATAGACTTAATTCTCAAAGATAGATGTAGTTTAAATAAATTATAAGAAAATCTTTTGACAAATTACTTTAAAAATATAAAATTTCTATAACTTTCCTACTTACAAGACAATATTAAGTCCCTTACTACTTAGTTTGTTTACATCACATCATTTTGTAACATTAGTTTAATCTGCTACTGATAAAAATAACTACCATAACAAGTGACACACTTGTGTATTATCTTCAACAAATTTCCACTGTTTTAGTAAAATTATTAAAAATATTATTTGTATATAAAAACTATAAAATTACTAGCTTTCCACCCGCAGCTTTGCCCGCGTGGAGTTCGGTTATATCGCGTTTGCAAGAGAACCTTTCAAATGTCTGGGATAAAAACTATCCTATGTTCTTTCTCAAGGTCCATTCTATCTCTGTACCAAATTCCATTAAAATCAGTTCAGTGGTTTAGGCGTGAAAGCGTAACAGACAGACAGACAGACAGAGTTACTTTCGCATTTATAATATTAGTAGGGACACTATAAATAATTATTTTTAAGCCTTCATAATATTAAGCATTTGATGTAATAAAAATTGTACTAAATCAACGAATGTGGCACAAAACTTGATATTGCAATAATTAATGCCATGGTTGAAATATTTAACAGTGTTATTCTACCAAATTAATGAATTCTAAGTGTACTAATTATTTCGGATACAACCTCGCTTTTATTTTAACAATTTTATGATGTACGGAATATTTTTAATAGCTTCGTATCTAATATCGGATTTTTTTAGTTGTAGGAATGAATTCAAAGGACTGTGCATTTGCTGTACATTTTTTTTAATATCTTTAACATTACGTAATTTTACTCCAAGAAGGTCTTAGTATTAAAAAATAATATATTTTGTGTCTTAATCTGTGTCTATGTTTTGATCAGAATAAAAAAGAAAACGAAATATTTACTAGTCATTTCCCCTATCTCTACCTCTAAGTTCACTTCAAATAATTTACACGATGCTAGCAAATATAGCTTAAATATGAAAATCATTATATTCCTCAAAAGCTGTAATAGAATACCTACCACTAAATATCCTTATTAATTATCTAAAATTGCCATTAAATCTATTAAATGTACTGACTATACAATTTCTATGTGAAAATAATTGTTATGATCTTGTCTAAATTATTTTGTTATACAAACAAAAATTATGTACCAATCTTTATTGCAGACTTTTGACAGAGGCACTAACAAGTACATACTGCAAACTGATTTTAGTAAAGCACTTGACAGTGTGATTAATTTCATTAAAATACATATAAATATACTTCAGAATACATTTTAATCAAAAATTCCATTATATATTGATTATAATTACATATATAAAAAACTTAAAACAAATGTCATAACATGTTTTGAATTAAATAATGTATTTCTCTAAGACTGGGATTCCTAAAGGTCCCATTTAGGTACCAATATAATTTTATGGTTAAAGATACTTTATTTTATCAAAAAGAATTATTAATTACATTTCACTTATGTACTATTTTTCATTTTTAATATAAAATGTTTGTGTAATAAACAATATCTTAAATAGTAAATGTTATTTTAAATGTTTACAAATGTACATTTAATAAAAATATAATTATATTAAATGCTTTCAATTCAACAATAGAAAGATTCTTTATTATTAGCTTTTCTATTTTAAATATATTTTAAGGATCATTTTAAATTAAAAATATTGTATGTCTGTACTGACAATATACAGGGTGACTGGTGAATTACTATCAATATTTAAGGAGAATACTCGGTACATGATTCTCATTCGAATTATGTAAAAAAAATAGGTACTTAATTTTCGACCAAATTTCCGTATAAATAAATAAAGTGTGTACACGTTCCAAGTGTTCCAAGTGTGGACGCGTGCGGCGGCGTGCTGATACAAAACCACGCCCCCGCCGCGTATGTGTGTGTGTGTGTGTGTATACCTAATCTGTAGGGTGTTCACACGATGCGTAATTAATTACACAACTTTTGGTTAACTTTACTTAGAAGTTTATTAATATTTATGATATATTAATTTTTATTTTGTCATATATGATCGTCAAATATCACGTCCTCAAGTATCGATAGTAATTCACCAGTCACCCCGTATATAATATATATTGCAATATATAATCTCAGTTCTACTACACATAATACATAGCTAGGTAATACAATTCTATACAATTCTACACGTTTTAAGCCTTCTATTTGTTTATGAATATTATGAATATCTATGCCTTCTATTTTAAGTGGGTCTAACATATAACTCCTACACATACAAACAAGGTTAATTCATATTGAACTAAACAAATGCTGATTTTGTCTACTTGTTAGTGCTTTCCAACTATTCATGATGAACACTTTAGTATAGAAAATAATTCATAATATACCTTTATTTTTTTATATAAGCTTACTAAATACTTCTGTTAATACAATTATATTTAATAGTTCTTATTAAATTTAAACTTTTGGTATGAAAATTATTTCTGAAGGAAATGCAAGATGTTAGAAATCTATTATAGAATACTCAAACTTCATTAGACTCAAAAAAAAACAATGCTTAGTAAGGTAGTGTGATTAATACAAAAGTAGTTTAGAAATTGATTTCCATTAACTATAGGCTTTTTGTTATTTTATATATATAATATATATTATGCTAATAAGTCCAATTTATTTCAAGTATGTAGATAAAATGTAAATATATGTTATATGCTAGTGATTTGTTTTTATAAAAAAAAATATATTAATGTAGCGCTTTTGATAATAATGAATAAATCTATAATATCCACGAGTAAAAAAGTGTTTGATAAATAGAAGAATAAGATATTATACACTAATGACCTAAAGGGGTTCAATGTGCTTTGTAAATTAAAACTATTATTAATATATATAAATATTAGGAAAATTACAAACGGTAATGGGTGTTTTTAAAATTACAATATTATAATATATCCATAAAACATATTAATATATTACAAATTCAACGTTACCAGATTATAAACTGATTACATAGAAAAAAAATGTTATTTAGTTATTTTAGTAAAAATCAAAATAAATATTATTATTAACCATAATTATGATGGTGTAATTTTTAATATAAATTCATTACTATTTAAGCTTTTTAGAATATAAAAATATATATTTTTTTAATTACTAGAAAAAAATTGATAATTCTATAAAATCCAGATTATTTTTTAGTAGTAGAATTTGAGTTATATGGATGTTGAAATGAGTGAATATTATTAATTATATGTATAGAATTTCTTACCTGGTATGTTGTTGGTCGGGGCCAACGCCCAGTCAGGGGATGAATCTTCCTCGTCAGACATCGTTATACACTGACACAATCAGGTTAATACAAAACGGATCATGTCCTAAACACTTGCACTTAACACTTAAACTATCAATCGGTCCGATTGTGTTCCATTTTCAAAGTTTCTGTGAAAAAAAAAAGAAAAAATTAAAACGACGAAAGTTTAGAGTTGTCGTATTTTAATTCTGTTATATAAATATCAATGGTTGTGTATAAATAGTAGACCATCATCTGATAGTTTGTGGGTGTTGGAAAATGGTTCTAAAATAAAAATATGTGATATTTATAAATAGATCCATTCAAAATCTGCGTTTATAAGGTAGCTGGCTACACTATCTGTTATTATGGTAATTACAAAAATATTGACAGGAAATCTTTAACTCATTTTCCCCATTGTCCATTTATTCAAAGGCTAATGCTTTCTATTTATTACAAGGTTGTGATTGTCAAGCGATACTGGAGTGCTTTCGCAATGGTAAGATTTGAACTTTATTTAGAGAGCATAGCATTTATTACACAAAAAAAAGTAAAGCTACGAGCCGATGACATGTCGATACGTTTCCGCATAAAGACTATAAATAAACCAAATTATAAACTATCCAACGATAAGTTCAATAATCGATGTATTTATTTGTAAAAACACTGTTTAACATTTTATAGTAAAACTCCGCACTACATCACAAATATCTTAACCTAAATTTATTCTATCGATTGTTATGCAAAAACACAACGATGAGTCATCGTGATTACTTTTATATCATATTTTCTTTATGAACGACGGATATTCACCTGTTATTTATTAAACTTTTATCTATTATCAATAAAACTATCAATTAATAGCTAGTAATTTATTTTCAAGTCTTTCGAAAGCAGACATTTTCCTAGGAGAGTCGAAGACACTAAAAATGTTACCATATAAGCAGTTGCCATTATAAAATTAGAACTGTTATTGCATATATTATTACAATCAAACATTTTGAAGTCCATTAAATGAAAAGGTGGCAGAAATTTAAATGCAATGATATAATTCTGACTAAAAATGTTTTACTCAATACTGGTGTATTAAAAATATTCATAAAAAAATGATGTTTTAATTTACAGTCTCTATGAAACCTATAGAAATATTAAAATATACTTTTTTATCATTAAGGGATTTTATTGTTTGTTATCTTTAAAAATTTGTCCTAACATACAATTTATATGACTAAACGAGTTGATAACAAAGATATCAAAGCATCTTCGTATAAAGTTTTTTTTTATTACTAGATATTTTGGAATTGCTAAATTCAGAAGTCGTCAAACTGGCAACGTCTTTATCGTATATGGTACCGGAAGTGTCTCAGTTCAACACATTTTATTTATTATATTACATTAATTTATTATTAAATTAAGATAGTTTCTTGAAAATGTGACCGTTATTCATAAATTAATATTTTTATTTTATATTTTGAAACAGTACTCCTTTCAGCTTACATAAATATCAAAATTCCAAGACATAAAGAAGCTCTATTGATAGAGCGTCATTGTACGTAATGGAGTCGATTTTCTATTCAACAAAGTTGTGAATGAAGAGTTTACATATTTTTGCCAAAAATATCACATAAAACTGTGAAATATTTTAAGTTTTTGGACTTCAGTGAATGTCTAAAGGTGATTTATGGATACCAGAGCTAAGAAAACGTGCCTAAACAACCTCATTTTCGCCTCAATGGTATGTGTGCCATCAAAATATTTTGGAAAGTTATATGTTACAACAATTTTGTAATTTTCATTGTTAAAAACGATATTATTGACTTAAATCCCATTCAGCTTCAATAACAATCACGAGTTTGCTAATACAAGTGTAATAAACCCGTTGAATTCCTGTATCTTTGTCATCTGCGTAACTGAGTAGCTGAGAAAGGTCATGCATTCAAAAGTCTTTATGTTTTCAGTATAATCATTCGTCCAACAACACTATGGGAATACCGAGGGTTCGCTAACAGTGCGTTATATATATATTGGCTGCCCAAACACGCGGGTTCATGGTTTTACGAGGGCAAATTTGTTTTCCAACGTCAGATGAAGGAATGGCTTCAGATCAACCTGTGAAAAAAAAGCAGAGGATAGATGGCCCCGATATCAGTGACACGAGTGATAAGTCCGCGGAGGACATACTCCCTGACATATACGACTCGGAAACACCTCTTGCTGATAGCTCTGGAGACTACACACCCAGGAACGGTGAATCTCCCGACAGTGGCACTGTAAGTGAAGACGCGGTTGATTGTTCTAGCATTTTGAGGCTCCCTAGTGATAGTAATGTTGAAATTATACCTTCGTGTTCTAATAAACAAAACTGGACAGCGGCTGACGAAAATCTTCTCAGTGAACTGCGTGTGTTCCAGAATGCTTTAGTTGGACAATGTTTGTGTGGTTTTAATGAAAATTCGCTATCCCAGCTGTTCGACAGACGCTTGCATATAAACACCTGGCCGATCACATGCTCACTCACTTATTTGTCAACAATGCAATTGATGTTCGATATATATCTGAAACAAAACAATGTTGGCACTATATGTTCAAGATTAATGTACGCTTGTGATATATTCGTCAGAAACAGGCATGATTGGATAACAGAAGTTGTAGAGTTAGCGGAACATAAGAGCAAATTTATAACATTTGTCGCATGTAGAGTATTAGCCAGTTTCCTAATTGTATCTAAAGATACCGTCGATGAAAACTGGTTGCAGCAGATAACTGAAAATGTTTACTTGTTTGATAGAATTAATAGAATCACTGTGCAAAAGATAAACTTCAGCTTGGATATAATTAAGAGGATAGTTGAATGGAAAGATGTTGAACAACATCCGTTAGATGAGTCTAGTTATGCTAATGCACCCGGCAGTGCTCAGGTTCAGGAAGACAATCCATTTAGAGGCAGTACAAACTCACAATCATCAGCGAGCTCTAGTTCCCGTAGTGATAACTTACATAGTGCGTTCTCCAATTTGCAAACAAACAGTTCCCCGTCAACGTCTTCTGATAGCAAGACAGTTAAACCAACGTCAACATTCAAACTTAACGAGCCCGTGTTTAAATTTCCTCACGACCAATCCGATAGAATGGAACCGGCCGATTCTCCAGAACCATCACAATCAAGGATAGAAAGAGTTAACGAGCATGGATGCATAACTGTGATATTAACGGACTCGGAGTCCTTTGATACATCTCATATAAAATGTTTAACAATAAAGACTTTAGAGCACCACTGGCCAATTCTAGTTAAAAACATGAAGCTGCTTCTATTAAGGTACCTGAACTTATCTAATGCTGAAAATTGTATATTAACTTTCTTCTCCCTGTGGGAGAATATTATAAGTGTCAAAGCGAATCTCTCCGTCATAGATACAAAGCCATTCTATGCAGACCTGCAGGGTTTTGTGGATTTATTAAGGAATACAATGCTGCCGGGATTAATATATGCACATTTACTTAGTTTATTTAATGAAGTACTATGCTATGGTTCAACATTGGCCCTTCAGGATATACTGCCCGAAGAAATATGTTGCTTAGCCCATTCTATAGTTAGATATGTGAAAGACTTTAGATTATTAAGTGAAGTTAGGGTTCAAAGTAGTAGAAGTGGTTTTGGGTTTTTGGAACACGACTGTAGGGTTATACATGATTATTCATTGGGACCTGAGATCGGGCCGTTATCATCAATACAATTGGTTGATCAAAGTTATGGTGAAGATGATAACGAAGATTCCACGCAAAGGAATGAAGTTGACAAAACGATGCTTCAACGAATGTCATTGTTGGTCCTCAAATCTGTAGCAGTCACCGTTAAAGAAATGAGATGCGATTCATCAGATAGTTCAATAGATTCATCGGATTACAACGCTATCCAAGACATGCAAATAGTTGAAAGGTCAATACGAGATGTACTAAAAAAATTGGATGTTTTTATACGGAATCGCTTAGAATTTCATCCCGAGACTCCGTTCACTAAGATGTTGATACATTTATTCAGTGAACAAGACGATTATCTTATTGAATCTATGGTGTGTACTTTAGATATAACCGTCGGTATTGTATATAGGAATTCAATGTATCCCGATTTAATACCAATGCTAAATCCGATTATGTCCTTCATAGAATTCCTAAGGGTTGTCGCACATGATAGTGATGTACTATTAGATTATCTTGTCAGCAATGAAACATGTTTTCTCTTATACTTGTTGAGATTTTTGAAATATGTAAGACGTAACTGGCCAAAATTCTTAGACACCTGCCAGCAAATGGATCCAGGTACAACGAGGGGTCTAGATGATACTATGCGGGTTTTGATAAGGTTGCGATTACAAATCAGTAGGCTAGTATCGAAATCACTATTCCCATACAACATCAGTCCGGTTTTAAGACTGCTCGAAGTCTGTGAGAGTCTCTATGAAGGGAATGAATTTAGCTGAATTAATACATACAAAAAACTGGCAACAAAAGTATTTTAAAATTAGAATCTATATAAAAAAAAACATTAAACTCAAAGACTGGCGATATAACATTCCAAAACTAATTGGCTTAGTTCATAATATAATTATTAATTAATTTATAATTTAATGTTATATGTGTAATCGTAAATAATAAAGTACATTTTGTCTAAGTCTTCCTGTATTTGTTAATAAATTTAATTGAATCAAAATTTTAAAATTAAAAGTGCCTTATGAGAAACAGTGCCTTCATGAACATATTCAGCATAATAAATATATATATGGTTGCTTATAAATAGGAATAGCATAATTTATTATGTTTTGTATATATAATTAATTTTAATGCATATAAAATGCGGGTTTATATAATACATTCATTTAAATAAATTATATTAAAATGTAACCAGTGTAAATATAGCCATTTACTGTTTAAGGAGTAAATATTAATCAGTATTAAATGAAAAAAAAAACTTAATTTATATATGAAAAATAATAATAAATGTAATATTTTTAATTTTGTATGGAATTAGGAAACATTGAGAAAAAATGGAATTTTGTCATGACTTATGAAATTACAGGACTTAAATGTTTTTCAATTCATGTTATTAATTAATTAATTATGTATTTTTTTTGTAATTACAATTTCTTTGTAATATTTCAACCTCCGACTGTTTATAGATGTATGTATTTTAATAGTTTGTATTTTTGTATAATTATTTTTGTTATTTTACTGAATCTCAGCCATTAAAAATTGCCACGAAAATATAAACAGTTTGAAATGAAATTATAAATAATTCTTGCCATTAATATAGTATTCATTGAAACTTGAATTAACTTGATAATTTTGTTTGTTACCGATAACTTAATATTTTCATATAATTGAATTTTTAAAGACAATAATTAATTTCGTATAAATATAACTATTGTAAATTTTAAGTAATAATTTAATATAACAATAAAACAACATATTTTTGTACATGATCCGTAATTTATGGTTTTATTTACTTTCAGGTATCAAATTTAATTTATATAAAAAAAATACATATTGCTAGTCAATTTAATTTCCCTAAATTTGGGGAAATCGTAATGAACATTGCAATAATATTAGGTATATAGTAGAAAAGGCTCAAAAGGACTAGTATCTAGAGCCGTAAAAACATTTACAAAAATAGAAGAAAAAAAATATCTTTAGCGGATATTACGTCATACTTTTTAATTAATTAAGAAATAACATTTTTAATTTCCAACTAGAATAGTGAAGCTGTAGTGCAGTTATATTCAGCTTTGAGTATTTGCTCTTCATCTGAATTGGCCTGCATTTTGTAAGTGCTCGACCCAGATCTGTTGTCTTATCTAGGACGGGTCATGTCAACACTGACAGTTTGTATAGAATGTCATAATTAACAAACATGTGCACAGATTATATATCTTAACATATACAACCTTAATCGTCGACATGTTTGAAAAGATTAAGTATATAGGGATTATTAAATTTATTTTTATAGTAAAGTAGTCCCTCACGAGGGCGCGGGTTCGATCCTGGCCCAGGCAAGTACCAATGTGATTTTTCCGAATCATATGTAGGTACTTTCTAAGAGTATTTAGACATCATTGATTAATACATTCCCAAAGTAGGTTGATGTCAGGCAGGCGGCCGGTCGTAAAAACAACGAGGCAAAACTATTCATATCATGTACTCGTACCTAAGGCAGACCCTGGCTAAAGCCGGGAAATTGCCAGGTAGAAGAAGAAGATGTAAAATAGATAAGTTAGGGATCTTGAAATTTAAATCTGAATAGATAAGCCTATATGTCAGTTTTAGATGTGATTACAGATTCAATATTATCATGATTTATTACTTTCATTTAGACAGTTCGGGTTACTGAAGAAAATATTTTGAAAATATGGTAAAACAGAGTATAAAAATAACGTATGCCATTTTGTAGCACTGAATTTAAAACATATTAATATATCTATTACATATAATAAAATTGTAGAAAAGTGCTGTCTGTACATTGAAAATAAAAATTAAAAAAATAGCAGGGGTTATTGTTATGTCGATGTCGAACCCTAAAATGTTATCAACTTTTTTTTTGTCTGTTTGTCTGTTCACGCTAATCTCAGAAACGGCTGATCCGAGTTGAATGCGGTTTTCACGAATATATTGTGGTACGCTTCAGTTATGTTTTAGTGTTTGTTACATGTCAATCGGTTCATAAATAAAAAAGTTATGTCAAATTAAAGAATCACGTCGAACACTATTCTATGCTTATACATACATAGGCACCATTAATCTTATATAGAGAAGCATTATAGTAAAGTTGGTTTTTTAGCTACCCAAAATGACTGTGATTATGATCCAAAATAAAAATAAGTATATATTTAAAAAAACGCTGCTCATAGTCACTATTCCACGCGATCGAAGTCGCGGGCACAGATAGTAACTAATAAAAGCGTTCCTAATATAAGATTCAGAGCTAATGCTGAGTTGTCATTTTGAAAGTCACCCAAAACTTACACATTTATTGCTATACCTATTTGACAATGAAAGAACCCTAAATTACCGGAGTAACCTTCCCTTAAATTTAAAGATGTTAGAACAAAAGATTTCTTTTTGTTATATAATCAGTGGTTATACTTTAGAACATCATTTCCCATGACATCTTAATAATTCTTAAATAATAGGGATATAAAAAATCGCCACAATTTCAATGGATTCATTTCACCTTTCCTATAAAATATGACGTTGTTAATATCCTGTATATTATCCTATAATGATGGGTTGAAAATTGTTTACTCATCTAAGCGCACGGTAGTGCGCCGGCCAAGTTCCACAGGCCGGCGCATGCCGTGCACTATATTTACACGAACCGTTTCGACCCACTTTTGACCCCCCTGTAGCTCAGTGCCTATTGCAAGTACAGAGATAAAATTGTACCTACGTAATCATATACTAGTACTAAAGCAGTATGCCAAATTTCATAGATAAAGCTTCAGTAGATCCTGAAATATGACCCTGTGAAAATAGCTAATTTTGGCACTGACTCACTGACAGGTAATCAAAACCTCTAGGCCACTTCCCATTGTTTTAGCATTATGAAATTTGGTACACAGGTTGTGTGTTATATGTAGATTAACAAAAAATTAAGAAATTTAAGAAATCGGTCAAGCGTGAGTTGCCTCAATTCTAAATATCGATTTTTTAATAAATTCGACCCACTTTTGACCCCCTGTAGCTCAGTGTCTATTGCAAGTACAGAGATAAAATTGTACCTACGTAATCATATACTAGTCCTAAAGCAGTATGCCAAATTTTATAGATAAAGCTTCAGTAGATCCTGAAATATGACCCTGTGAAAATAGCTAATTTTGGCACTGACTCACTGACAGGTAATCAAAACCTTTATATAGGCGCTCAGCTCAGCACAATAAAATACATAATAATGAAATAATTAATAATATGAGTATTAATAATTAATAATATGAGTACATCTATCAATCGGTGATAAATGAAACTAAAAAATAAAAAATAAATATAGTTTAAAAAAACCTAAAAAACACGTTCCAATGATGAAAGAAGCCGCGTGGAAACTAATTTAACCTTTACAACCTTGGAAATCAATTTAATTTAAATTGTTTAAAATAAACAATAAATGGTATTATTGAAAAAAAAGCGTGGGGCGCTTCTCAAGAAGCGATATATGAAGCTCATCACGCTTTTTTTTTCACAAAAATACCATTTATTGTTTGTTAATTTATTTTTAAATTAATATTATTGTGAAAAAAGTGTGGGGCGCTTCTTAAGAACTGATATATATAAGGGATATAAAATATTGTCATGTATACATAATGCACACTGTATAACTTAATTAAATATTGCTTACCTAAAAAATCAGGTTTCTATTGTTATAAATTACTTTCGATAGATGGCGCTAGCGGTATAATTGAATCGCGATATTGTTTTGTCTGCAGTATATATGAATGAAAGTCGATAAGGAATCGATGGTCATTTCTTTCTATTTCTTTCTACACTTATGTCTTGATATCTTATATATGGTTACGATTACGATTAAATGGATCACTGATTTGACTTGCTAAAGGATTAATTTTGATATTGCTTATTGATTGATTACTTGTATGTGTTAAAAGCACAAATTCACTCTATTTCTTTTCTACTATTCATTTACCAACGATGGAAATTCTACATCTTTCGGTGGTTGGCGGAGATATACCACATAGGGTAATTCCTATGCCATCAGATGGTAGCTGTATGTTTCATGCTGTAAGTTATGCATTGTACGGCTGTATAGTACGATTGTATGAACGATTTCTTGAAAAAAAGTATTGAAATCTCACCAAAAACATGCCTGTTAAAAAGGGGGCCAAGTTCCAATCGGCTAATTGTTTGCCTAAAAAAGGGGTGAAATCCAATCTAATGCCAAGTTTAGATGCACTTTGAAATCGATCATAATCATCTTCATCAACAGCATGATCCACTGGTAAACATTTGCCATTCCCAAGACTCGCCACCACACCCAGTCCTCTGCCTTCCACATCCAGCCACTACCCGCCACCTTATTCACGTCAACGGTCCATCTGGCCGAAATTCACTTTACCATACACCCAACTTAAAATATGGTATAGTTGTGAAAATACCTAGGTGCTTGGTTAAAAATATCTAAAATTATAATACTTCTCAATTTGAACTTGGCAGGTTTTTGTGCTGTACATAACACGTAATTAATTGTATCATTAATTTATTATTTAGTTATATAATTATTTACATTTATATAATTTAAATATTATATAATTTAAATAATTAAATTAACCTGCCAAGTTCAAATTTAGAAGTATTATAATTTTAGATATTTTTAACCAAGCACCTACGTATTTTCACAACTATACCATATTTTAAGTTGGGTGTATGGTAAAGTGAATTTCGGCCAGATGGACCGTTGACGTGAATAAGGTGGCGGGTAGTGGCTGGATGTGGAAGGCAGAGGACTGGGTGTGGTGGCGAGTCTTGGGAATGGCAAATGTTTACCAGTGGATCATGCTGTTGATGAAGATGATTATGATCGATTTCAAAGTGCATCTAAACTTGGCATTAGATTGGATTTCACCCCTTTTTTAGGCAAACAATTAGCCGATTGGAACTTGGCCCCCTTTTTAACAGGCATGTTTTTGGTGAGATAATTTTAGTACATGATGCATTTAAATTCCTAATAGTAAATAGTATAATGTATGTATGCAATACATAAATATATAATTAATAAATACATAATTAAAGCTGAAATTGAAGAAGGAAAATGTTGAGGATAATATCTTTTAACTTAGAAATTCCAACATAACAATGTCTATTAATTTAAAATATTGCTTATTTTCTAAGGTTTTGGGAAACAAAGTATTTAAAAAAAACTTATACAGGGTGACTGGTGAATTACTATCAATATTTAAGGAGAATACTCGGTACATGATTCTCATTCGAATTATGTAAAAAAAAATAGGTACTTAATTTTTGACCAAATTTCCGTATAAATAAATAAAGTGTGGACACGTTCCAAGTGTTCCAAGTGTGAACGCGTGCGGCGGCGTGCTGATACAACACCACGCCGCCGCACGTGTGTGTGTATACCTAATCTGTAGGGTGTTCACACGATGCGTAATTAATTACATAACTTTTGGTTAACTTTACTTAGAAGTTTATTAATATTTATGATGTATTTTGTCATATATGATCGTCAAATATCACGTCCTCAAGTATCGATAGTAATTCACAAGTCACCCTGTATATCTAGTACCTATGTGAATGAATTGTTTGTTAGTGTTTTTAATATCTAAACCAATATGATGGTACATTTTGGTAAATGAATATAAATTTCTTTTATATTCGACTAGATAAGGCTGGTAATCAATATTGCTCCGAGTTATAGTAATAAAATTTTTACTATAGAATACTTAAATCGTGACTGCTGAGATTAAAAAAGAATATCTACTCTAATTCAGTCCATGAACAATCATGCTCGGTTTCAGTGGGGACTATTGGAACTAACATGTCCATATAATTTTCAGTAAAATCGTCTGCTCCATCAACTTCGTTCTGATCTAGCCACATTAAGCCATTATTAAATGATTAATTATTTTATGTGTAAATAAAAAAAATGTTATTTTTTCTGCGGTCCCTGTCCCTCCAACGTAGAATTAAACAAGTCTCTGTCCCCCTCCCCCGTAAAGACCGCATTTAATTTAGGACTCCCCTTAGGAACAAGCGACGAAAAAGTTCTAGAGTTTATTGTTTCCTCGTTCATGATTTAGAAACACCGTATTTTTTAACCCTCTTTGATGTTTTAGGGTATCCTACTTCAGCTGTTGGTATTACCAGAAGTGACATTCATTATTATATAGATATAAAACATATATAATGTTACCTAAAATGAAAAATCCAAGTTGGTCAGTCTCTTGATCTGATACAGTAACAGTGAAAGACAAGTTTGCTCTTGATATTTAAGAACCTGACATAACGCGTCTTACTTATCTATATTTGTAAGAACAACGGTTAAGATGTCGACTTCAAAAAAGGAGGTTTTCGATAAATTTTTTCCCCCTCAGGTGTTACTCTTACGGTTAGAATTAAATTTCGTCTATCCAATAAGTAGTTTAAGTAACGCAAAATGTCAGCTTCATAAATCCGTCAGTTTCAAATTAATAGCTTTGTTTTGTTTTTCACCATGTGAATACTTACGGATAGATTATGATAAATAATGAATATGTAGTATATTATAGTCACGTGTCTAATGTTGTTTTAAATTAAATATACGGTTCTGTTCTAATTGTAATCGTATCGTTTCATTCAGATGTGAGGGTGGTAAGCAAAATCTGGATCAATGCCCGTCATTACAGCCAAAACATTTATTTATATCCGGAAAGGAATGTTTTACACAGGTATTTCCGGATTTAAAAAGAATTTACAACATTTTGTAACAATGTTGCCTGTTGCAATATCTAATATTATTTTATGTAACGTATTGTAGTTGTAAAAATAACTAATACCAAATTAAAACATAATTTTGTTTTGAAGAAATTAATTTGTTAAACCACTGCTAGATGGCAGCGCCAACCATTTAAAAATTTTATTTTCTGTCCTTAATTATATAAATAAAATTGTATAATTATTGTCGAAGGTTTTTTAATAAGATAAGGTAAAAAAAAAAACAACTAAACACAATTCTAAAGAAAATATTATAACATCAAGGGTAATGAATAAATAAATACAATATTTATTATATATTTTTGTTCTTTTAAAGACTTCCTTTTTTGGAAAATTTTATTATTATTATCATTATTTTAAATCTATTGCATTTGTACATAATATAACACGCAAGTAGACTATACAGATCTCACGTAGATTTAAAATATGTTAAATGCATATTGAACAATGAAAATTGACAACGTACGAACAATTCGTATATTAATAAAAAAAAATAACATGTCGTGATGAGGACGAAGAAAACAAACAAACGAAATTAGTCTCTAAATCATAGCAGCAGAGTCAAAATTGCATTGATTTCGTCACTTACAAAAAATACCATAGAGTCAACACATTCATCCATAAACAAGACACGTCAAGCCGTAAAACATAGATCGTACACACACAATCAAAAAAAAAAAACAATAACTAAACCGACGAAACTCGTCCTTACCTCACTGGTAAACAAATCTCATGATATATGTTATCCGAATTAATTATAATTTCATTTAAATAACCGACATTACTTCACTTATAGACATTTGATTATATTACCGATTCTGGGCGTCCATTTTCGCGTCACGTGACTTCGGATAACAAACCTCATGTATTAAACAAAGTTAACTTATATATATATTCAGGTATCATAGTCTTCATCGATTTGTAGATTGCCTGAATTCAAATGATCCACGTCGACAATGGCGGGAACTAATTTTACATCATTCCTCTTGACCTCTTTCGTAGCTTTTGCATTTCTAACTTTCTTATCATTCTTAACACCGATTACATTCGCTACTGTAGTGTCTAAAACTTTTATTTCTGGTTTGGTGAAGTTTTTGGTGAAATCTATGTTCAGTATCGGAGTTATTGGCGTCCTTGGTTTTTGGTTCTGCCTTACGTCTAGATAGTACAATGACTGTTCTGGCTTTGGCACTTCCAATCTAGGAATAGGTTCCACTGTGGTCAAGGTTGAGAAACTCGAGGTCGAAGGTTGTGGGCTAGTGTATGTAGGATTGACCTTTATCACACTTTTATGCTGTACTTCATCAGTTAGTAAAGTCTCTTGGTAAAAGTTAGCGGTAACAACTGGCTTTTCTTCTATTTTCTTTGTCAAATCTATAGCTGTTTCTATAGTGTCAGGTTTCTTTTCATTTTCCACCGACAAGCCTCGTTTTAATTCCTTGGGTGGCGCCACCTGTAGTCTTATATCTGAACTGCTCGAACTGTTCGAGTCCTGCCGAACAACTCTTTGAGGGACCGATGTATCGGATAATCTGGAATGAATATAATAAAAATCTTTATAACAATATCAATATTATTATTAACTAGTATTATTCCAATACCATTAGAATACTTTATATGTATTTCAATTTGGTCGTAGATAGTCGAAAGGGCAAATCAGCGTAAATAGCTTTGCTGTTTATTTTATTGTTTACTGTCAATCAATCAATTAATTGTCAATATTTTCTAAAGCAGATAGGCAGAATTGTCCAATGCTACTTAAGCATTTGGACTATCCCAAAGAAATAACAAAATATTTTCTTTCAATCTTCTATAGGCCTAGAGATATCTTTATATCAGTTTTACAAACCTTGAAGAAGAATTCGGTGAACTTTCGCCGCTCATCATTTCTCTTTCTTCGGCAGCGGTTACATCAGGTATGTTTTTGACCTGGTGGGAAAATAGGATTTTATTAAAAATACAATTTATTCAATAACTGCTGCGCTAAAACTAAAATAACCGATACACGTAGACATCACTCCGATAGTATTAAATCGGAATTATTATTGACAAAATAATCTTCTATATATAAAAATGGATTGCTGTTCCTTAGTCTCGCTAAAACTCGAGAACAGCTGAACGGATTTATCTTATCTTAGTCTTAAAATATTCGTGGATGTTCAGGGAAGGTATAAAAGGTGAAAAAAAATTGTTTCATTACTGGGAAAACCATAAAAACAGCCCTTTTCTATTTCCCATACAAACGTTTTTTTTGACATTAGATTTGACAACTAACTAATATGTCAATCATTCTGTCGTACTTCAAACCACGGAGATTTATGGCTTACAGGTAAACTCCAAAAATATAAATAAAAAACGTAATAGATATTTCTTGATTATAGGGCGATACGAAGTTCGCCAGGTCTTCTAGTAATAAATAAAAAATTATAATTCCTCTTAGAATTACTTATAACGTATGCGATTAAACTGAAAGGTCAAAGGTTTAAGTATATAGGGCAAGGCTAATACTATTGTATAGATATTAAAAGAAGTAATCTATGTTGATATTTCCTAGATTTATTATTTAGGTATTCCATTTTAGTCATCTTATATCAACAATCAGCATATTTTTTGAGACACAAAAAAGTGATTAAAATGCTATAATAGGAAATTTCTCTTCATTTCATGTATTCACGGTGCGTGTGTCGGGTCCATCGTTGTAGTGAGAGGAGCTTCAACAGTGACTGGGACTTTTGACCCAGGTGTAGGTTAAGGGACCCCTATCTAACGCGTTAAACGCTCACCTCCACTGTCCAAGCTCCTCTCTATTAAATTTAAAACGAACGTAGTAGCGCTGCCTTCAAAGTATGTTCTAAGAATGATTTGATGTTAGTTTTGGAGAGGCACAAGTCTTAACTGGAAATTGACATTTGCTAATCTAATTATGTATCATCTTTATTAAAGGTTTAAGAGATTTGTCTAGGTTGGTTTTAGATATTAGAAGTTTTGTCAAGTTAACTAAATTTGTTTTGATTAAGTTTTTATATCGAACGCGACAAAAAAAATAAACAAAATGACAAAAATAATTGTTAGTAAAACCATAGATGTTTTGAAATATATAAGTATTTTGGACCTTTTTTCTAACATTAAATACACTGCCATTATTATTATTTTAATTTACTACATAGTTACATTACGTTTTTTTCCTAAACGCGACAATCAAATAAGCAAATTGAAAAAAATATATATCACTGCAAATAAACTTGTTTTAGCTGACGATACTTCCAAACATACTAACCCAACTTCCCATTTTATTTTTATTTCCATTCAAAACCTATCAACGAAAGACATTATACCTAATTTACTTTAACAACCTCACAATTATACCTAATTACAAACTTTTACAAACTCACTTTTGTGAGTTTGTACTCACTATTTTTATTTCCATTCAAAACCTATCAACGAAAGACATTATACCTAATTTACTTTAACAACCTCACAATTATACCTAATTACAAACTTTTACTTTTACAAACTCACCAGATCCCTCAAAAAGTCGAACCTAGTCTCAGCCAGGATGCATTGCTTCACGTGACTCGGACTAAGGGTCTTGGCGTTCCTCGTGATAGTCACTTGCATGGCCTTACTCAGCAGCGATTCAACGAACAGTTCCAACGTACGAGGTGTTGTCGTGAAGATGAGTTAAGGCGATATTATAAACAATGGAATATAACACAATATATATGGAACAAAAACAAAATCCATTTATATTCAGATGGCTATGGAATTATCGTAATAATATTATTACTAGCTGCGCCTCGCGGTGTTATCTGCGGATTTCCGGGTTGTAAAGTAGCCTATGTGTTATTCGTGGACGTCAGCTTCCTGTATACAAAATTTTATCAAAATCCGTTCAGCCGTTTGAGCGTGAAGAAGTAATAAACATACACACATACTCACAAACATTCGCAATTATAATATTAGTAGGATTTTATAATAATTCATAAAATTTAATTGCATTAATGCTGTTTATACAGAGAAGCTGTGAAAAATACCTTTATACCATATAAAAATATAATAATTCAAATGTCTTGATGTACTTTAGCATTCACTATTTGTTATGTATCGCATTAAACAATTACAAAATTTTAAGAACCCGCAGTAGAATTATTTTGAACTTAAAAATTATACTGCCAAAATGTCTTAAATCATTTAGGAAAAGTACACATGCACACATATATTTATATAATATTATGTAATAATATATAAATAACAATAAAATATCTTAAAAAACAGTGTTTTATTGTATATGTAATGTGAAAGCAAAATAAGTCTCAATTATTTTATGGTATAACATATAATACATTATCTATTGGCTTTTCACTGAATAAGGAAAGGAGTTCAAAAAAATAGTGTGCTTAAATATTTGTTATAGTGAGTAACAGCACTATCTGCAAACCTTGTTTAACGTAACTACATAGTTAATACAACTTTTAAGTGAAATATTTACAGGAAGATGCATTCAAATAGGGAAAGAACTTTTTTTCTATTAGAATTTAAATTCAAGATATACATATAATATATGTATGTACAGTGAGAAATATTTTAGTTTTGTCTTAAAAAAACTAATAATTATGATAATATTTTTTTTACTTAGTAGTCAATAGGTTTTAGTAGTTTAAAACTACATGTGAGCTGTAATATTAAATAGCAATAGTGTTTTATGAACTACTGACATGTAAACAACTAAAAATAAAAAATATTGTCTATGCTTATATAAATATATATTGATGGCCAGCATTATACAAAATGGAAGAGTTTATACATTAATTTCACTTATTGGCTCTTTTTATTATATAGCTGGTGAAATATATCCGGAGTTATAGGAGATAATGTAATTACAACAAGTACTGAGATTTTCAGTAAATTATAAAAACATATTCATAACTCACGTGACGATCATAAAAAGTGATTAAAAAACTATATTTATATTATCATACAGAGGCAAACATTCTCAATTTTTAAAAGGCATAGACAATTTATATTAAAAACAAAAGTACTTATTCTGATAGAATTGAAAGATAAAAGTTTTCACACTAACCAAACTAGAGTTTTATAAGAATCTATGCAGAGATGATGATTTTAAAATATGCAATTATGTTTTGCAGAAATCGTTAGACATGTAAAAAGATAAAGGATTCTGTAAGATAATGAGAAGAAAATATATGTATCTTAGAAACCTACAATCAGAGCTGAAAGCTTTGAGAATAGTGAAAGAGATTATTAAAAAACAATATTAAAAGACTAACATATCTAACAACTACAACTAAAGTACTAAAAAAAACTATCAAATTAGCATTCAAGAAAATCTCAAAAAATGTATCCAAAGAATTATCCCATGTATAAGTAATAATACTAAATTCTAACCATTTCTAAGACAACACTTTCTATATTCATTAAAGTTAATTACTTAACATAAAAACCACTGCCTTATTTTTATTAACACTCTGCAAAATTAAAATTGGATGAATGTTTTCAACCAGAATCACTATTATTGTATCAATTAAAAAAAATGTGATCAAAATAATTTTAAAAAGTTTTGTATAGAGATAGTTTAATCTATATAAGTGTCACAACACTAGCTTTAACTTTGAACAAATATAATGAAAAATTACATAAAAATTCTCAAATGTCCTAATTTTAAGGTACATTACATCAAAACTGTCTATAAAAGTTTATGATTATATCTTATCTTTGAAAACTATAGCTGTTTCATTCATTTGATTACAACCAGTTTATTATCTAGTACTATTACTCAAAATAAACCATAAATTGTATAAAAATATGGCATAATTTAAAATAAGTCTCAAAAATATATAAACAATTGAGGTTCAATAATAGATGTATGTAGTTTGCAACAAAAAGGTTTTATATAATTGAATAATTGGCATTGCATAGATTATAAATAAATATAGAATAAACATAACAAATATTAGGTAACACTCATATATATAAAATATTCATATTAATAAGAATGTTTTAAAATATGATATAGATATTATAACAAGAATAATTCAGGACTATTTTGAAGAGTAAATATTTGATATTTACCAAACATAAGCACAAAACAAAGCTATTGTCCTTGTTGACACCTGTACCCATATAACGAAGGAGAGACAAAAGACGTCTATAAATATAAATAATGTCACAAATCCCGTCCCATTACAACACAACAATATATGTATAACAGTTATGTGAAAAGAATATTAAAAAGGATATAGATTATGATGGGCACGGCTTGCGCGACTTTCCCCACTTCTTCGTCCGTCTGCATTATCTTCTTAATACGTCCCTACGAGCAAACAATGTCATGATATCACCAATAGCAAAATTATGTACAAAAACAATCGCGTATTTTTCCCATTTTGAACACAGTTTCGGCATTGTAACACTTACGGCTGGAAACCTAGCATTATATTTTCTCTTCTTCGACGGCATGGTGTTAATGCGTTCACTTTTACACTATTTAAAGATAAAAATAAGCTCAATTCGCCATTCCGCTGTTATACTTCTCGCGCATTTTTGAGGTTATAAAAGGGGGACGTTCACAGCCTACTTCATTTATATACGAATCTGACAGTTTTCCACCTCTTTTTACAAACAACTTTTCGTATACTAGCAATACTGTTTTGTTATTATATTAATTATTTATTAGAGATATTAACAGAAGAAAAACTGTTTTATTTATTTTCTACCGTTTTATTGTTAAATAATACCATCGCTTTCTAATTTCAAAGTAATCTTTTGTATAAATATATAAAATAAATTTTATTTTATTACTACGTATTTCAAATATATATTTTTTTAAATAATTCATTATGGAGCAAAATATAACATATGGAAATTTTTTGTTAGACCTCGAACTTAAATATATGATTATTATTAGAAAACGGTTACTTAAAACAAAACGCGTATAAGTTTAAGTCATTAAACGTCAAACTGATAATTTAGCAGCAGCAATATTTTTTTTGTCACATAAAATGGCGTCGTTGTCGAGGTGCGTGTGCTTAGAATTCTTAGCTGTTAAATATTATAAATTAAATTAATTTTTAATTGTTAAACCTTAGTCTAAAAGTGTTAAAAATATATACTCGTTTTTTCTATAATTTATCATTTATGGACATACGGTTTTGTTCTAAATATACTAAAACTGGTTTTAAAGTATTGAACATTTGTTGTGCAGTTAGTTGCTTTAAGGAATATCATATATTATATTCGAAGATAAGATGTTAAATTAAATTTCAGCCTATTACCGGCACCCGCGCAGCCAGTATGGGATCGAGATGACGAATTGAAGGCAAAGCGTGTTGGAAGTGCCCTAGTTGTTTCACAAACCAGCGTTCCACCTTACGGTCAAAGACGAGGATGGGTTCCACGTACGGAAGAAGATTTTGGAGGTAAAAACACAGTTACAAACATAATTATATTATTAACTGTATAATACATAGAAATTGTTGATTTAAGATGGTGGTGCATTCCCCGAAATCCATGTTGCTCAATATCCTTTGGGTATGGGGGCCCGCGGTAAGGAGAGCACGTCAAATGCTTTAGCTGTGCAATTAGATGAATCAGGAAGGGTGAAATACTCTGCTATAGCTCGTCAAGGCCATGGGGCAGATAAGGTAAGACATTTCATAGAGAGACGAAACCTCTCATCATTCAATGTATTCACGGTGCATGTGTTGGGTCCATTGTTGTAGTGAGAGGAGCTTCAACAGTGACTGGGACTTGTGACCCAGGTGTAGGTTTAATGGCTCCTATCTAACACAGTTTAAACACTCACCTACACCATCCAAGCTCTCTCTACCTAACCAAATATAAAAATTGCTTTGCCGTCTTATACTACATAATGTGTTATCTGACAATTTAATATGAATGATTATTATCCCATTTCAGATTATCTACTCCAAACTAACAGATCTTCTGCCATCGGAGGTGTTGTCCGAAGATGATCCGACTCTCCAGAAACCTTCGGAGGAGGATATTCAAGAAATTACGGAGAAAACAAAATTAGCTCTAGAGAAACTCACCAATGCAAAGATATCGGCCGCCATGCCCGTTAAAGCTGCTCCGAAAGCTGTGAGTTGATGTCTATTATTATAAAGTTTTGGAGATTGAAGTTGTCTTGAATGTTAAGGCCTGCCTCTCATACATGATTGTGCAGGTTCGAAACCTGGCAAGTACCATTGTGATAGTCATATGTACTATCTAAGAGTATTTAGACATCACTGACAAACAGTGAAGGAAAATATTGTTAGGAAACCTTGACTTATAAACTATAAGTTTGTAATCACCAACCCGTCTTGAGCAAGTGTGGTGATTAGTGCCCTAACCTTCTCCATGTGAGAAAGAGGCCTTTCAGGAGTGGGCTCTGATAGGATGATGATGATTACAAAGCATCATATTTTTAATTAAAATCAGTTTATTTAATTTTTAATACAAAAACTACTGATTGGTGTATGTCTCACTCTGGTCATATACAGGGTGACTGGTGAATTACTATTAATATTTAATGAGCATACTCGGTACATGATTCTCATTCGAATTATGTAAAAAAAATAGTTACTTAATTTTTGACCAAATTTCCGTATAAATAAATAAAGTGTGTACACGTTCCAAGTGTTCCAAGTGTGGACGCGTGCGGCGACGTGCTGATACAACAACACGCCGCCGCGCGCGAGTGTGTGTGTGTGTATACCTAATCTGTAGGGTGTTCATACGATGCGTAGTTAATTACATAACTTTTGGTTAACTTTACTTAGAAGTTTATTAATATTTATGTTATATAAATTTTTATTTTGTCATATATGGTCGTCAAATATCACGTCCTCAAATATCGATAGTAATTCACCAGTCACCCTGTATAATATGCCATAATATATTATTCTTATTAATAAACTATAAATGATTTATTTAAATTAATATCATATGCAAGTATAGATATTTATTTTTCTCTCATAGCACATTATATTTTGCAGGCTCCTGCCCAATACATTAGATATACTCCGGCACAACAAGGTGGTCAGTTTAATTCAGGCGCCAAACAGAGAGTTATCAGGTAATAAATATTTTTTACCTACTAATCATATTCACAGATCACCAGTGTAAATTAAAGAGTATGATAGTTACTATAATAGTATACTCATCTACATTTTCTTTACAAGACAATAACTCTTTAATGTATAATAATAATATATGTATCAGTTTGGGCAATGCTACTTTGCTATTCCGTGCTACATACATACAGGAGGTTTCGAAATTATTATGAATTAATAACATTTTTTTAATTCAGATTATTTTATCATTATTTTTCTATGCTGATATATTTATTTTAATCCAATAGTGATATATATTAACGTGTTCAAGGGAACGCTCTCTGTTACATAACATACTGTATAATGCATGAATACTTTATTAAAATGTATGATAATAAATATTGATATTAAATGTCCTTCATAAATCTATACCTATATCTTCTTTTATGTATTTCTTATAATTTAGTGTATAAGAAACAAAGTTTTTTTGAAACGATAAATATTATATACCAGTATTACTAATACATTCATGTCATCCGTAGAATGGTTGAAGCTCAATCAGATCCATTGGAGCCCCCTCGGTTTCAAATCAACCGTAAGATACCCCGTGCGGCGCCTTCGCCCCCCGCCCCGGTGCTCCACTCACCGCCTAGGAGAGTCTCCGTTAAACAACAGCGAGATTGGAAAGTCCCACCATGTGTATCACATTGGAAGAACGCTAAAGGTAAACTATTATTCTATTACTAGCTCTGCCCCGCGGTGTTACGTTGATTTCCGGGATGTAAAGTAGCCTAAGTGTTATTCCTGGACGTCAGCTTCCTGTAAACAAATTTTTATTAAAATCGTTTCAGCAGTTTGAGCGTGAAGAACAAACATATATACACTCACAAACTTTCGCAATTATAATAGTAGGATTAATTGTATTTCATCATATGTAATGCAAATCTAAGTATCTGTAAAATTTCATGATTTCTAAGGTAATTTTTTCGTAATAAATAATAGTTTGCATTTAGTTTATTGCTCATTATCAATCTATGCTCATGTCAAGTTGCTGCTATTGTAGATAGGCGGAATATGTATATACAATAAGTGCTATACAGCCAAGTTACTACACATTTTTATAACTAACTCAATATTGGAATCCACACATAGATCATATCACAACAAAACATTACTATGTTAACTTGTTTATTACATTATACATCCATATGTCTACCTATAAAGTTAAACATATTTATTTCCTAAACATTACATTCAACATAATATTTCATAATATGTACATCACAATATTTTCAAACAACATCAATACTTCAATACAACTATATTAAATATGTCATGTATGTGTTGTGCTAAGTAGTAAATTGAATGACAGCAACTAATATGATAAAACTAGCTGACCCGGCAAACGTTGTTTTGCCATAAAAAAAAAACAATTTTTTTCTACTGCTAGTAACGTACGCATTTTTTATAATACATATAATGTAACATCATTATAAAAAAAGAACAAAAAAATTTCGTCCCAAAATAATAAAAAAATATATATTAAGTGTGAACAACCCTTATGACTTAGGGATATGAAAATAGATGTTGGGCGATTCTCAGACTTATTTCATCAAAATCTATCCAGCCATTTCGAAGTTCTCTGTCTAACACCGCGACACGAGAATTTTATATACAGGGTGACTGGTGAATTACTATTGATACTTGAGGACGTCATATTTGACGATCATATATGACAAAATAAAAATTAATATAATATAAATATTAATAAACTTCTAAGTAAAGTTAACCAAAAGTTATGTAATTAATAACGCATCGTGTGATACCCTACAGATTAGGTATACACACACACGCTGCGGTGGCGTGGTGTTGTATCAGCACGCCGCCGCACGCGTCTACACTTGGAACACTTGGAACGTGTCCACACTTTATTTATTTATACGGAAATTTTGTCAAAAATTAAGTACCTATTTTTTTTTACATAATTCGAATGAGAATCATGTACCGAGTATTCTCCTTAAATATTGATAGTAATTCACCAGTCACCCTGTATAAGATAATCTACCTATATTACACTTCACATCATATTATTATAACAATACCAAACAAACAACTAATACATATATATATTTACTTCCAGGTTACACAATACCATTAGACAAACGTCTAGCAGCCGACGGCCGGGGTCTTCAACAAGTACACATCAATGAGAACTTCTCCAAGTTAGCCGAGGCTTTATACATAGCTGATAGAAAAGCGAGAGAGGCTGTTGAGGCGAGGGCGCAGTTGGAGAGGAGATTGGCGCAGAGGGAGAAGGAGAAGAAAGAGGAACACTTGAGGATGCTGGCGCAGAGAGCGAGGGATCATAGAGCAGGTAAATAGATATATAATAATAATAAAAATAATTAGTTTAAAAATTCTGGATTTACCACCACTCGCATACATCACAATGCAAAAAGCTGCAATTCTGAATACCTGCCGAATAGTACGTAAGTTTTTGGAATCCGATAATGAGTTGACTGACTGTGCTGACTGACTTTTCACATCCCAGAAACACTTGGTCACTGACCCGTGTGACGGGAATATCTGCCCCTATTGTTAGTTAGATATATAGGAAAAATAATAATATTAAATTAATTTATTTCCAGAACCATATTCCAATTTTACAAACACTTATTATTTAATGATTTTACAACACTACAAATAGACAAATAGGAACTTAAAAACTAAAACAAAGACCTTAAATTAATATTAATATTATGAGCACAAGCTTGGCCTATATGTAAAGAGAGAGAAAGTTCTAATGAACGGTTATATATAAACATATAGTTATGCAAGTCTTATTTACAATATTTTTATTTGTTGATTAATTTATGTTATTTCATTATTTAATTCCCCTATAAATTTTGTAATATTCTTATATCTATAAAATTTCTAATCTTCAAATATTCCTCCCCTATTGCTATATTGCAATTAGTTTTTAATTTTAAGTATAATGTATATATAAGTAAACAGATTGATTTGTATAAAAATTAGATTGAAAACAGAATGTAATTTTCTTCAGGTATAAGGAATCCGGAAGAAGAAACAGAAGAAGGTTTAGACGCTGCGCCAGACGGAGAACTCTCCGTGGCGGAGAGAGATAAGTTGAGGGCGGAGAGACACAGAGATAGACAGAGAGATAGGAATCTGGCGAGAGCTGCGCCCGATAAGAGGTATAGATAGTGTTACTATTATACAGTACTAGCTACGCCCCGCGGTGCTACCCGCGGATTACCGGGATGTAAAGTAGCCTATGGGTTATTCCTGGACCTCAGCTTCCTGTATACAAAATTTTATCAAAATCGGTTCAGCCGTTTGAGCGAGAAGAAGTAACAAACATACACACACACTCACGAACTTTCCCAATTATAATATTAGTAGGATATACATATATACAGTATGTACCTACAGTTTTCATAATATCTGAGATTTACGCTATACAATAGTGTTATCAAATATAACCAACATCTGCTATTGAACAATATATCGTCGGGGATAGTACAAATCCGCGTAACTACATTGTATAATTCCGCGTATCCACATTGAAAGCAAATTATCAAAAGAAAGTTTAAGATGAAATATTTTCTAAATTAACGAATTTTAAGTTATTTTTTCACAATTACTAATAATCTAGTGTTTAATCTATTACTATTAAAAAAAATGCCTTAAAAGTCGTTAATATAGTATATTTCATCTCAAACTTTTTTCTGATAATCTGCTTCCAATGTAGATACGCGGAATTATCCAATGGTAGTTACGCCAATTTGCACTATCCCCGACGATTTATCAATATAAATTGATAGCTATCAGAAACGCAAACTCAAAGATGCCGCATTAACGACAATTAATTCAATACATTTCTTTATATAAATATAATGATAATTAATAATGCATTACTATTTTAGGTCCAAACTGGTTAAGGAAAGAGAACGTGATATATCAGAACAAATAGCTTTGGGGCTACCTGCTAAGAATAACACAGGAGATGCTATGTTTGATCAGAGATTGTTCAACAATAGCAAAGGAATGGATAGCGGTAAGCAATACATTGTACTAGCTTTCCGCCCGCAGCTTCGGCCGCGTGGCTTTCGGTTATATCGCGTTTCCAAGAGAACCTTTCAAAAGTCTGGGACAAAAACTATCCTATGTTCTTTCTCAAGGTCAACTCTATGTCTGTACCAAATTTCATTAAAATCAGTTCAGTGGTTTAGGCGTGAAAGCGTGATTCGCATTTGTAATATTAGTAGGGATTAGACATATGTTTGTTTGTATTTAAGCTACAATCTTATGAACTTGCAAGATAAAGTAATTCTGTAATTCTTGATTTTCTAATATAAGAAAAATTATGTAACTGAGAATAATCTTTATAATATTTTATAATGTTTGATAAATTGATACAATAAAATAATTTTCATACAATCCCCATTAAAGCATTATTATAGGTCAAATATATACCACACAATAAATAGTTTTCCAATTATATCATGAGTATATAAGAACACAAAGAAATGACATATATATATATACATATTAAAATATCTTATATATAATTTTCAGGTTATGGTGATGATGAAGCATATACGGTGTATGACAAGCCTTGGAGAAATCAAGATGGCATCGGATCACATATATACAGGCCTTCGAGGAATGCTGATAAGGATAATTATGGAGATGTTGATAGTCTAGCGGCTAACAAACGGTTAGATATTAATACTGTTATCATCTTCTACCATGCAATTTCCCAGCTATAGCCAGGGTCTGCCTTACATGTGGATAGTTTTGGCTATTTGTTATATACAACAGGCCGCCTGCCTGACATCAACCCTCTTTGGGAATGCATTTAATCAGTGATGTATAAATACTCTTAGAAAGTACATATGACTCGGAAAAATCACATTGGTACTTGCCAGGGCCAGGATTGAACCCGCGCCCTGTGCATGAGAGGCGGGCCTTTTAACCACTAGGCCCCTGGCGCCATCTGTTATATACTACTAATAATACTTGCCCTTTCCCTATTCATATCCTTTCCTACAATTTCCTTATTTACAACAACCGTGATTAACCATGAAGGAAATTTCGTGATCACGATTGTTGTAAAGTTTACACGATTTAAAGTTCACGATTAAAATAAAGGTCAATTATCTTCAAATATAAATATTTTAATTATAGTTTATAATATAATTCCAGGTTTGTTGCTGACAAGACATTTGCTGGTAGCAGTAGTGGAGTGCCTCGCTCGGGACCTGTTAACTTTGAGAAGGATACCAGGGAGGAACAACCGGTAAGTTACATTATATTAATACTAAAATATATATGTTATTTATTATGTATACAGTAGAAACTCAATTAACCGGAATAATTGTTGTTGATAGACAGGATAATCGAAAATCCGGATAATCGAATGTATGAAGAAAAGCCGATTTAGTGCATATGTAGTATTTAGTTTATTTTAAAAAAGTAACAAATACATATCAACGATAAATTATTTAAGGATACATTTTCTTAGATTACTAAATACTGCAGATTTTAATCATGAATTAAAATGATAAGTTTAATTTGGTTTAGAATATTTGGTAATTGTCATTTGACGTACGCCACTCTCTTACGCGTTGACATTTTTTGTTGTCGGGACTTGTTCGTAGTCCGGTTAATTGCGAATCCGTATAACTGAGGGCCGGATAATCGAGTTTCTACTGTATTTAGGATTCTAACAAAATCCTTAAAAAATATAGTTTTCTTATAAAACTAGTCGTTTTAAATAATAAATAAAACCTTAAGTAGCACAAACTAATTATTATCCTAACCCAATATAACTTAAATAAATTAAATTCAAGTTACAAAAATACTTTCCCGCCTAAAAGTCGACAAACCAAGCGTCATCGCTTTAATATTACTTCGGATGCGTTCGGGAATTTAAATGTTCAGTTCAAATTAACAGTGTTTCTTAAGTATATAATATTTTGATTTGAAGAGATAGATTATAGTCAAATGTATATATATACTGAAATTTCTAGATATCAATCAGTTATTCCCTTCAGCCTGATTATGTATAAATATGTCTATATTCAGATGAACTTTGTTAAAATTTATATAACATAAAATTGTTTTCTTTGTATGTATTGTAGGCCACCTTAAGTAAGATCATCTTGTTTATTAATACTTGTAAGTTTATGTACTAAATTTAACATTTATTTACTAGTATAACATAATAAAATGTATATATATAGTAATGTAATTAATTGTTGTTTGTACAGAGTCGAGGTCAGCCCGAAGCGGACCCAGATCCGTTTGGTCTGGATCGTTTCTTGAGTGAAGCTAAACGAGCTGACAAAGCCAGGAAGAGAGACCACCACGAGCCACATGCTAAGAGGAGGAGGGATTAGAACAGGGTATATATATATATAATATATATATAAGGTTCTTTATAAAATTGGTAGAGAGACGAGCTTGGACAGTGAAGAGTTTAACGCGCGTTAGATAGGGTCCCTTAAACCTACACCTGGGTCACAAGTCACAGTCAATGTTGAAGCTCCTCTCACTACAACGATGGACCCGACACACGCACCGTGAATACATTGAATGATGAGAGGTTTCGTCTCTCTATATATATTAAACCTACACCTGGGTCACAAGTCACAGTCAATGTTGAAGCTCCTCTCACTACAACGATGGACCCGACACACGCACCGTGAATACATTGAATGATGAGAGGTTTCGTCTCTCTATATATATTAAACCTACACCTGGGTCACAAGTCACAGTCAATGTTGAAGCTCCTCTCACTACAACGATGGACCTGACACCCGCACGATGAATACATGGAATGATGAGAAATTTCATCTCTTATATGTATTCATACATAATTTTTAAAACAAGTAGTTTTGTTAATAAAATTTATAATCCTTCAACAAATTGCCCGTTTATATACATATATATACCTCAAATATTATACAGGGTGACTGGTGAATTACTATCAATATCTAAGGAGAATACTCGGTACATGATTCTCATTCGAATTATGTTAAAAAAATATGTACTTAATTTTTGACCAAATTTCCGTATAAATAAATAAAGTGTGGACACGTTCCAAGTGTGGACGCGTGCGGTGGCGTGCTGATACAACACCACGCCGTCGCACGCGTGTGTGTGTGTGTGCGTATACCTTATCTGTAGGATGTTCACACGATGCGTAATTAATTACATAACTTTTGGTTAACTTTATTTAGAAGTTTATTAATATTTATGTTATATTAATTTTTATTTTGTCATATATGATCGTCAAATATCACGTCCTCAAATATCGATAGTAATTCACCAGTCACCCTGTATATTTAGATTTTTGTATTAATCGATTTTTTTTCTGTTTCAGATTTGCCGCGTGCCTTAAACATATAAAATAAATTGTCATTTTTTTCTTACCACATTTTTCCATCTACTACATAATGTACATTGTCCGATAATATGAAATAGTTTTAATAAAAAAAATTGTAAATATTACTTGCTTTCATTACTTTCCCACAAAACTTAAGAACAAAAATATGGAAATAAATAAAAAGTATGTCTATATATTCTGATGATTGCTTTCCTATTACTATTTGTTATCATACTCCAATGTGCTCTAAAATTAATAAATATAAAGAAAACTTTTTATAAAAAAGTTAATTACATCCTATTAAAAAATACATGCATATTACATACTTATTAATATGTAAAGAAAAGCATTTCAAATGTTTAAAATTGTATCAAATGAATGATTAATGCTCGTTTTTATCTTTTACAAATATTAATTCATGACCTAAATTTCTTTAAACATTTATAAAAAATCTAATTTTAAGTTGCAACTATATAAGTTAATAACGTCATAGAATAGATATGAATAATAAATTAATGAGACAAATCTTTTCCACGTAATTAATTTCTAGAAGAGACGAAATTTTTAAGGAAACTATATATTTTTTAATAGCTCATGTAAATTTTTTAATGTTTTCATTGGTTAACTTTATACTTTCCGCACGTAACTCGCAAAGATTACTTTTTATTTTAATGTTCAATTTGTGACACATGCCAATGTCAAATAACATTTTTACATACTTTTGTATGTAATTTGTTTAAAACTACATTAGATATCTTCATTTAAGAATGAATTTAGTAAGACTAATTATACAGGGTGACTGGTGAATTACTATCGATATTTGAGGACGTGATTTTTGACGATCATATATGACGAAATAAAAAAATAATATAACATAAATATTAATAAACTTCTAAGTAAAGTTAACCAAAAGTTGTGTAATTAATTACGCATCGTATGAACACCCTACAGATTACTCTACACTACACACTCACACATACGCGCGCGGCGGCGTGTTGTTGTATCAGCACGCCGCCGCACGCGTCCACACTAGGAACACTTGGAACGTGTACACACTTTATTTATTTATACGGAAATTTGGTCAAAAATTAAGTACCTATTTTTTTTACATAATTCGAATGAGAATCATGTACCGAGTATGCTCCTTAAATATTGATAGTAATTCACCAGTCACCCTGTATATTATCATTTTAAATTTATTACAATTTAAATATCAAAGTTATTGGCTAATCAAATGTTGGCGGTTTTTTTAAGATACAAGTATGATTTTGAACAGCATTTACAACACAAAGTAAAATTAAATTATAATTTAAACAAATGAAGTAGAATTATTACAGTCAATTTTCAAAGATAGTTAAAATTTTGCTAATGTAATAAATTCACACATAAATGAGACCGAACTTACAAATGTTACTTCTTCTAGAGAGTTGCATGATATTTTAAAATGAAACTGCAATTGTTCTTAATGCTCCTGTATTTTTAGAAGGTTCCTCACAATCACATACTTCAATGATACGCACTCACTGAACTCTGAATCCTCAATTCTCAATTCTGGAGTCCGCCGTCGTGCGTCCAGACGTCATATTTATAACAAGATTCAAACATAGTTCTATTCTCCTTTGATTTCGTTTTACTTTTAACAATAATCATAAATACTAATGAGGTTTAATAAGAATTGATGACAGCCTCAAATTATTTAGATGACGGGCAGCAGCGGCATCCGAGTACATTTAACATCCGACTGCGATCGCCAACCCGCCTGCCAAGCGTGGCGATTATGGCAAGAACCCCCCAACATGTATCCTTGGGGGAGGCCTATGTCCTGCAGTGGACGTCTTTTGGCTGATGATGATGATGATGATCCGTTATTTAAAAGCTGGTAGCGCCGATATATATAATAAAATAATTCAAAAATGGCTTTTATAACAAAGACATAAAACAAACATATCTAAAAATATTATGAACTAGCTTCTGCCGCGACTCCGTCCGCGTGGAATAGTAACTTCCGGCAGATTTTTGGTTCTTCCCACATAGTTCGAATCGAATGGTCGAGTTCCCGTAGAACTTTCAGGATAAAACCTGTTTTTTTATTCACAATGAAGTACTCTTAACCAACAACTTATTTATTTGAATAAAGATTAATATTATTATGTTGATACAACTTAAAAGATAGACATATACTGTCGCGGATTGTTTTTTAGATTATTAAAAGAGCTATTATTCTTCAATACATATTTTTTGTGTATCTTGATCCGTTTTTACGGCGCACGCAACGGAAGGCTTCAAAGATGAAATAATTTCTCCCGTTTTTTACATATTTACCACTATATCTTTGCTCCTATTAGTCGTAGCGTGATGTTATATAGCCCACAGCCTTCCTCGATAACTGGACTATCCAACACAAAAAGAATTATTCAATCCGAACTAGTAGTTTCGGAGATTAGCGCTTTCAAACAAACAAACAAACTCTTCAGCTTTATAATATTAGTATAGATTATACTAATTCAAAGATTAAAATATATATATAGAAATGTTTAAATGAAACATTATAGTAATTTAAATATTTTATTAGCAAGCTAACATGTGAGTAAGACAATACAAGCGGCGCCTTCCGACTGAACACATGAGATACATTCAAATACAGGTCTTTGTATAGGCATTTTGATAGACAGATCATATTAAAATACTATACAGTGTAAACTCTATATAACAACACTGAAGGGCGTTAAAAAGAGAGAAGAAAAATCTAATAAAAGTTAATCCAAGTTTTATTTTTCTTTATTTTTCCATATCGTAGACACGGTAGAGCGACTAAATCCAAAGCGTTTGCCGACATCGCTTATCTTCTCTCCCGCTTCTATTGCGCGTATCAGTAAAACTTTTTCGTCAACACCCAGTGATTTTCTTTTACTAGCCATGTTTACAGTTTGAGATTTTGTGTGCAACTGAGAATATGATAACGTATAGGTAATACAAGACTCCTACTTATGGTCAAAAACCGTCGACACGTGTAAGCTATCCCAATTTGTAAACAAAAGAACGAATTTCTTAGAAAGTTCGGTATGAATGATTCTAACAGTCGAGTTTATTGCGGGTTAGCATAATAAAGCTACAAAAGAACGTACACAACTGCGCAGTTTTTACTAATTTTAGCAACTTAAAAGGTACTTTTTATTACTTAATTGTTGTCGTTATTGAAAGTGGGTGTGATGCTATGTAGAGTGTATCATTGTATGGTAGACAAGCTAAACCAACCAAAGTCAAATGATTTACGCTTTAGAGAGTTTGTCGTTAAATCGAGTGACGTTACATGGAGTTTACACTGTATATGTTATTTTCAATATACTGTCCAATAAAAAAGCAATTTTCAAAAACACTTCATAGGAATGTCGTCAATATCGACAAATAAACTTCTTTCAAACTCGACATTTTCACAACTGAAATGAAAAAAAAGAAACTAAAATATATAACAGTTAAATAACAAAGCTGAGTGCAGTTACTAGTGAGTTAGTTCGAACCAATTCTATCATGATTCATATTTTTAACAAGATTACGTATTTTTTAATATAAATCTAGTTTTTTTGTTGTCTAGATTAATTTTTGTGATATATCGTAATTGTAAGGCTGACATACATAGTTTTTTTTTTAATAATAATGTTATTTAATCTATATAATGTTTGTTTAGGTCTCTGTTAGAGCGTAGTTGTTATTTGAGCATGTGTATGTATGTATGTCCCTGCCAGTGTTCGCGGGATCTCCTAATCTTTCCTAATCTTCCTTCGCCGCACCTCTTTGGTTTTCTCATCGCCAGCTCCTGGCCGTTCTTTGTCATCCTCAGAAGTCTGAAAACATTATATATATACATATATTAATGATGAATTTGATATTTTACGTCACAATTCAGCCGCGTTTTATAACAAATTGCGGAACATATTATTTGAAAAAATAAACCACCTAGCAGTCCGGTTTTTCATTAACATTGTTTAAGACTTTAGTTTAGTTTAAGCGTTAAATATTCTCTGCACATTTACCACCACTCCCTTCACATCCTTAAATTAAATTTACACACTATTTGTACACATCGCTTTTATCAAGTGTATTATTAGAGATGCGTGCCCAAGCGGCCTCTCATCTTAGTGAGAAAGGTTTATTATTGTCTTTAATTTACTGTGTTATTGATATTATTACATTCCTGTGCTCTGTTTTTTTCTCCAATAAACTAAAAATGAAATAAAAAATAAATCCTCTCATCATTCCATGTATTCACGGTGCGTGTGTCAGGTCCATCATTGTAGTGAGAGGAGCTTCAACAGTGACTGTGACTTGTGACCCAGGTGTAGGTTTAAGAGACTCCTATCTAAAGCGTTAAACGATCACCTACACCGTACAAGCTCCTCTCTACGTATATACTGAACGGATTTTGATGAAACTTTCCAATTATCTAGCTCGGAATTTGTGAAATTAATAACGTGTTATTTTTTTGGTTGCATTTTCCAAATGTTTAGATAAGAAAATTACTTAAAAGAACATGTAAATACATCTAAATTGTAGTTAAATTAACTATTTTAGCATACACATATAGAAAAGATAAAACTAATATTCTTCAGATGTACTATGCATTGTTTATTATTTTAAAAACACATTCCCGACCTTTCTGTTACTTTGCAGCAACCAAGAATCATCTTATTATAGAAAAGATATTCTTTTGTTTGATATCTAAGTACTAATATTTCAAAGGTATACTGAACATATTCAACAGTAATTTACTTTTGAAACAAAATCTAAGAAATCAAAACATTTAATAATGGCAGAAAATGTTAATATACTTGTGGATAGTACAAATTCGCGTAACTAGTTGGATAATTCCGTATATCTACTTTAGAAGCAGATTATCACAAGAAAGTTTAAGATGAAACATTTTCTATATTAACGACTTTTAATGTAATTTTTTCACAATTAGTAATTATTTAATGTTTAATATATGTTATACTAACATCAGCGGGTGAATTCCTCTCTGCGTCACTGTCTTTAGTCTCTGCGTCATCAACAATATCATCATTGATCAGCTCCTGAAAAATATATTAAAAATAATAATTATAAAAAAATATTTAATTTTAATAGTAATCATATTTTATATGCACTAATACTATAATTGCGAAAGTTTGTGTGTGTGTGTATGTTACTTCTTCACGCTCAAACGGTTGAACCGATTTTGATAAAATTTAGTATACAAAGCTGACGTCCAGGAATAACACATAGGCTACTTTACATCCCGGAAATCAAAGTAACACCGCGGGGCGCAGCTAGTTTATTATAAGTATGTTATTATAAAACAAAGCCAATTTATTTATTGTATACTCCCAAATAAGTGTTCTTAAGCAATATTATATGACAAAAATTTATATATCTTACTTATTTATTAATTATTATATATACAGGGTGACTGGTGAATTACTATCAATATTTAAGGAGCATAGTCGGTACATGATTCTCATTCGAATTATGTAAAAAAAATAGGTACTTAATTTTTGACCAAATTTCCGTATAAATAAATAAAGTGTTGACACGTTCCAAGTGTTCAAAGTGTGGACGCGTGCGGCGGCGTGCTGATACAAAACCACGCCCCCGCCGCGTCTGTGTGCGTGTGTGTGTATACCTAATCTGTAGGGTGTTCATACGATGCGTAATTAATTACACAACTTTTGGTTAACTTTACTTAGAAGTTTATTAATATTTATGTTATATTAATTTTTATTCTGTCATATATGATCGTCAACTATCACGTCCTCAAATATTGATAGTAATTCACCAGTCACCCTGTATATATTATATATCACCTGTTCATCTTCTATAACTTTCTTCTCAATCTGTTTCCGTCTCTCAATTTCCTTGTCCGTAACAAGTTCCTTGTCCGATCTTCTCGGTGGATATAATAGGTCAATTATACACACCAACATCTGAAGAAACCAATAAATATAATATATGTATATATAACTATGTCAGAGTACTAAATTTACAACCCAAGAATCCACTTTCCTGTGATAATTAAAGTATATAAAGCTACAGATATTGTACGAAAATAAAAAAAAAATCTTAGTTATTTCAGTTTTATATCATTTGAAGATTCATGTTCATTAAAATAAATTTTTATTCTGTTGATTCATTAAAAAATGTATTATAATATACATTATTATTATAATGTACATTATGTAAGCCTGTATACATTAAAAAATGTGCTAATGAAGATTTTTTTGTCTTTCTACCAATAAATGCTCATTTTTTTAAAATGAATGTTGTAGAATACAGTATTATGAAGCGTTTAAAGCAAACAAATGAAAATAGCTAAATTGACCCTTATACACAGGATCCATCAATATATGAGGTTTTTAATTATATTTATGTATATATAACATACCAGTCCTAACAGAGCTCCAATGAAGATTGTAGCGATGGCAAATATCAAATAAGAACCCCAAGTTGGTAGACCGTAGGTTTCCATCAATGTGTTGTGAACACCCTGTAAATGAAAATAAAATAGTTAATGAGTAGACCATATTAAAATACATAATAATACAAATTATTTTCATTATAACTCATGCGAGCATTCTCAATATTAAAATTATGGTATATTAAGTTGTATAGAAAAAGGGTAAGATGTTTTAAATGAAGATTAATATAATTATTTAGAATTATAACAATATTAAGTTATTAAAGGGTATATATTCTTAAGTAAGATGTGATATTTTGTTCTATAGTTTAGTTATTAATTATTTAATATGAATTATTTTATATCTGTATTCTCCATAGACAATTTGATATATTATTATCTGCATATATGTATGTATTCAATATATATTACCCGTAGTCCCTGGCTGAGTTTGAAGAAGTGTGCTACTAAACCCATCTGGAATGAATGCGGGGCTCTCCACGAAGGTTCGGGCTCCGTATTTTTCCATTGCGCTCGCTCCACATACGACACCATAGATAAAGCGTCCCTCGGCCCTTTATATTGACGAAATACACCTTCCTTTACACTGAAAATGAATAATATTATAATTAAGAGATGATTATAAGTAAAAAAAACCTCTTGATTCCGTTTTAAAGTCTTAAAATTAAATAAGGGTCTGATGTAATTATTTTTTGATTTTACATGCCATAGATAACTAAGATATCTAATACAAAACGTAGTCTCGTTTGTACATTCGATTGTCGGGATCATCTTTGGGAGAAAGGACCCGAGTCTCTAGATAGCGTTTCTATCGCTTCACTGAATAAAAGCACAAATATATTGAAATACATATAAATATTAATAAAACCTAAAAATTCTATGCAAATCATTATATTTCAAGAAAAAGACTATATTAAACTAACTAATTAAATAGTTATAAAGGCAAGATTTTAATTAAGGTACATTCCACAAAACTCCTAAACTAAATTTAAATTATGAAAATACTAAAAAAATAGTAATGAAAACTCACTGAAAGATAGTTGGTAGAGCTGTTACAACAAATCTTCCACTCAAACCAGGTGATTTCGTGACATCTACTGCCGCTGTATTCATCTCGAGATTCCTAGCTTTAGCTTGAGATGAGAGCTCTTTCCATGCTGGTGATAACGCATTACAAGCTGGACACCAGGGCGCGTAGCTTGAAAAGAAATGAACATTAATAACTAGCTGCGAACCGCGGTGTTACGTTGATTTCCTTATCAAAATCGATCCAGCCGTTTGAGCGCGAAGAACAAACATACACAAAACAAACTTTCGCAATTATAATATTAGTAGGATAATAATAAGATCTTAGATTTTTGCGAGTATTAATTTAAACGAAACTAATATTTTTCGGATTTTATGTAATTTTATTTTTGATAAATAACTACATACTTAGTTTCGACTACTTTACAGCAAAGATCATTGGAAGACGAGATATCAAAAATGAAATCGCGTAGTACAATCCGACAAAAATTAGTTTCATTTAAATTAATAATAATATCTTTAGTATATGTCAAAAGGACCTGAAAAAATATCTCGTCACAAATCGCCATTTATGGAAACGTAGGACAAGAAAAACCGACCCCAAAAATTGAGAAAATGGTCTTGGAGGAAGAATCTTTTTGTATACACACTTATATTAACAACTATGATAATTATAATATACTAGAAGACCTGGCGAACTTCGTATCGTCCTATAATCAAGAAATATCTGTTACATTTTTTTATTTATATTTTTGGAGTTTACCTATTAAAGCCATAAATCTCCGTGTTTTGAAGTGCGACAGAATGATTGACATATTACTTAGTTGTCAAATCTAATGTCAAAAAAAACGTTTTAATGGGAAATAGAAAAGGGCTGTTTTTATGGTTTTCGAAGTAATTAATCAATTTTTTTCAGCTTTTAAACCTTCCCTGAACCTCCTCGAACATTTCAAGACTAAGATAAGATAAATCCGTTCAGCTGTTCTCGAGTTTTAGCGAGACTAAGGAACAGCAATCCATTTTTATATACAGGGTGACTGGTGAATTACTATCACTACTTAAGGACGAGATATTTGACGATCATATATGACAAAATAAAAATTAATATAACATAAATATTAATAAACTTCTAAGTAAAATTAACCAAAAGTTATGGAATTAATTGCGCATCGTGTGAATACCCTACAGATTAGGTATACACACACAAACGCGTGCGGCGGCGTGGTATTGTATAAGCACGCCGCCGCACGCGTCCACACTAGGAACACTTGGGACGTGTACACACTTTATTTATTTATACGGAAATTTAGTCAAAAATTAAGTACCTATTTTTTTTTGCATAATTCAAATGAGAATCATGTACCGAGTATTCTCCTTAAATATTGATAGTAATTTACCAGTCACCCTGTATATAGAAGATAAAGTGTCCAATGTTAGCGGTCTTATTCCTAAAGAGCAATCTTTTACAGACGGCCAGCAAGAGTAAAATATACTTATTAGGTTTTTGAGGGGCTTAAACATAAAACAAATCGTAACAAGTAACGACTTAATTGAAAGTAATATTAATATGTCATATTAGATCTTTAACTAAATAATCTTTAACAATATAAGTATATCATATATATATTAATTTTAATAAATATATATGTATGTAATAATTTATAACTATCAAATGTAACTAAGCCTACATATATAATGGTACATTTTGACATATACTTATTTATTTATATTATTTATTTTATAGTTAAGTTAAATAATTTAACATTGACTGATACATTACATAAATAAATCTATTAGAAATTCATATCAAATTAAATCTTAACTGTATGACTACTCAGGATATTTTTGTGATGGAAATGATATTGCAAAACTTTTTATAACACAAGAATAATAAGTTCATTGTTTGTGAATACCCATTGTATGTATGAGTGTAGGTGAAATTTTTAGAGTTTTTTCATTAATTTAAATATCATCATAAGCCTATCAGAGCCCACTGCTGAGAGGCCTCTTCTCACATGGAGAAGGTTTGAGCATTAATCACCACGCTTGCTCAAGACGGGTTGGTGATTTCAAACTAAATACCAAGCCACCACAAATTAGTCCATTTCCATTTAAATCTATTTTTACACCTTTATTAACATGGTTTTAACACTGTTAATATTAAAAGCGTTTTCGTTTTGTCAACCATTTGAAAACAAAATCCTATAAGAATTGATACTATTAGGTTAAATACATAAAAAAACATATTGAAATGATCAAAATACAGCTGAGAATCACTGTAAGGTAATCAACATTCAAAAAAAAAAATATTGAAAACTGATGATATTTTTAAGAGCTAGGTTGGTTTAATAAAGAAAGGAGCTTAGACAGTAGAGGTGAGTGTTTAACTCGTTATATAGTGCCCCTTAAACCTACACCTGGGTCACAAGTCACAGTCACTGTTGAAGCTCCTCTCACTACAACGATGGACCCGGCACATGAATGAAAATATTTTATCTCATGCCACAGACATACATACATACAAACTCTTAATAGCTCTTATTCAAACATGGTTAAAACTAATTACTATTGATAACAACCTAACAGTTACATACAGATTGTTAAACAAACTCATTTAAGTTCATTATGTGCTATGATTTCATATTACTTTGTTTCACAGATATCAAGGTTGTAATATATGGTTATACTTGTGGGTAGAAAAATACTGTTATAGAACTGATATAATTCTAGTACATTCTATTAAGTTTTTTCTTAGAAATATTTATTATAAATAGATAGCTTGAAATTATGACATATATATTATATATATGCCATATACAGGGTAACTGGTGAATTACTATCGATATTTGAGGACGTGATATTTGACGATCATATATGACGAAATAAAAATTAATATAACATAAATATTAATAAACTTCTAAGTAAAGTTAACCAAAAGTTATGTTATTAATTACGCATTGTATGAACACCCTACAGATTAGGTATACACACACACTCACACAGATGCGGCGGCGTCGTAGTGTTGTATCAGCACGCCGCCGCACGCGTCCACACTTGGAACGTGTCCACACTTTATTTATTTATACGGAAATTTGGTCAAAAATTAAGTACCTATTTTTTTTACATAATTCGAATGAGAATCATGTACCGAGTATTCTCCTTAAATATTGATAGTAATTCACCAGTCACCCTGTATAAGTAGTTTATTCTTCTTCTTCTACCTGGCAATTTCCCAGCTATAGCCAGGGTCTGCCTTACATGTTGTGAATATTTTTGGCTAATTGTTTTTACGACCGGCCGCCTGACTGACATCAACTCTCTTTGGGAATATAAATGTATAAATAGTTTATTGAAAATATTAAATAGTTTTATAAGAGTAATTATTTCAAACACTTATATGTGTAATATTAATATTAGACATTCTTATTGGTTTTTATTTTTATTAGTATATCATATAATACATTTTTATTACTAATATGAAGATATTGCCAAAGACAGACTCCATTTTGAACTAAAAGGTAAAATGCTTTTAAGTGAATTAACACAAAATTTAAATAACTGTTTACTTGAACAAAATTTTTAAATGTATGTTTTTGGTTTTCATTTGTATATTAAATTTACACTTTAGAATCTAATATGAGAAAATCGAAGTATATTATTAAAAACAAAAGTTATTTTTTAAGTGTTAATTGGTAATTTCTAGATTAATTCAAAGATAATAGGGTGTTACATCATGCTATAATATTTTTTTAGATTGTATCATTCATAATAATTGATATATTTGCCAAAAAAAGGAATATTATAGAAATGCATTACGTATAAAATTATTTTTTATTTATACAAAAGTTAGCTATGAATTTGTAACACAAAAATCATAGATAGTTTTTCGTAATAATTATTGGTATTCAATTTACGATTTAATCTAATAAATACTTGACACCTGAAGAAAAAAAGTGAGGTAATACGATCGAAAAGTATGCGTCACAAAACAATGGTTTACAAGGAATTAACGACCTTCTCATAGTTTATTGAACCTGGCGGAACAATAAAATAACTTAACATATATATAAACTAAATAAAATTGATAAATATCTTATATTTATTATATAAAAAACATTTAAATGATACAAAAAATGTTAATATAGTTAGAAGAAATAAAAAAAATCTTTTTTGACACGTTACATTAGTCGACACCGGTAATGTATACTCACAATTCAACCATCCATTCCCCTTCGAGGATTTGCCTCCAGTTGTCTTCATCTAATTCAACATTTGCACTTGCTAATTTTGTAAATGAACATAATAATATACAAAAATATATGAAAAAATTTAACACTTGCGGGATCTTGGTAAGGCGCGCCATGTCTAAATATTAATTGAGATTGTGTTGCAACTAACAATTATGTCCCAAAGGGTCCATATGATATTTAAAATAAATATATTTTTATAAATATTGATAAATAATTCCAAAAATATGAAAATATTATTCATATAACAAATAAAATTTTTAAAACTTAAATCACCTTAAATATTACAATGTGCACAGAAGTACATTTTACGCTACACGATGGCAGCACATCACTTAATCAAGTTTAAGTTGTCAGTTTCTCTTTGAGCATACTAGATGTCGCTAGTAGTAACAGAAATGCGAGATTCTGTTTTCAGATTAAGATTTAATAATTTGATAAATATTTTATTGCCTCGTGATTTCCTGTGTATGATTAATTTACAAAAAAATCCAATTATAATTAAACATTGTTACACATTTCAAAATAAAAGTAATTTAAAACTACCATTTATCGTAGTAAGTGTTTAAATTAATTTATTGTATTCATCATAAAAATAAATGTAAAATGTATTTTAATATAATAATAATGAAATAGGTATAACATCACATCGTCAAGTGATATTCTTTCTATAGATTTATTTTAATGTCTACATAGATTTTGTTTTCTATAATTTTATCATCACACGTAATTAAATTAATTAAAAAAAGGTTGATGCAAACGATTTTTATATTGTAACGTAAGACGAATCCGTAAAAAAACTAAAATAGTTTTGTAACAAACGCTAAACGTCCTCCAAATAAAATAAAAAAGCCATTTGAGCAAAACACGATGATATAGTTACTAATTAAGTTAACCATAGACAAATTTGTCACTGGATCACCTCGATCGATAGTAGACGAAGCCGCACCAGAAGCCGTACGACCCCACACACGGAGTGTTCCAAATTTGAAATTTAAAAAAAATGTAAATGTCATTTTTATACAGCTGCTTTTATATGTCATTTACGAAAGAGGTTTTATTTGTACTATTGTTTTAGGTATAATAAACACACGGTATGTTCCAAATTTAAAAAATACCTAGGTATATGTAAATGTCATTTTTGTATAGCTGCTTATTGTCATTTACAAAAGAGGTTTTATGTGTAGTATTGTTTTGTAATAAAAAGATTTTTTGTTTATAGCCAAATTATAATTAAGTACATTTTAATTTACTCTTTAACATTAATGTACGTAATTATTATCGTCTTAATTTAATGAAAATATCTTTTACAAGAAGAGTACCTTTTTCCTATACTTACTTAAATCAAAATTCTTAAATATTACGAAAAATTTTCGACGAAATTTTCCAAATACACTTAAGTAGACGATAATAATTATCTTAACATACATATAATAATAAAAACACATATAAATCATGTCTATATATATTATATATATGTTTTATATATATTTGTATGTAAGCCATACCCCGTGAACACCCTGTACGCGTGAATGTCGCTGCACGTCGCTATTTTTAAAGTTGTTTAATGAGATCTGTTAATGTACAGCCTTAGCGAGTTGCATTGTTATTGAATGTAATTTATATTATATGTACATTCATTAATATTATTATATCACATAATATTAGTTTTATACGTTTAAATTTATTTTAAAATGTATATTTCGGTGTATATTCCTTTTTTGGGTATAAGACCAGAATACAAACAGACAAACATAAGTTTTTCTATATATATTTAAATTGAATGTAGTTTTTAGAAAACAAACTAAGTACGTTAAATATTAATAAATGTATTACTTTGTATGTACATATATTTTATTAGAAGTCATATTTAATTTTACTAATTTCTTATACTTTTGATATTTGTAAAACATAGGCTTGTATTTATTATGTAAATCATAAAAATTCACGAGAAACATTGATAGTACCTTTAAATTAATTCAGTAGGCAGTGTTACCATGTAAGTATAAGAAGAAACGATGAACGAATGAGATCTAAGACTTTCACGAGTATTCATTTAAATAAAACTAATGTATGTATGTATGGATTAATATGAGTTTTTAATTATTTTAAAGTATATTCTCCTATTTTCATCTGGTTTTTGTGATCACGGTTGCTGCAAAGAAACTGGAACGTCAGGAATTTGTACACATAAAATAATAAAAAACGAGTAGTTACACAACAATATTAGTTTCATTTAAATAAATATCATGACATATTCGTCATCATTCTATCAGAGCTCACTGCTGAGTCTCTTCTCACATGGAGAAGGTTTGAGCATTAATCACCACGCTTGTTCACGGGTTGGTGATTTCAAACTTATAATTTGAAATTAGTAGTCGAGGTCTCCTCACGATGTTTTCCTTCATTAATCAGTGATGTCTAAATACTCTTAAAGTACATATGACTCTGAACAATCACTTTGGTACTTGCGAGGATCGAACCCGCGCCCTCATGCATGTGAGGCGGACCTCTAACCACTAGGCCACCACTAACTTACAATATTCAGTTCTACGTAATTATTTTATATTCTCTATATCAATATATAATTTAATCTTCTTTAAAACCTCTCTTTAAGTTAACTTTGATAATTTTATCAAATAATATGTCCCAAGTTTTCGGGACTAATAAAACATATATACAAACACACATACCTAGATATAATTTATATATAACAAATAGAAGTCGAAATATGTTAGCATAAAGTTATTAAATGGTTTAAAATTACATTATTTATTTATTTTTTTATAGTTGGCTCCTAGCGAAAACATATAGCAAAATTATTATTTAATGATACCTATTATATAAAAATAATATTAATTTTACAGTTTTAAGTTACAGCGATTTTTATATACCTACTGTTAATACAAACAACTTAGACAAAGTCGCGACATTAGCTAGTTAATAATATTTTTTTGTTTTTCAATAGAATCAGATTTAGATTATATGCAAAATTATTGGGATGTCACTTTTAATAATATATTTTTGAATTTTTACAACAAATATAAGTAAAATACTTTATAATAATGATTTAGTTTGAACATTAAAAGGCTTAAAAAGCTTAATCATAAGTATTCAAGCTATTAAATAACAATATAAGCAGAAAAAAGCAAAGAGTATCAACTGAAAGGAGGTTGACTCAACAAAAATAACAAAATGGAGTATTATTAAACAAAAATCATTTCCATTGAAATATAACAATGTATAAATAAATAAAATGCCTCATACTATTTGTATATATGTATATAAGAAAATAATTATTACCATTAATATGTATAAACGATAAATAAAACATTTTATTTCATTTAATTGCTACCGTAACGAAGATGTACACAATACTAAAGCAAGGAGCTTCTGTGACGTGACAGTTGTCAAACATCAAAATATTTTGTGCGCGCCTTCGTGTGACAGATAGATACATGACAGGGTTGAAGATTATATAATAAATAATAATATTAATAAATATTATATTATTATGATAATAATATAATATTATGTTAGTGAGAAAGATTAAATCATAATGAGTATGGTATACTGACAAGTCATATAATATGAAGAAAAAATTTAAACTAATATTATATTTATAAGGAATTACTTTTAATATTATTATATACTTCGCCCGCGTGGATTTCGGTTTTATCGCGTTTCCAAGAGAACCTTTCAAAAGTCTGGGATAAAAACTATCCTATGTTCTTTCTCAAGGTCAACTCTATGTCTGTACCAAATTTCATTAAAATCAGTTCAGCGGTTTAGTCGTGAAAGCGTAACAAACAGACAGACAGAGTTACTTTCGTATTTATAATATTAGTATAGATGCCAACCCTGAGATGCTCCACTTTCAATTCAAGTATCGAACGCGCGGTGTCTATGACGTTTTATTTTTTTCTAATTTCAAACACGGAATGGCGGCCGTATATATAGAATTTTTTTTTTTAAATAATAGCATTGTTTGTGGACAAGATCTCGATATAAGGAATTTGTTGCATGACTTGCGTTAGAGTTTGATAGGTGATAAGTTTTTATTAAATATTGGTTTTATATATATATACAGGGTGACTGGTGAATTACTATCGATACTTGAGGACGTGATATTTGACGATCATATATGACAAAATAAAAATTAATATAACATAAATATTAATAAACTTCTAAGTAAAGTTAACCAAAAGTTATGTATGCTCCTTAAATATTGATAGTAATCCACCAGTCACCCTGTATATTTGATGCATGGAATTAGATGTTTGTCATTTGGTATAGTTCCGAAAGGTTTTTACATTTAAAAAAGATATAATAATAGGATATTTCGAAGCAAAAAATGTTTTATTTACTATAAAATAATACTATATATATGTAATTTTAATGAGACAGGTAAAAAAACATTAAATTACCAATCAATCGCATTACGTACGTCATTAGGGTAATGTTTTGTACCTAGGCTTTAAGTGGATTACCTTAGCTATACGTTTATGGCTTTTTTAATACAATTAATAAAAACCGGATGATTCTAGCCTTTCTGTAAAGGATTATACGGAATGAATGATTTATAATCTATGAATGAATGAATGAATTTAAATTGTTTTTTTTTAAATCTGTACTCAACATTAATATAGTCTATATAATTATATATCTTTTTATATATTAATATTATTTAATTTGACGATAATCTGAATTTGTTAAAAACGTTTCAACTTATTTCCGTTGATATAACATCAAGCCTCCAGGTCCATAATATTACGTCAAATAACAAAACGAAATTTTTTTTTGAAAATCGAACGTCAAACCGAACAGAAATAAGACACTTGTCATTTTTACTTTTTTTTTCTTTTTTTTTTTGTTCATTGAGTCAGTCAGCCAGTTTTCGTCCGGACTTGTCAAATTAGCTGTGTTCGATATTTAACACTTTGACACTGACAGCTAATCCCGCCAACAATTATTATTAATATATATATTTTTTTTTAAGCCGTCGAGTGTCACGGCCGTTGGTTTAATCCTTTTAAACGCGCTCTTATAGTAATAGGAAACCTGGTATGCATAATCTTTATATATATATATATATATATATTCTTTGTTTTATATA